TAATAACGATACGATATTTTTAGAGTCTTTATTAAACCAAAGTCATTCAATTGGAAAAAATTAAATAAGTTTTAATATTTTATAATACTTTATTTTTTTACAATGTGCACTTTTACCATTTCCACACATTGAAATAATGGTACGAGACGAAAATTATGTCTTTCATTTTTTATTTCGATATGATAGACTTTCCTAAAAATGTCTTGTTTAAATAACGATAGGAGATCTCTGGTATTGTTATTAAAGGATACGAGATTTTTCGTATCGTTTTATAACGATACGAGATATTTTTTACCGTTATTATTTTTAAATCTCTGTCGATTGGTAACGAAAATAACGGTTCGAGACGCAGGTGCATAGTATAAGATTCTATATATTATTTTGTTGACATCATAATACAATTTAAAAATTGTACAGTATATTATATATTATCGAATATTTTAAAATTCTGTTACACTTTGATTTATAAATTAATTTTAATGAACTCGGTGAATTAAACAGGAACTGCAAAGAAGTATTGGACTTAATTATGGAAGTTTTTGGTCCTTGTTATTATCTCGCAAACAACCTAAGTGCACCACAGTTTTGAAGTTTCCTGTATTTGTTGTGTTACAACGTCATTCCTGCCTTTGCTTGTAGTATAGTTTATAATTTGATTAACACAAAATGGCAATACCAGAATAGAATACCGTGATTGTACTTTTTGGACTTTTTTAAATTTTAGATATTTTTCAGATTATGTTTTGAAACGGAATAAAATTAAAAAAAATACTTTTAAAATTATTCTGCATGTTTAAACTCTAGTGTTACTTTCGAAAGAAATGTTCATGTTTTAATTCTCGTGTTTTAATTCGCGGCACTCTTTTCTTTTTTTAAACGAGTTATTTGCTACAAATTTTTGTACCATATCCCCGTTTTTTGTTGGCTTCTCTAAAAAGAATTACATTTATACTAATATAAATTGTTTTAATTTCACACGTAGTGGTAGTTGATGACTCAACTTCCTTCATTGTTTTTTGGCCCAAGGTGACATAAAAATTACATCTCAAAACGGACCGGATTAGCGTCGATCCAGATGTTTATGTTTCGGCATTAAATACCGTCAGTGAAACAGCACGTTCAATCCAGGACATTGCTCGTCAATAGTTTTATTTTTCTGATGCTGCGTCACATCAGAATTTGTCAAATGGAGGCATTTGTCCATTGTTAACAGCTCAACGTAATCGACAAATTTTTAATGTTATTTTGGAACAGGAAATAGCGAAAGAGTAGTCCTGTTATTTCAAATCAGTTAAACCTGAAAACGAGAAAACGACGAAACCAAGTATTCATTTGTCATAACTATGGCGTGATGGCTCAATGGTTAAAGGCGCCTGGTCTTGCTATTGCATTGACTGGGTTCGAATACAAAGAGATCCCCGCCTATCATATGCAATGTGTATGATACGTGGTTTGCACGCGTATTCATATACGCTGTGTGTGTTGTTGAAACCTGAAGCAAACGCAAAAGAGAGAGAAACCTTTAACCTTTATGGTGAATATTTAATAACTTTCTTTTTCGTTGTAATGATATTTGATGCTAATAACATTCAACTCCAACCTGTGTATCAATCAACTTCGATATTGGGGTTTGTTTATGACATTTGTTTGTTACATTTTGAAACCGCAATTTTTTTTAACGTTAAATAAAAAAAGTTATAAATGTTTTAGTAAGTGAGTAATTAAGTCATACCACACACACAAACACATTTATATAAAAAAATGGATATATAGGTACATATATAATATATATATATACAAAGATATATTAAACAACAATGCATACTTTTTTATAAACTTTTTATTTCAAATAAAAACGTTAAAAATTTATTTCGTGCACTTTAGAGAATAAATGATATTTCTCTTAAAGTTCATCATTCCACGTTCATTTAGGTGGATGCCGTCAGGTCCTATATTATTACCTCCTCCCACTCTGTCAAGCCTCCAGAAATGAACAATGTTAGACTGGAATTGTTTCAATGAAACATTTAGTTTATCAACTTTCCATTTCTGAACGTCTTTTCTATAAACCAGGCTTAATATGATTATTCGGCGCGGTCTGATTTTGTTCTCTAACAGTCTGAGTAAGGATTCATATCTCGCGGCCACGAGTTCCGGGGTTTCAGTCGTCAAATCATTGCCTGGTATTTAATTTTAATGACTAAAAATTAAACAAAACTGTTATTATATTAAAAGAATAATGAACCAACATTAAACTATTTATTAAACAAATGAATCAACCTCCGATGTAAAGGATTATTGTTTCAATAGGAATGGCATGCTTCTGGAAGAAGTTAATCAATCCTCCGATCCTCCCACCAGGCTTTCCTTTTAATATGAAACGTTTATTACCGTGGGTAATAACGTCATTTTTCATTTTTTAAAAAAAATTCCATTCTACGCACATAACTGTCGCCAAACAACGAAATAGACATTGCTCGAACAGTTTTATAAATTTAACCTTGACAGCAAGTAACAAAATGCGAAACTTGTTTTAAAAAAATATATTTTGATTTTGCCTCTTTGGACAGTTCTTTTGAATAAAAACGGAGAACGAACAAGCAATAGCAAAGTTGAAAATTGTTTTAGGTTTATTAAACACCAATTGCTAAATGGATCGACAAATTTAAAAATAGGTCGTTTTGCGGAATTCTACTGCAAATACCCGCTTCTCGTAAAAGAAAAATAAAAACAGTGGTAAAAGAATGTGAGAAAAATTATTGGGGAATACAAAACCTTTCAAAAGTTATTTCAACAGCATAGTTACCGTTAAAATACCCACAATAATTTGCAACAATGATCAAAGTGCAAATGGCCACAGCAACATCTGTATAACAAATTCCAACATTCCGAGCAACAAATGCTATTACGAGCAAATAGTCAGTAGAAATTGTTACGTTGCCAAAAAAGGAAATGATAGGTTGTTGCTTTCGGATTTTCAGACTGTTATTGGAGAAAAATGGGTAAGTAGCGTTCTTTTAGATTATTTGTCTCACTGGTTTACAAATTCAATCTATATACCTTGTGACTTGTCCACTACTGTAATGTTTAAAAATTTTACTTGTTCTAGCCCCATCTTCCAATATTCTTTTAATGCTAATTACATATTTTTCTCACTCGTCGTCAACAACAATCATTACTGTTTAATAACTGTAGATAATCTAAACAAAATATTTTTCTACAACCCTCTTGGATCATCTATTTTGCAAATCAAACAATTTGAAAAAAGATTTAAACGTATGTCCCAAAGAATTAACAAACAATCATGGGAAAATTTCGACTTTGAAGCGCATTATGAACTGCCAAAGCAGATAGATGGCCACAACTGTGGAATTTTTATCTACATGGTCGTTAAATACACGTTAGATAAAAGCAAACCAATTGGAAACGAATTTGATCCAATAAGATGTAGATTAAAAATATTTGATGATGTGATTGCTAATTCCGATAACATGATAAATGAATGTTTATTTTGTTGTAATGAAAGCGCTGATGAGTTGTGTATATATATTGCCATAATGTGTATATATATTTATTTATTATTGATTTAATGTCTGAGTAAATCATTGCTGTATTTAGTATGGGTTCATTGTGGGCTGTTAAAGCTAATTGATCGGCCTTTTCATTGACAAGAATACCTATGTGACTTGGTATCCAGATTATTTTAATATAGCAGTTATTTTGTACAATGTTATGAATGTGATAATAATTGAAAAAATTTATTTTTATTTTTATGATTCTGCGTCAAATCAAAATTAGTCAAATGGAGGCATAAGTCCATTGTTAAAAGCTCAGCGTAATCGACAAATTTTTACTGTTAATTTGGAACAAGAAATAGCGAAAGGTATAGGCAGAGAAGAGTTACTTAAGGTGTTTTTATAACTAAAAATTGTACGAAGCCACAAAAATAAATGTTACGATAACTATATCTGTTAGCAATATTGATACCTGTAGCGTGCAATTACCAATTCATACACATAACATTATGATTTTCAGCACACACCACACACACACACACATATATATAGATATCATAATCCGTGGGCAAGTAATACTTGGTAAATATATATATATTTATTTATTCATTCGCTTGGGTTTGCACTTTTTTGGTGCTATACGTTTTTTTTTATTATTATAACGTATTATTATATTTTTTTGTGTTTTCATACATTGAAATTAAAGCTAAAACTTATATTTTATAAATATGCTATATTAATTTGTCTGTCGCAAAAACACTACAGTTTATTATATTTTACCTCGTATATATAGTTAAAATTTATACGCTTGTCAATCTGTACTATTCACATTATAGTCATCTTCATGGTCATCACAAAATTTTTTCCAATTTAAAATGTTTAAATTTCACTTTTTGCTGCAACTGCATTAGAATTTGTTAATTTTTAGCTAAAATAAAAAACATATTTTGTTTTTTTTTTGAATTAAAATGTTCACGCGTTAAAGAACTATAGTTCAATTACTGGGCAATGCATATTATTCTTTATACGAAATAACATTTTTATTAAATTACAGTCTAGTTTGAATGAACAGGGTTGGTTTGGGCAAGCTTGCAGGAGCCTATAACAGAGAAATAATTTCACCAATCGAAAATGTAAAAAACTAGTGATATCAATAAAAAATTGAAATTCACAGATTGACTTATTCTGGAAGAATAAATGCTTTTTAGGGTTAACTGAAAATGGTCCCAAAGGCAACGATGAATCTTTACAAAACCTAAAGAGCATAATAACAAGTAACTACAATGCTTTAGAAAGAAAAGAGGTTAGTTGCATGATGTAAACCAACTGCACGGTGCATCTATTAAGTAGTGCAGTTGAAGAAGAGGTGTACCAAGGTTACCGTTGACGCAAATATAGAAATGTATGGGTAACGCGTACAGACCAATATTTGGGGATGTGCACGAAACGGGAGATAGCTTTGTTATATATGTTATTTTTAGGAATAAAATTGTCTATTAGAATATGCAAATATTTTCCAGATGCACACATAAATGGATTTTTGGTGATTTTTTAACTTTCTCGTTACCGATGACGCAAATTTAGAAAAGTATGGTTAACGCGTTCAATCGAATTTTTGAGAATGTGCACAAAACGGGAGATAGTTTTGTTATATATGATATTTTTGGGAATAAAATTGTCTATTAGAATATGCAAATATTTTCCAGATGCACACATAAATGGATTTTTGGCGATTTTTTAACTTTCTCGTTACCGATGACGCAAATTTGGAAAAGTAGGGTTAACGCGTTCAATCGAATTTTTGAGAATGTGCAAAAAACGGGAGATAGTTTTGTTATATATGGTATTTTTATAAATAAAATTGTCTTATCAAAAAATGCAAATATATTTCAGATGCATACATAAATAAATTTTTGGCGATTTTTTTACTTTCTCCTTATCGTTGGTATCTTAATACATAGCGATTTTATGATGAAGTTTTTTTTATTGTTTTATGCAATTTTTAATCTGAATAAAGTTAAAATGTTATAAATAACAAAATAACAAATAAAAAACAATAATAAATCTTTTTTCATTTCATTAAACCTTTAAACATTTATTATTTAATCGGTTTTTTCATAATCCGCCTTTTACATATGCTTAATCGTCGCTGAGTTAAAACCGTCGCGAACATTACCTTCGTCGTTGTCATAGCGAGAGATTTTAAACAATTTAAAAGTTTATTGTTGCGTTAATTTGAATTTGCTAGAAATAAACGACTCAGCATTTGAAAAATTAAAAGTTGAACTATGTGATGCTCCTTTGCTAGCATATCCAGTTCGTGGCAAGACGTTTGTGTTAGATACTGATGCAAGTAACAACGGAATCGGAGCCGTTTTGTCACAGCATATAGACGGAGAAGAAAAGGTGCTAGCGTATTATAGCAGAGGATTCATAAAGCCCGAACGAAACTATTGTGTGACCAAGAAGGAGTTACTAGCAATAGTCAATGCAACAAAACACTTCCACAAGTACCTTTATGAACAGAAATTTCTTCTCCGCACTGATCACTCAGCGTTAAGATGGCTCCTCAACTTCAAGGATCTTGAAGGACAGATGGCCCGATGGTTGGAGCGTTTACAAATGTACGACTTCGAGATCGTGCACCGCAAAGGAGCAACTCATAGTAATGCTGATGCTCTCTCACGTTGACCATGTTTACCAGGATGCAAATATTGCTGTCGTCACGAGGAGAAGATACAATCGGAAGACATAAGAGCAACAACAATATCAGCGGATGACGGTTGAACACCGACGGATCTTGCTGATGCACAGTTTGCGGATGAGGACCTGCAACATTTTATCACATGGAAGAAGGAGGGCAAGCGACCGGACTGGCAAAGCATCTCAGAATATAGTGCCGTGTTAAAGGGTTATTGGGCTCAGTGGGACTCATTGTATTTGGAAGGGGATTTGCTGAAACGAAAATGGGAATCAGCTGATGGATCAAAACACCGCATGCAAGTTGTAGTACCAAGAAGTAGAACGACCGAAATTCTTGATGAAATGCATGGCGGCCCTTCTGGGGGACATTTAGGAGTGAACAAGACCCTTGACAAAATACGAGAAGAATTCTACTGGCTTCACGTTAGAGAAGATGTAGAGAGCTGGTGTCGAAAATGTAACACATGCGCTTCAGTTAAAGGACCCAAAAGAAGGCTAAAAGGAGCAATGCAAATCTACAATGTTGGTGTCCCCTTTGAACGGATTGCTATAGATATTGCTGGACCCTTTCCGGTATCAGATTATGGAAACCGTTACATTCTGGTTGTAGCGGACTATTTCAGCAAATGGCCTGAGGTGTTTCCAATACCCAACCAAGAAGCATGTACCGTCGCTGAGGAAATTGTACTCAATTGGATTAGTCGATATGGTGTCCCATTGGAACTCCACTCAGATCAAGGTCGAAATTTTGAGTCACAACTGTTTGGTGAAATGTACAAGCTGCTGGGTATAAACAAAACTCGAACGACACCTCTTCACCTACAGTCTGACGGTATGGTGGAACGATTTAACCAAACCCTGATTGAACATCTGGCTAAAGTAGTCGACGAAAATCAACGGGATTGGGATCGTCATATACCATTGTTTCTTATAGCATACCGGAGTGCTATCCACACAACTACTGGAGAAACGCCATCAAAAGTTCTGTTTGGGACTACCTTAAGAACTCCAGCTGATGTGAAATATGGCGTACCACCTGAACCACACCAACCATTAACAGAATACGTGGATAATCTTCGACAGCGATTAAACCATATCCACCGTTACGTACGCCTTAAAATTATGAAAAACACGGAGGTGGCCAAAACCAGATACGACATGAAAGGAAGCAGTGGCGGTTTTGCTGTCGACGAGTTAGTTTGGCTGTACAACCCACAGCGAAAGAAAGGACGTTCTCCAAAGCTCCAGCGAGGGTGGGAAGGACCTTATCAAGTCATCACCCGCTTAAATGACGTCGTCTACCGTATTCAGGAATATCGGAAGCCGAGAGCAAGAATGAAGATCGTTCATTTGGATAGACTGGCTCCGTACCATGCGGAGACCGGAACGAAAGCTGTTCGGGACGGACAGAACTAAGAAGGGGGTAATGTTATAACCGTGCTACCGAACGCACTAGATTCTAGCGTATGCTAGAATGTTCTAGTGACTGGAGCATTCCAGACTAGAGTATGCTAAAATCGGATCATCTAGAAGAACCTAGAAACGACGCTTGCGAAGAGTATATAAGCGCACGTCGCAAGAAGATTCGTGATTAGTGAAATCCGTGATTTTGTGATTTCGTGAATAGCGATTCGGTGAATTATTTAAAGCGATGTTTGATTTGTTTGTTGAAGTTGTCATAGCGATAGATTTTAAACAATTTAAAAGTTTATTGTTGCGTTAATTTGAATTTGCTAGAAATAAACGATTAGTTGATTTCTTCTGTAAATAAAGTTTAATAACTAATAACTGTTTGGAGTATTTTATTCAATCGAAGATTTGAACCCGTCGCATCGTAAATCGGTAACGACAGCGAGTATTATAACAATACGTTCACAAAAATAAATCATTACCAACCAAATAATTATAAGTGCAACACACACATACATATATTTATAAAACAAATATTAAAATAAAGGCATTAAATCAATCGTTCATATACCCATTCGTTACTGCCAAAAAATACCATACACAAAGGGGAAATTTGGATATTTGGAGAGTCAATCACGGATTGTGGGAGTCTATTCCAGTCTGCGACAACTCTGTTGCTGAAAAAATATTTGCTGACATCTTTATGAGACAGACCTGTAGATATCTTCATTTGATGCCCTCTTGTTCTTTCGTCACAACTGCGCAACAGAATTGAAAGATCAGCATCAGGATCGGTCACCAACATTTCATATAAAAAAAAATTAAGTCAGCTCTACTCCTTCGATATTTCGAAGAGTGCAAGTTCAATTTTTTAAATAATTTGTCACTATACTCTTAACCAAAACAAGAACGGATAGATCTAGTGGCTTTTTTTGAATCTTTTCAATCATGTTGATGAGATCCATGTGATATAGGTTCCAAACCTGAACTGCATACTCTAGATGTGAAACGCCTTGCTTCAGAACGGAGTTCTCCTATCGCTTAGGGCCGACTGACCCATGTTCAACTGCAGTTCACCCTTCTTCACTTCAGTCTTCAAAGTTCTCGTATGAATACTTGCTACTACCACCAAGATCTGCACCCGGGCTCGCGTCCAAAGCTTCCGTGCTACCGCCGCGGCCTGTCTACTCGTCGCCACATGGTTTTCGCTACCTTGCCTGTTGCGGCGAGGGCCCGGTATAGGCCCGATGCTAAAGCGCCATTCATTTTCAGGGCCATTTGCCTCACTATTCTTTAAAATGACTTAAAGAAACAAACAATTCGGGCTGATACGCAGTAAAATTTGAATGAAACAAAGAATAAAAGGTCATTCATTTTGTTTATGCGACGTCAGTGTTTTTGAAAACCTTTTGAAAAAAGGGTTTACAAACAAATTGTTAGTTGTTTTTTGTTCGTGCATCTCTGGTAAATTGTAATTTGCAAAATTTCTCGTTTAAAGAATATTTTTGTAAATAAATTAAATATAAAAAATTTTTTGTTTAAGCAAATTATGTTTTGAAGTTTTGGTAGGAATTTTGATATGAACCAGAGCAAGGTACCGGAATGTAATTGGATGCAAAAATGTAAATGAGTTAATTTAAACTATTTTGTGTTAACAGTTTTTTTTTACAAATTTCAATAAATAAATAAAATATGTAACATGAAATAAAAATCCCAAATGATGAACGACGAACAATGTGACGAACAACTTTCCGTGCCACAGTTCAGTCAACGACCACCCCCTGGCACGAACTCTCCGATTACTCCTATGCAGCCATCTTCTTCTTCGTACTTACCATTGCCCTTGTCCTCACTTTTCTCATCATTTACTCCCTTGTTAGGTCCAAACTGCTTAAAAAACCTAAACATTTAGGTAAGATTTCTAATAGATTGTTTGATTCATGTTAAATCAATTACTAAAATTTTAATTTTTGATCGTTTTAATTTTAATTACCAAAATAATGAATAATTACTTAGAGGTTCATTTTATTTATTATAGAACGTAAAGAGGTGCAGTTAGTTTAACTGCAAACAACGATTAACAGCCAGACCTTGGAGTCAGGAGGACTAATAAATTTGCTATCCATAGCGAACCTTCTTGTCCTTTTTTGTTGTTGGTACCTCTGAGAAATATTGAAGAGAGACTTGAATGACTATATAAATATATGTATTTATGTTTTTATTTTCAAAATTGCAATCGGTATGTGGTCCTATGAAACACTAACCCTCGAGTTAGTCATCTTACAGCATTTTGGAAGCGAGAACAACGTCACACATTTATTTCTCAATAAATCTCCACTTGTTAGCCATCTCGGTTAAGATTAAGTGCTATAGTTCATTTCCCATATTCCGGTTCCGTTGAGTTAAATTTTAATAAAACAATTAAAGCGGCAGTTTCAAAGCCAACGGGATGAACACATTGATGGGTTTAAACGTGATTGTTGTTAGTGTTTATTTCTGTAACGACAGCCTACCAATGAGCGAAACCAGCACACGTGAAATTTCTTTTTTATTATTGCAGAATATTGCGTCTTCAAAAATTTATTTTAAAAAATGTTTGTAAGATTGTTGGAAATTTTTGTTGAGGATTTAACACAAAATTTTTTGAACTATTGTTTCATTTTTAATTTTATTCGTTTATTAATGATTCGGCAGCAACTTTTTATATGCACTTCTTCATTGAGAAGCCCGGTGCTATCAAAGCAATCTTTCATTGATGAATGTTACCGTTGAATAATAATAATAATAATTTTAAATTATTGCGATCTATCTTGTGGCCGTTCAGTTGGTGTGTCGAAAGGATAATTAAGATTTCTCATTCAATTAACAACAACATGACGTAACTATCGTCGGTGCAAAACTAAAAATATGATTGAAACTGTGCTGCATTAAAATTTTAAAATTTATCCAACGATTAGTTCAATTCAATGAACTCCCCGACTGCACCATATCCCAGCGCAGCTGGTCTGAACAACTGAACATTTGTACACTCACACGAAATGTTTACAAACCAACAACACTTGCAATATATCATTATTTAGTGGATGCTTCTGTGGAGGCAACGAATTCTTTCGTATTATTCACTAAAAGTAACAACGTTACATTTCAATGAATTTAAAAACTATGTATTTGTATGAGGAAAACATGGTATTTGTAGGAAAACATGGTATTTGTATGTGAAGATTGTATTTGTATGAAAAGTTAGTTGGTGTTTGTGTGAAAACATTGTAGTTATTTTTATGAAAATAAGGTATTTGTATATGAAGATAGTATTTTGTATGAAATTGTTATTTGTTACTAATCTGAATATAACTGCCAATGAACGTTCACTGAAGTTTCCTATTATGTTAACGAAAGAGTTTTTAAAAGATATCATAAATTTAAACAATTTTATCAACAAGATTCAGATATATTCTATACATACATATATATTATTATGTCTTGGTAGCTTGAAAAACTCCTAGGTAACAAGTTCAGAAGTAACAAGTAACAATTTTATCAACAAGATTCAGATATATTCTATACATACATATATATTATTATGTCTTGGTAGCTTGAAAAACTCCTAGGTAACAAGTTCAGAAACAACGCCTGACCAAGCTGAAATGTTAGGAAATTTCTGCGCGTTGTATTCACGCACCTACACAAGTACATATATAATTTGTGGACGTGTTTGAATTGCTAGAGAAACTTTAGTTGAAGAAATTTCCTGGACAGCTACCATGGTTTGTAAATGATAACAGTGAAAAAGTGATTGCTTTCAATGTTCAAAATCGTTTCTGGGAGAAGTTTGTCAGGTTAATAGTGGCAAATATGATTAGTAGATTAGTAATAACAGAAAATATTAAATGTAAGGATGATTTCATAACTGTTTCAATTGAATCGATGATAATATGGATTTCAAATAAAAGGAAAAAAATTTATGATTTGAATTTTACATTCTTTAATGTCAACAAGTTGAAAAAAAATAATAAAATGAAGATCCAACTCAATTTTTGAATTTAAAAATTACATTAAAAATAATAACGTTCACCTTCGCGTTGCATCACTAATTTTGCTACATCAAGAAATGCCGTTATGTAAAAACATTTGTGGAAAGATCTAGACATTTTTTTTGGTACAGAAAGAAGACGTGTTGTTGTTAGGAGATGGAATGCGTGGATGTGGATACATACAAATAATACCAACGAAATTTATGCAGAGTAACACATTTACAATATTTCTGTAAATGTTTCAATTTAAATGATTAGTAAAATCTTGTTTTCCAAATTTGGGGATATTGCATACGAAAGGGCAAATCATAAAATTTTATGCGCAGCATTTGTTCATCGTGGAAATATCCTTCACTAGATGCTCATCATACAATAGATGGAATGAATTTATTTATTGCTAATACCATGCTTTATTTTTTATTGACAAACTCTATGTAAATTATTTGCATATAATTTGATGCTGCCACAAACATTCGAAAGCGTTCAATAACTGGTGTATTGTATATACATGTACAACTATTTCATACAAAAACAAAATGTTTCAAAAACAATTAAACACATCGCATGCATAGTGTCTGGCAAAATTGTATTAATGTTCATAATTCACATTCTGTAGGCACACACACACACACACACACACACACACACACACACACACACACGCACGCACATACACACACACACACATCACCATCTACTATAAACAAGTAAAATATATTTTTTTCAAAGATTTTAATGTATTTATATAATATATCTGGGCACATTAAATAATTTTTAAAGTAGATTTTGTATGTTGGTGATATAAGAAATAAAAAAATATGAGAAACATTAATAAAGCAATGGAGGTGCACTTCTCCAATAAGCTTCTCTCTGCTTCAAGCTGCTCCGGAATAACTTCAGTTCTGCTATATAGGATGTGCAAATTCTTGCATGCCTTATATTTACTAATAAAGGCATATGCCTACCTCTACGCTTTACATGTATACGTAATATATACATATATATATATATATATATATATATATATACACATACGTACAATCATACATATCTCTAATATATACATACATAGTGTATGTATATTATCAAAACGCTTTATGTGCATACTGCTAAAACTGTTTATATTCCATCGTTCTTTTCTATGTTTTTTACAAGGTCTATGTATATATATATATATATATATATATATATATATATATATATATATATATATATATATATAAGTATGCAAAATTTTAATACTTCTCATATATATCGAAAAATATTATATGTAAGGATGAATGTATATGTTACAAATATAATGTTGATGCAGACATACTTTTATATTGCTCCAGTTGATTGCCTGTATACTTTTAATATTAGCAAGTAACATTTGGTATAAATAGATTAGCGTAGAGTGATCAGCTCTATCGAATAGGCTTGTAGGAGGTGTAGCTTACCACTACCACTACCACCATCGCCACCGCCACTGGTTCTATGCGCTTTTCGACTTCACTTTATCGGCTTTCATTGGAATAAACATCGTCGTCGTCGTTGTTTTCAATAGTTTTTAAATCAGGTTATTTGCCATCTTTCTTGTTTTGTTGATGGATTTTTGCATTAAATCATGTTTAAAATATTTTACAATTTAAGGTGATTATTATATTAATTTTTTTGGCTTTAATTTAAAAATTCTGTCGAGTCAGCAAATGTTTATTGAAATAAATTTCACTTACTTTTAATTCTGAATGATAAGATTACAATAGAAATTATGAAACGTTGAAACTATTTGATGATGCAGCGCATAATAACGGACATGAGTGATCAGTACGAAGAAAATGTGGAGGCAGAGAGGGAACTGGCCGACAGTGCCATGTGGAAGGTCATCCAGAAAAACACATTTACAAGGTTGGAAGGTGCTTCTTGTGTTACTCCAATGCTCACAACATTCTAACTGCTTATCAAATTTATTCAATATTGGTATTATTGTTATTTTCGTTATTATTATTATATCATGGTTATTGTTGTTATTGTTTAAACTGTTAATATTAATAATATTTGAGGAAATATTATTTGGGAAAACAGGAGCGGCGAACACATAAATGACAAAAGATTTTTAATCAAGTTTTGATATGTAACATTTGAAAAATTTTAAATATTTTTATCCATATATAGATGGACAAACGAGCATTTAAAAGTTGCCAAACTTGAGATTAAGGACATGGAAAAGGATTTTGCAGACGGTTTGAAGTTGATAGCTTTGATCGAAGCTTTGTCAGGCAAAAAGTTCACAAAATACAACAAAAGACCAAGTTTTAGAACGCAAAAATTTGAAAATGTTACAATGTCGTTGAAATTTCTGGAAGAGAAAGAGGGCATCAAATTGGTGAACATAGGTTAGCTGCTGGCTCATAAATGATGTTTCAATAAATTTAATTTAATAACTGCTTCACTAAATTGATCAGATTAGACTGAATACGCTTTCGTTGGTCGTAATGGTTGTTCGAACATGATTAGTAGGATATTCATTCTCAAGACACTACATTGTAATTTTGCAGACAGTTCCGATATCGTAGACCAAAAGTTGAAGCTGATCATGGGTCTCATATGGACTCTTATTCTTCACTACTCCATCACCATGCCAGCGTGGGATGATGATAGTGGCCCATTTGGAAAAGACCAAACTCCAAAACAACGGTTGGAAACTTCAGATGTTAACATTATTCATTTAGTTTAAGATTGAAAATGTATTGATATAAAATTTAACAAATTTATGCCAGATTGCTGGCCTGGATTCAGAACAAAATTCCAGAAAAAAACATCACCAACTTCACTAGCGATTGGAACGATGGTACAGCCATAGCTGCCCTCGTAGATGCTCTTGCACCAGGTTCGTCGTAAAATCTTCCATTCATTTCTCTTTCACTTTCAAGGCAATCGATTCATAATGAAAATACAAAAATATCAAACATACGCTCTCAGGTTTATGCCCAGACTGGCACACATTGGATCCTAAAAATAAAGTACCTAACGCAAAAGAGGCAATGGATGCTGCTGAAAAATTCATGGATGTGCCACAGGTCAGCTAGCATAATTTAAACGATTTTTTATCAAAGTTGTTACGGGTCGTGTTACAATAATGAGGTGTTAATATTGCTATTGATTTTTGTTAAACTTTAAAATGTATGTTTTCGAATCGATTATGATTATATACATGGTAAATATATATAAAAAAAATTATTGTACCTACATTACGGCGATCACGTAGTTAATAATCACGGTGTTTGGTGTAGAAAATATATTGGAAATATGATATCCTATAAAAAATTGATATCCTATCTGATGGAGAGGAAGTGGTTGGTTCATTCTTGTAAAAAATAACATCAGTTTAAAAACTATATATTGTTTTCAATGCAATGACGATGATAATGAGGATGATGATGATAACGTCGATAAAAATTACTGCGGAAATTAAACGATGATGAAAATGATGATGTCAGAGATAATAGAATAGGAGCCGGATCAAAAACACACACTGAAAAAATCATGTGATGTTATATTTATGCATCTCTCGCTATTTTTTACGTCCTGATTTATTAGATTTGCAGCAAGTCCGGCGCTCTTTTAGAATTATTATCTTGCCATTCAAAAATTGTTTATAAATTTTTTTATATGGATGCGTTGAGACAATCTTTTTTATTATTTAAGTAATTAGCCAAATTGGGAAGAATATCAAAACCATTTTTAATTTTTTGTCGAACTGAGAATGAAATAACTGTTTCGCGGATTAAATTTTTTGTTTCCAAGCATTTTCTTAAAGCTTTGTTTATTATTGGTTCGAGGGTTTTCATATACGATTTTCTGGTGCCACCATACACTGGGCCGCCATAGTCTAATATCGATTTCACTCATGATCGTTAGATTGTTATTAACTGTTTCTCATGTTTCTGATGTTTTCCTATTATTATTATTAGTTTGAAACACATCATTCGGATATATAATGATACACTCAATTTTTTAAACTGAAAACCTAGTAAGCCTAATATCATACATTAAGGAAGTAAACATTTTCATTATCTGATTGCCCCGCTTTTCAAAAGATTCACAACAATGACCAAAGGCGTAAGATAGCCTATCAGTGCTAAAACGCCGCAAAACTGCAGAAGAAAAAATTTTATTGTCAGAAAATTTTATTGCTGAAGTTGTTAAAGCTATTTTGAACTGTTTCTAAATTTTTAATGATGTCTATTTTTAACTTTGAAGATAATTTTAAATTATATTAGGCAAGCTTATTTAAATCATGTTGATTATGGCAACATTTTGTTGCTCATGGTATTTAAACATAAATCAATCAACCGAAAAATAAATTTAACAATATTTTATGTAAATAGGTCATAAAACCAGAAGAAATGTGCAATCCCAACGTTGATGAACTCAGTATGATGACCTACCTCTCCAGGTTCCCCAGTGCAAAGTTGAAATCTGGAGCACCTGTCCAACAGAAGCCAAACGCTCAACGTATTAAAGCTTACGGTCCAGGTTGGGTGAAAATAATTTGATTTAAGTTAGAAATAGATGCGTTTCTAATAACTAATATGGAAAATAATTTAATCCAGTTGATTTAACCAGTTATAATTGACAGGTCTGGAACTTAATGGAAACGTAGTGGGAGCACCAGCAAGATTCATGGTCGAGACTGCTAATGCGGGTCCAGGTGAGCTAGAAGTTGTTGTTCTCAATCCAAAAAAAGCGCCAGAAAAGGTAAATATTTTTTTGCATTTTTCTTATTATCAATTTTTAATTTATTAAATTCTTTATAACATTATACTATGCAAACGAACGTTTTCAACAATTTTTTAAACACAACATAGGTTGAAATGTTTCCTAACAATGATCGAACAAAGTCCTTCAACTGTGTTTATACTCCGACTCTTGATGGCCAATACACTGTTTCTATTAAATGGGCTGGTCAACCAAGCACTAAGCAACCATATTTAGTTAACGTTGTTCCGAAAGCAAAATCTGGAGATCCAAAGAAAGTGATCGCTCAAGGACCCGGAGTTGAAAAGTCAGGAGTTCTTGTCAACAGGAAAACATATTTTGATGTCATCACTAAAGGTCTTTTAATAATTGTTTTTATATTCTTTCAAATAATGATTGACAAAATAAAACATTTAATTGATAACTTCAGCCATTTATAAACCACTTTGATTCTTCAGGCGCTGGAGTGGGAGTTGTTGACGTTGGAGTTTACGATCCACAAAACAGGCCAGTAAAAGCTATTGTAACCAAAAAATCAGATGATGTTTGGTATGTGGAATACACAGCCGAAGTTCCTGGCTTGCATTCCGTCAACGTAAATTTTGCTGGTCAGCCTATTCCAAAGAGTCCATATCCAGTCGGTGTTGGTGGAGGTTGGTCTTTATTTAGTTCAAAGAAAATAAATTATTGCTTTTTTAACAAATTTTAAAAATCTGCAGAGGGTGGTCCTCCAGTCGATGCATCCAGTTAGTATAAAATTTTAAATAAAATTTTAAATAATTAAGTAAATAAATTGATGACTACTAAAATTTATATTAACGAAATGATTTTCATTAGGACTTCCTGGAAAGCCTATTCTTGCATCTCCAAAGGACAACGCTGCCAATTCTTTGGCAACACGTAAATAATAAAAATTTCTTTAAAAATAACTAATTATTTCAAATTTATTTTTTAAATATTTACTTAAAATATACTTTCAGCTCTTAAGGCTGTCCCTGGCTCGACAGCACCAGTGGCTGAGCCAGAACAACCTCAAGCGAGTGAGTTTTAGTTTATTTTTATATTTTGTAAAAAATTTGGTGATAAATAAGCATATGTAGTAAATAAATTAGTAAATAATAGACAGTTATCTAACTTTATTATTTTAAATAAAAATGGTATTCAATAACGCAACTGCAGAGAAGCCTGTTGTTCCACTGCCTGATCAACCACAAGAAGCTGAAGCTGCCCCAGGAGTTAAACCAGTTGAACCAGCTCCAGGGGCTCCCAAACCTGCAGGTAGATAAAATTTAATTTATATATCGTATTAAATATCATGTCAATATGAAATTATATTCATCAGATAAACCTGCTGTTGCAACTCCTCAAGCTCAAATACGTAAGTTTCACTTAAACTAATGCTGTTTAGCAGAAGTAACGTAACAATTGTTTTAAATATTATTAAAATAATATTAATTTGTTTAAAAAAAATAAAATTATATTTTAAATACAGCAATTGACGCTAAAAAGTGCTGGGCAAGTGGAAGGGGTATCCAGCCAAAAGGTGTTCGTCTTGGTGATCTGGCAAGCTTTCTTATTCACACAGAAAATGCTGGAAACGCTGAACCCAGAGCTCTTGTCATGGGTCCAGGCGGTTCAGCCGTTCAAACTACTCTCAAAAAACTAGATGATGGCGTCACATATGAATGTGTATACAAACCGACAAAACCGGGTCTTCACATAATTAATGTTACTTTTGCTGGACAACAAATTCCAAAAAGTCCGTTTAAAGTCGACATTGGTCCAATGAAAAGCAGCAAAGTAGTTGCTTTTGGTCCAGGTTTAGAGTCTGGTGTGGTAAACCAACCAGCCAAATTCACTGTTCAACCAAACGGAGAAGGACCGATTGGTGGGTTGAATTTCATTTTAATATTTTCAAAATATTTTAATTATCTATAATAATATGCAATTCATTTGAACATCACTTTAGGGTTCAAAATTGAAGGACCATCTCAAGCAAAAATTGATGTAACTAAAAATCCACAGCAAACAGAAATGTACGTCACTTACTTGCCTACAGTTGCAGGGGAATATGCTGTCAGAATTTTATCAAATAACGATGATATACCAAAATCACCGTACATTGTGGACATTCGACCTGAGGGGGCACCTTTACCCGTTGCACCAAAGCCCTCAGCACAAATTGACGCTACTAAAGTAATAAATATAATTGTGCGTTATGATAGTTATTTATATAAACATTTTTTTAATCAAAGGTCGTTGCTTTCGGACCTGGTTTGGAAGCCGAAGGTAATATGGTAAACAAATGGGCGGAGTTTACTGTTGATGCAACCAAATCCGGAGGTCAAGCTCCTCTGCTTATTACGGCAACAGACAGCGATAAAAAGACTGTTGAAGTTACAATTGTTGACAACAAAAATCTTACTTTTTCATGCAAATACTTGCCAATAAAAGTTACAAAATATACAATCACTATCACTTATGGTGGAAAGCCGGTACCAAAAAGCCCATTTTTGGTCTGTTTATTTTGTTATGCCAAAAATTAATGTTTTAAACTTTATCCATGAAACATGTTTCTTGCTACTTAGGTAAATGTTAAAGATACTGGACTTGCGGCTTCAAAAGTCAAGGTCTATGGGCCTGCTATTGAAAAACCAGTTCAAGCTAAAATTCTCACTTACTTTACTATTGATTGCAAAGAAGCTGGTCCAGGTAGACTGTTCTTTAATGCAACTTTTCTTATAAAATTCAAAATGTTAAATAAGCAATTTAATATTTCTCAACATTGCTTTATCAAGTTTTGAAATAACTGCAGAAAATCTTTTAAATATTATAGGGGAACCTCAAGTTACACTGAAAAATGATAAAGGTCAACCATTGGTATTTATAAAGAAAGATCTCAAAGATCGCACCTACAGAGTTGAGTTTACAGCTCCAGTTGCTGGAATTTACAAGAGTGAAGTGACATTCGGAGGCCAACCTGTGCCAAGAAGTCCATTTAGCATTAACGTTCAGAGCGGGCCTGATGCCAGCAAGGTGAAAGTGTATGGTCCTGCACTGGAGAAACCAGTCAATGTCAATGAACCAACTCACTTCTTCGTCGATTGTAAAGAGGCAGGAGCAGGTGAAATATGTTTATTAATTTCTACTGTCTATCCAACAACAATAAAAAAAAACAGAGATGATAATGACAATTGTGGCTGTAATAATAAAATAGTTGGATTGGATAGTTAATTACATTTATCCTGATGCTGATATATGTGATATAATATATGACGTTATATAAAATAATATTTATGGTATAGAAAAATTTAACAAATATTTGCGTAAGTCTTGTGAAATTTACTTTATTTTGTGCTGATTGTTTTCAAATTAATTATTTAATTTTGTTTTACCCGTTTTTAAGCTAAGTTTAAAAAATGTAACAGTAACGCAAATTTGATCGTACAATCTTACATTGTTTTTACCAAATATTTGCAAAAAATTGCTGTTATGTGTTGAAAAAGTAAAAAATAAAATAATTTCAATTTGTATTTTTGATGACTAATAAGGTGAACCGAGGGTGGTGATAATTGGAGAAAAAGGTGGAAGTGTTCCCCTCAAACTTGTTGACCAAGGAGATCGTATTTTCAAAGTTGAATTCACAGCTCCAGTTGCTGGTGCATACAATGCCAATGTACAATTTGCCAGTGCTCCTGTCCCAAAAAGTCCTTTCCGTATAACGGCACAGGCTGCAATTGATATCAGACAAGTCTTTGTAAAAGATTTACCAGAATGTACGTACAATTTAAATAATTTAAAAAATTTCCTTAATTTATTGTTTCAAAAACGTAAAACACTAGTTAAAATAATCAATTTTCAGTTGTGCCAGTCAACAAAGAAGTCCCATTCGAAGTTGTGACGGCCGGGGCTGGTCCAGGTAAGGTGAAGGTCAATATTAAGAGTCTTTCTGGCAAGATGGTCCTAGCAAAACTGGAGGAGAAACCGGATGTCGCAACTGGAGTCAAATTTACTCCAACGGAACCTGGACCACACACAGTTGAAGTCTTCTTTGCTGATAACGCTGTTCCTAAAAGCCCATTCACGGTCAATCAAATTTTTATTACAAAATGTTTATTGGTAGATCGTATTATCATTTAATTGAATCTGTTTTAAATGTTATGTGGTAAAAAAAATTTAATTGAATTTTGTTAAATTTAGCTGAAGTTAAAAAACATGTTTTTAATTTTTTACGTGAAACCTTTTTAATCAAAACTTCATTCTAAATTGATTAAAGACTAAGATTCTACTGGTTATAAAAAGTTAATGTCAGTAACAGCTATTTTAAAATGAATGCAATAATTAATTATTATTTTATTCTTTTTTTGAATTTAACTGGTTTATTTTCATATTTTTTAGGTCACAGCTGAATCTGCAAAACCCGATAAGGTGCAAGTTTATGGACCGGCTGTTGAAAAACCAGTTTTTGTCAATGAAATCACTTATTTTATCGTTGATTTTAAAGAAGCTGGTCCAGGTAGTACACATGTAACTTTTGGTGTTATCCAAAATTTTGTTAAGTTGTTAACATTTCACAATAGACATTATAAATCACGTGTATCATTATCGTTTAACTCGTTTTAAATGAAGGCGAAGCCCAAGTTAAATTGCTGGATGAGAAAAGTGTGCCAGTTCCATTCAACTTGTTGGATCAAAAAAACAGAACTCACCGCATTGAATTTACTCCCGTGACGGTAGGAGCATATTCGGCTGTGGTTACTTACAGCGGCCAACCAGTTCCAAAGAGCCCATACAAAATTACTGTCCAGTTCAACATTGATGTGTCCAAGGTAGGCTGTTTTTAATTGAACACCATAAATAGTTCAAACCTAATTTTTAAATTATTCAAAATAACTAAATTAAAAAATAACAATAATGTCTTTACAACTGTGTTTATTAACAACTTAATCAAATACAACAATTACTCAAAACAGTCGGGTAAGCATTATTGCAAAAAAAATATTTGGCTTATTACATTCAAGTATGTTTATATGACTCATATAAAATTTAATCAAAGTTTTTAGTAAAAAAAACTTGGGTTTTTTTTGTTTGTCAGGTTAAAGTTTACGGACCAGCTATTGAGCATCCCGTACAATTGGCTCAATTGACTCACTTTATCATTGACTGCAAAGACGCTGGCCCAGGTATACGAAATGTTATAATTATGATGATATCAACGTCAATCACTATACAATATAAAAGATATATGAAAGTTTCTAAAATAAATTTAAAACTCAGGTACACCTACATTCACATTGGCAACGGAGGATGGAAGGCCAGTTCCTGCCAAATTTACTGATAACAAAGATGGAACATTCACCGTTGAATTCACTCCTGAATCTCTTACCCCAATCAGCGCTGAAGTCAAGTTTTCTGACCAGCCTGTGCCCAAGAGTCCTTTCAAGATTCAAATAAGTTCCGGATGCGACGCCGGTAAGGTTAAGGTTTATGGTCCTGCTGTAGAGAAGCCAGTGCCTGTTAAGCATGTTACTTATTTCATTATCGACTGCAAAGATGCTGGCCCAGGTTATTATTACTATTATTAAATATAAAACTGTTATTATATCATCTCTTTACAACAACAAACATTTTGATCAACAAAAATAACATAAATACTAATTGGAACTTTATTTTTTGAATTTGTATAGTTAGCTCCCTTTAAAAACAGTATCTCAAAAAAGCTTTCGAAACTAATTGAAATATCATAAATTAAGACACTATCACTTTCTTTTTTAGCAGTTTATGAACTTGAATCATACTTAGGTTGTTGTCGTTGTTGAATGTCTATTTTCTGATGCAAGTATAGTCACGAACTTTCTATGTTAACCATATTTGCACATTTGTCATCAATGCAGTTTAAACGGTTAAACAGATGGTCGGAGATCGTTAGATCATACCTATATTCCATTCACCCTTTTTTAAAGCGGGGTAGTGAGCTAAAAGCACAATCGTTTGAAAATGTACCAGACCACAAAAACAAAATTTATGTATAAAGAGTATGTATAATTCAATAATTGAACAAACATATTGTGATCAGTCGTCGACATTGTTTTAACTGCGTTGACAGCAGATTTTTCAAATTTTTGGTCAGCGAAACTTTCTAGCCAGAGTTTGTCCGCATCAGAAATTGAAAATTTGGTTAAGTGGATAAGTTTAAAAAAGATATTTTTTTAAATGGTGCGTTTTTAATTTTTAGGATCTCCAGCATATATGCTAAGTACGGAAGATGGGAAACCAGTGCCATCCAAACTTGTAGACAATAAAAATGGAACGTTCACTGTTGAGTTTGTTCCTGAATTTCTCATTCCCATAATTGCTGATGTCAAATTTTCAAACGTAGTCGTACCAAAAAGTCCATTTAAAGTTACCGTAACGAGTGGTGAAGTAGCTGAATCGAGCAAAGTGAAAGTATACGGACCGGCTGTCGAAAAACAAGTTGTTCCTAAGTTCACTACATATTTCGTCATTGACTGCAAAGAAGCATCTCCAGGTATATTTTTTATTTTTTATAATGCAGCTCTTTCAAAAACATTGCTGCTTACATGTTATTTTAGTCTATACTTTTCATTAAACTTTTGTGTCTAAAAGGTTTTACTATCCACACCACACGATACAGACATTAGGTATACATGCGCAAGCAACACATCTTACACGTATGATGGTTTTTGAATTTTGGGCAAAATGTATTTGAACCAGGTCATCGCGTAATAGCAGCGCGAGACATGACACTTGTAACGACTGAGCTAACTTGGTGATATTTAGTAACTCCATACTTATGCCGTATACGAATGTTTTTAAAATTTGCTCGCATATCTTGATTGATGAAATTATTTTAACAGGCAAACCGGAAGTGTTTTTAGTGGATGATAAACAGGCTCCAGTCCCTTTTATTCTTACCGACAATCAAGATAAGACTTTTAAGTGTGAATTTACCCCTGATAAATCAGAACCATTGACAGCTCATGTTAAATACTTTGGTCAGCCAGTACCAAAAAGTCCATTTAGAATTATTGTAGCAGGAGGAGCACCAGATTTATCAAAAGTTAAATTATCTGGACCAGCAGTTGAAGGCCCAGTTAAGTCTAACCTTCCAACCTTTTTTAACATTGATGCAAAAGAAGCCGGAAATGGTAAAATATTACTACAAAATTTTTATTTGTTTTATATTACTGGCAATTTGCTTGTTTACAGTTGGTAAACCAGAAATCGTTCTGGCAACAGAACAGGATCAAAAACCTGTAAAGTTCACCGTGAGTGACAACAAAGATGGTACTTACAAAGTTAATTTCACTCCCAAATCTATTCAACCAATTATTGCGCAAGTCAAGTTTGTGGGACAGCATGTACCAAAAAGTCCGTTGAAAGTATCAGTTGTTATGGGACCAAACGTCGATCCAACAAAGGTCAAAATATACGGACCAGCTGCTGAAGGTCCAGTCAAATCGAGCCAGCCAACATTTTTTATAGTTGACGCTAAAGAAGCTGGGCCGGGTAAAATTTACTTAATAGTTTTAATTTCACAGTTATTATAAAAAAAAAATTTATTTTGAAGGCGAACCTGAAATCATTCTTTCGACCGAAGATGGAACACCAATAAAACTGACGGTGACGGATCAGAAAGATGCCACGTTCAAAGTCGATTTCATTCCTGTTGGACATCATCCAATAACAGCACAAGTACGTTTATTTTTATTCATTTCTTGTTGGTCCTCGAGGTTGCGCAAGTCGTAAAATTTCTACGTTTGTCAGGACTGCGCAATGAAGAACATGCGCAGTTTAAATGATTAGACAATAAGTTAAGATGCATCATTTTTGTTAATTATTGTGGAGGGAAAAAAGATTTTGAAAATAACTTAATTTTCAAACATTACAAAAATTTTCCTAAACTTGCGACTGAAAACGTTTTTCAATGGTATAAATTAAAATGAATTAAATTAAAAGTATTTATCGTATCCAATTGAAATAATCACGCGTGTTTACAAAAATTGAGTTATTTAAACCAAAAATTATTAAAGTTATGTAAAAAATTAACTTATAAAATTATCTAACAATCAGGTAAAATTTGCTGAACAACAAGTTCCTAAAAGTCCATTTAAAATACCCATAGAACAAAGTCCTTCTGATGCCTCTAAAGTATTTATAAAACTGTTTTTTATTGACTTTGTTACAAGAAAATTTATTTCAATTTGATTAATTTTTTAACTTGCTTAATAAAAGTAAGTGTTAACTAATAATTTACCGCACATTAATTCTAGGTTAAATTGTATGGCCCAGCAGTTGAAGGACCGGTCAAATCTCACGAACCAACTCATTTTGTTGTTGATGCTAAAGAAGCCGGACCAGGTTTTAAACCCTGACACTTTTAAAGTTTCCAAATATTTTGAAAATACTTTTTGTATCTATTATAACCATTGAAATTTTTAAAAAATGTAACATAGTTTAAGTATAATAGGTATACAAATATTCATTAATATCTATCAAAAGGACACCCTGAAGTGAAATTGACGGTTGACGACGGCCAAAATACTCCGGTGTGCACCAAAGTCAAAGACAATCACGACGGCACCTATGTAGTTGACTTTGTTCCAGAACAAGTAGTGCCAATAACAGCCGAAGTTAAGTTTGCGGGAAATCAAGTTCCTAAAAGTCCTTTCAAAATTCCAGTTGAACTTGGCTCAGGAGTTAAGCCAGATGCATCAAAAGTTAAACTTTATGGGCCAGCTGTTGATGGACCAGTTCAGTCCAGTAAACCAACTCACTTTGTCATTGATGCCAAAGAGGCTGGACCAGGTAATTATTTGATTTTAAACTATTAATCAAATCAATTAGTTTGTATGGTTGATTAAAACTATTATTTTTTCAAAGAAAGATTTTCAAAAAAGTTTCATTCTTGATAGTCCTTAAAAATTGTTAATAACCTTAAAAACATTTATGTTATTTAAACCATCCGTTCAAAAAAAGAGATCAAACAAGTCTATCAAAAGTCCATAATTTTAATAAACTTGTTTAAATTTTTTAATAATTTTTAACATTTAAATTGAATGAAGGATTTCCTGAAGTAACCTTGACAAGCGAAAATGGAAGTTTGCTAAAACCAACTGTTACTGATAAAAAGGACGACACATATGTTGCTGAATTTGTTCCTGTTCTTGTTCAACCTATAACAGCTCAAGTCAAATATGCTGGACAACCTGTTCCAAAATCTCCATTTAAAATTTTAGTGCAGCCTTCATCTGATACCGATCCTAGCAAAGTAAAAGTTTATGGACCAGCTGTAGAGGGGCCCGTTCAAGCCAGCCAAACCACATATTTCGTTATTGACGCAAAAGAAGCAGGACCTGGTATTTGATCCATTTAAAATTAGAACTATTTTAATTTTATTAATATGATAATATGAACGTTTTAAAGGTCACCCTGATGTTGCATTGACAAGCGCTGATGGTAAAGTATTAAAACCTAAAATTATTGACAACAAAGACCACACATATACAGTCGAATTTGTTCCTGTATCTGTTGAATTAATTACTGCCTCAGTAAAGTTTGAAGGACAACCCGTACCAAAAAGCCCATTTAAAATAACCGTTAGTTCTGGAGTAACTAATCCTCTCAAGGTCAGTATATTTTATAGCAACATAAAAAAATCAACAATAAGAAAGTAGGTATAAAAAAAAACATTGAACTTATTTTAAATACTGTAAAGGTGAAATTACACGGACCGGCGGTCGAAGGTCCTGTTAAATCTCAAGAACCTACTTATTTTATCGTTGATGCCAAAGAAGCCGGCCCAGGTTTATCAACTATTTTTTGCCAATATATTTGTTTTAATGGATAATATATTAATTGTTCGATTTTTTTCTAGGTTTACCTGAAATTAAACTGGTTGCTGACAACGGAGCTACAGTACCAGCAAAAGTGAAGGACAATCATGACGGAACATACGTTGTTGACTTTGTTCCTGAAGCAGTCATCCCTATAACAGCCGAAGTCAAATTTGCAAATCAGCAAATTCCTAAGAGTCCATTCAAAATTCCAGTTGAACCTGCATCAGGAATCAAACCTGATGCGTCTAAGGTGAAACTTTTTGGACCTGCTGTTGAAGGACCAGTAAAAGCTAGCAAGCCCACATTTTTTGTTGTAGATGCTAAAGAAGCTGGCCCAGGTGAATGTTATGTTTAATGATAATTCTTAGCTAGACCGTAACCAAGATATTGATTTGCGGTGTTGTTTGGAGTTTTTCCTACACGAGGCAGCAATCAAAATAAGTTGAGTAGACGGAAATTTCTTTGCAATCGAATCCGGTTACAGGCACTTACACCACCGCGCCACTCAAACGGTATATCGTATATTATGTTTAAGAAATTGGGGGACTGAAGGCTTCTTACCCCTCTGGCTACGTTCTTTATTTAAATGTTTTTAATGATTTGTTTGCATGTTTGTTTGTTTTTATAACTTTAAATCTTTTTGAATATAATGATATAATATTTCAATTTTAATGTATAATAATTTAAAATCTATTTTAATATAATAATAATTATTATTATTATTTTATAATTGTTTGTTTATTATTTTAACATTTGATAATTTAAAAATTTTAGGTTTACCTGAAGTTTCTCTGCTTAGCGAAGATGGAACACCACTGAAACCAACAATAACAGACAATAAAGACGGCACATTTAAAGCGGATTTTGTACCAGTTTTAGTCCAGCCAATCACAGCTCAAGTTAAATTTGCTGGACAGCCGGTACCCAAAACTCCTTTCAAAATACCTGTTCATCCATCAGTAACCAGTGATGCAAGCAAGGTAAAGGTCTATGGACCCGCTGTTGACGGTCCAGTCCAGGCGCATCAGCCAACATTTTTCGTCGTTGATGCAAAAGAAGCTGGACCAGGTAGTACGAAATATATTATGACAAATTTCATCCAATTACTGATTTTTGAAAAACAAACATAAAAACAGGACAGCCTGAAGTTGCCTTGACAACAAAAGATGGCACCATAATCAAACCAAAGATCGTCGATGAACACAACAACACATACAAAGTTGAATTCGTTCCCGTATCAGGTCAACCAATCACGGCTGTCGTTAAATTTGCTGGCGCGGAAGTCCCAAGAAGTCCATTTACAATTTCAGTTTCTCCTGGAACAACCGACGTTTCAAAGGTTTCATTGTCTTATTTTTGTAATCACACACACATACTTTGTTAAATGTGTAGGCATGAGTGTGTAACTTATGTGTGTAACATTCCTTTCAACAGCCAGCATAGGGTGGTGCAATTTCAACAGCCAGTACTATGATGGTTGATGCTTCAACGTTTTTGTTCCCAAGCATTTATATTGTTTGAAATTTATAAATGTAATTTCAATGAAATGAATAAAATTAAATCTATTCATTTATTTTTTTTTACCCCTGATTTCTAGTTGTTGTTTTTTGTTGCATTAAAATTTATTTTATTAGTATTTTTCAATTTTTCTAAGCACATGATCTTTCTATTTATATTTTTCTGTGCATACATAAGTTTGTATGGGTGATCATTTTGTTTTTCAATCAAGAAAAAACTTTGTTATGAAGAAATTAATCTATTTTATATAATAAAAATATTACATGTATTATGATGTTGCTAAGAAAGTTTTAACAAAAATATCATAAATAGGTGAAACTGTTTGGTCCCGCCGTTGAAGGACCGGTCAAAACGAAGGAGCCCACGTACTTCGTCATTGACGCTAAAGAAGCTGGTCCAGGTATGGGTGTGAATTTAAATTTGAAAAGGTATGAATGTGATTTTCGAAACCATGTTACACCACACTCTATCAGGCCAGCCTGATGTGAAGTTGACTCCCGAGGGAGGAGCAGCAGTTCCGGTGAAAGTTAAAGACAACCACGACGGAACTTACCTAGCTGAGTTTGTTCCAGAAGCACTCGTTCCCTTAATTGCCGAAGTTAAATTTGCTGACCAGCAGGTTCCAAAAAGTCCTTTTAAAATTCCGGTTGAACCAGGATCCGGATTTAAACCGGATGCTTCCAAAGTAAAACTGTACGGACCAGCTGTTGAGGGACCCGTAAAATCCAACGTGCCAACATTTTTTGTTGTAGATGCAAAAGAAGCTGGACCAGGTTAACCTGAATAATAATAATAATAATGTTATGTTATGTTATGGCAACAATCAATGTATAATATATAACAGATACTACATAAAAACCTAATTTAGGTGCTCCAACCGTTAGCCTCGTTACTGAATCCGGAATTCCTTTGAAACCAATTTTATCTGACCACAAAGATAGGACTTTCAAAGTTGAGTTCATTCCAGTTTACACTCAACCAATCATATGCCAAGTTAAATACGCTGATCAACCGGTTCCAAAAACTCCTTTTAAAATTCCGGTGCTGCCAGCAGCTGGTACAGACCCATCAAAAGTTAAACTGTTTGGACCTGCCGTTGAAGGCCTTGTGAAATGTTGTGAACCGACATATTTTGTTGTTGATGCTAAAGAAGCTGGTCCTGGTACGTGTTGTTCATCACAAACTTTTTGTTTCGTTATTTTATAAACAGACAATTCAGAGTTTACACGGTCGTTTACGTTAGGTTTTCCGGAAGTGATTTTAGCCACCGAAGACAAATTGCCGGTCAAAGCCAAAGTTATTGATAACGGTGATGGCACATTCAAAGTGGAATTTGTACCCACCACCGGTAAACCAATTGTTGGCCAAGTCAAGTTTGCAGGTCAACAAATTCCAAAGAGTCCATTCAAAATTCCTGTTGAACCAGCTATTTGTGGAGCGGCAAATGTGAAAGTTTACGGACCAGCTGTGGAGCAACCCGTCAAACCTCATCAACCCACTTATTTTATGGTCAATGCTAAAGACGCTGGGCCAGGTTTGTTTGTCTGAGTTTTAAAGTGTAAAATCTTTTGCAAAACGTTTTCTTAAACAGCCCGAACGCTTAAGTTTAATTAAATGTATTTTTCTTTTATACGTGCATTGTAAATATATACATTTATTTACTATGTAATCAATAAAAACAAAGCGCAAGTTTTTTTATTTATTTTAAAGAAAATAAGCTTTAAAAATGGAAAATATAGGTAGTGTGACAGTAACTTTAGTAGAAGATGACAGCGCTCCACATCCCGAACACGTCCAGCCTCCTCAACCAACTATTCAAGGCCAGCAAGACGGCATTTTCAAAGTTGATTTCACTCCTCACACTCCTATTATTGCGCACGTGTCTTTTCAAGATAAGCCTATACTAAACAGTCCATTTAAGATTTCTTTTGTTTCGGAAATGGAAGAGCCCCAATTTGTTCCAAGCCAGGTTTTGCCTCAAGAAGCAGTTAAAGAACAAGAATTTCAACCACAACTTCAAAAACCTCTAGAAGTTCTGCCAGTTGTCGATATGACTCAGCCTCTTGCACCCCAACAGTTCCAATTTGTACCCACTCAGCAACCATATGATCAACCGCACCAACAAGCAACAGATCAACCATCGCAACAACAACCCACTCAACAACCCCCTCAACAACCTCCTCAACAACCCCCTCAACAATCCCCTCAACAACCTCTTCAACAACCCCCTCAACAACCTCCTCAACAACCTTCTCAACAACCTTCTTATCAACCTCCTCAACAACCTCCCCAACAACCTTCTGAACAACTTTCGCCTTTTCAACCTGAAAAAGTAAGAGTATATGGACCAGCGCTGGAAGGTCCAGTGTCTCCTTCAACGGGCACCTATTTTGCGGTTGACGCCAAAGATGCGGGTCCTGGTTGGTAACCTCTATCAATTTAGATTAGGAGTCAAGTGTTTTAGCTTTGCCTTTTATTTGCTTCTAATTAGTGACACAAGACTTATGCTTTTTTAATGAGATTGGTTAAAACCCAACCAAATGAATTTTGAGTTTTGTGAACTACACTTTAGATAGATAAATTTAATGCTGAATTGAAAAGTAGATAGATTTTTTTATTTTTGACTTAGAATCTCAAGGTTTTTTGCTGATAGTAGTATTTTCACGTGCGAATGCGTCCATTTACTTTTTGACTTAGAATCTCAAGGTTTTTTGCTGATAGTAGTATTTTCACGTGCGAATGCGTCCATTTACTTTTTGTTTGACATCAGCTAATGATAAAAACTTGTTACATTAGTAATCATGCTTGCTTGGTTCTTCTCATCAACTTTTGTACGTTTCACATTTTGATCAATTTTTATAGAATCATATTAACTCAGGTACAAATCTGAAAAAGTTTACATTTGCATTTGATTATCCTCATATTAGCAAACTTTTCGTCTATACAAGTTTTTGTCATGCTACATCTCGGTTTGATAAATTATTTATTTGCATTTAGATTCATTCTTTTAACTTATGCACCACTTTAACCATTTTGTATACTTTTTTTGTGATTCAAATTTCGGCAACAACCTTAAATATACGAAGCACGAATAAGTAACGAAACGTACAGTTTGCATTCCGAAGCAATTCTACCTCATAATATCACAATTTTTTAGGAATATGTGTGCCTGGTTTCTCAATTTTTTTATTTATATGAATAATTTTAGATTTTTTAATATGTAGCACCTTTTAATGTTTCAATTTTTTTCTCAATTTTCCACGATTCCATTTTTATATAAGTTAGATTTAATTATTTTTATACCTGTAAGGGTAATTTTATAAGTTATCAATATGCGCTAAAGAAATTAATTAACATTGTAGCTATAATATTAAAGTATAATCTAGCCGGTATATAAAGCAGCATAACATCTCAACATCAGAAGTATACTTTGCTGCCACTCGATGCACGCACAGCTCGTTGAAAAGTTTGTTGAATCCCCAATTAATTCAGTTTAATGTACTGAGATATTTCTCGCTTGCTGCAATACACGCCACACTGATGTTGCATAATAATTAAATAGATGCTTATTATCATACTTTATATTCATTAGAAATACGTTTATATGTTTTATAACGTACATAAAGAGGTTTTTTGGTCTAATTTAAAACCAGGTTTAGTTTTTTTTTATATATGTATTGTCATATATATATAAATATATACAAGTATGTGTGCTTATATCCATACCCACATATGCAATGCATTTACATATATACATTTGCACCTTTGAACGGTAGTTAAAATATTTCCTATTGAAAAGAACTTTAATTAAGTCTTTGAAATCCTCAGATGAAGGTTAAGTTATTAAACTTTGTGATTCAAAATATGCTGTGTTAATTGATGTCTTATTTAACACTTGTATGTAAATCTGTCGCACATTAAATATTACATGGCAGTTAAGTTTGGACGTAAATTTAACGTTTTTTGCTGTTTTTTATAATTCATTGTTTTAAATAGTAATTTTAATAACAGACTAATTTTATTTTATCCTTGGATTTCTTTTTTTTGAGTATGTGGAACAAATGTTCAAATCTTAACTTAAAGATTTTTGTATTTTTGTAATTGATATTGCTATTATGACACCTTATAACATGGCGTTTGGTGAATTCTCTCATTTTTATGTTGGCGGAGATTTAATATCTGTATAGTGTTATGTACGTTTGGCACTGTTAGTGCTTTAAGTGTCAATGATTTCGTTAGCAACAAAAACTGGTAGAAATAAACCAAATAATTTGTAGCAACCAGGTTTTAATGGATGTGGCTGCCAAATTTTCTGCCAGTTTTACTATCAATTGTTTAATTTTATGTACGAGGAATTTCTTTATAACAACTGAATTATAGCTATTGGACTTAACGTTGGTCTGATGCTCTAACGGCACCTGCGTCATGCTATCATCCACAACCAATATTCACCTCCAACCAATGCCGTCCTGTTTTCAAACAAAGCTTACAATTTGAATGCCATTTGGCAATTCCAATCTAAAACTTCATGTGTTATTTATATTTTTAATATTTAATATTTAAACAAATTCAGTGCATTTGTTACTGTTTGACAGTTTGCTTTCATTAAAATTAACATGTTGCATAATAACGAAATTTGTGAAAGTAGTCTGGTTTTTTTCTATTTGCAGTTCTTATTTCTAATGCTAAATTTTTTTTGAAATATAGGAGTAGATGCTTGAATATTTTTAAAAGTTTGTACCTCAATTTATGATGGGCTCATTGAAACTAACGCGTTAATGTTTAACTTTGTTCTAACCATCCATAAGTGCTATATTTGTACGCTAGATTAGTACAATACAATTCAAATCGGAATATAAATTAACTTACATTCTAATCAAAAACTTTACATATTTTCAGTTTTCAATTGTATATTTTACAATTTTAAAATGGCAACTACTGTCTGTCAACTACGTTGTAGGTGAACCAGCAGTTCAAGTGATCCCTCTGAAAGGTGGACCTGTGCCCGTTCAAAAGACTGACAACAAGGACGGTACTTATAGAATCGATTTCACCACTCCATCTGAAGTGGTTCCCACCATGGCCGACGTTAGGTACAATGGTACACCTGTTCCCGGCAGTCCATTCAAAATAAATGTTCAGCCTAAGTCTGAAGAACCGGCTGTTCATATACCTGATTTACCTCAAAGTATGGTGTCTTGTTTGGCGTTTTAAAAAATATGAAATATACTGGTTTATTTATTTATTAAATGGTAAAAAAAACTCTTTAAATTTCAGCGTTAACTGTTGGTCAGCCCACACCTTTCCATGTGAATGTTGCTGGAGCTAAACCAGTACCCGCCGCAGTTGAATTGATCACACCAAACGGAAGTTTAGGCCAAGCAAAAGTCATTGATACTCCCGAAGGATTCATTGGAGAAGTAGCTGCTCATGAAACTGGACCACACAAAATTGGAATAAAAATAGCAGGACAACCGATTCAAGGAAGTCCTTTTAATGTTGAGGCGGTTCCTGAATATTTGACATTCACTCCTACGAACAATGAAATTGATCCCTCAAAGGTTAAAGTTTACGGACCCGGGTTGACTGGTGGTACTACCAACAAGCCATGTGATTTTACTATTGATACAAGTGCAGCTGGGCCTGGCAATCTAGGCTTGACTATTGACGGGCCAACCGAAGCTAAAATTGAATGTTTCGACAAAGGCAACGGCGTTTTTGACGTCAGGTAAAAAATTTTCGATTTATTCAAATTTACTGTATAGCCTATTAGCTTGCATTGATAAATAATTTACCTATTTCTATTGCTTAGATATTTGCCGAACGAACCTGGAGAGTACACGATAAACGTCACATTTGAGGATCAATCTGTTCCTCATTCTCCATTCAAAGCTCAAATTAATCCTGAAATTTTGGTTGATGTTAGCAAAGTCAGAACGTTTGGTCCTGGCGTTGAACCTAAAGGTTGTTACATACACATTTGAATTAATTACATTTTGGTTGTTTACTTTGTAGTTTTTATTAAATAAATGTCCGTGAGAACATGTGAACTTTTTATTTCAGGAGTATTTTTGGATTCTGTAACCGAGTTCACTGTTGATACTGCATCCGTTCAGCCGAAGGGTTTGGGTAACGTGAAAGTCATTCTTACCAATCCATCTGGAACGCTGACAGAAGCAATTGTAATTAAGAATGAACAGGATAACACATACACTGTCTTGTACACGCCATTTGAACAAGGTTCGACCATATTTTATTTATTTAATTCGGTGGCAAACCTTTGATGGTAATTAATAATTATAGGATTAACAAAAATTGATGTCACATCCTAAATCTTATAATTAATAATTATAGGATTAACAAAAATTGATGTCACATACGATGGATTGAGAGTTCCGAGAAGTCCATTTGTAACTGATGTTCAACCCGGTTGCGATCCAACAAAAGTTAAAGTATATGGATCAGGTATTCAATCGATTAATCAATCAAACAAACAAACAATCATTTGTTCAATTCAATCAAAGTATTGATGATTTTGTAAACTGATGCATTTTTAGTGCAATCGAACGCACTAAGAATATAAATATTAAATTGAATATAAAGGAATTGTGAAAGGTGAGCCCAACAAACCACAAAAGTTCACGATCAACACAAGAAGCGCAGGAGTTGGTGGTGTTGGTCTTTCTGTGGTCGGTCCCACTGAGCCACATGTCGATTGTGTTGACAACCAGGATGGAACACTATCAGTTGAGTATCTTCCAGATTCTCCAGGAGATTATGAGATTGGTGTTACTTTTGCCGATCAACCAGTGCCAGGTTAACTTAATTTATACAAATAGTCGTAGGTAGAATTGTCAAATGTTTGTTTTGTGTTGAAATGTTTTATTTTGATAAAAATTTGACCATTCGTGTCTTTTATGTTTTAAATTCTTACAACGTCGTTATTAAAGTTTATTTCTATTTAAATTTTATATTAAAAATTAACCTAACTTAAGCTGTGTCATATTGATTAATAATTTATTTAAACTATCCACAAACAGGCAGTCCTTTCATTGTTCCAATTGTTGACCACAGTCAACCACAACAACAAATGCAGCAACCACAACAGCCCCAACAGCCAGGATTTTTTCCAGAAAGAGTGAAAGCGTTCGGACCGGGATTAAACCCACAAGGTGTTAAGAAGGATCAGAAAGCAATTTTCAGCGTAGTGACTGAACAGGCTGGCATCGCACCTCTCGAAGTTGTGGTCACTGACGTCAACTCAGGTCAGCTAATTAAAAATTTAACATCAAATAATAAAACTAATGAATTTTTCAGAAAATAAAGATGTATGTTAAAAAAATTAAGGTCAAAGAACTCCATCAAAGACAACTCAGTTGCCAAGTGGAAGTTACGATGTCGAGTATGAACCACACAACGAGGGGCCTCTGAAGGTTGATGTTCTGTATGGAGGGAAGCACGTGCCTGGCAGGTTTGTCATGCATTTATAATAATTTAATAAGTTATTATTTTATTCTAGCCGTTCTTTTTTACCAAATATGTACTAAGCAATGTTCATCTAACAAGAAAATTGCGGTGCGATTATGTCAAATAATTTTAATTTTTAAAAATTATTGTTAATTTATTGTTAAGCAGAAATTACTTTTTTAAAATTTATTTTTATTGGATAAAATATTTGAAATCGTAAATGAAGCTAAATGAAACAATTAACAAACTTAATTTGTATTAATTATTTAGGTATGTTGTAAAATTTTTTAGATGTTACATATTTGTAATAGAAGTTATAATTAGAAATATAATAATAATTGGAAGTTATAATTTAAAAAATGATAGCGTGAATTTAAAGAAAAATGATAATGCAGCCCGTTTAGTACGGTGTCGCGTCCATTTACTGATCTTTCAAAAGTTGTCGTGGGTGGTGATGGGATCAAACCTCAGGTGCCTGCCAGCTTACCTGTTGTTTTCTTCGTGGACACCCGTCAAGCAGGCCCTCATGATCTGCCTGTTGAAGTGGACGTCAAGGTAGGAACTTCATATGAACAGTAGACATCATGAACAATTTTCATTCAAACTAATATTTTATCACAATGTTAGAATCCTCAAGGAAGAGTAGTTAAGCCTGAACTTTTCCAAACCACTCCTGGAATAACTCAGGTATTCATGAAATTATGTTACTCTAAATGCCTTAATGTTGGCAATTTTTAATTAAACTTTAAATGTGAAATTAAAATGAAACTTTGAATTTGAAGGTGAAATACGTGCCTGAAGACGCCGGCGCACATCAAATTCAAGTTAAAGTTGCCAACCAAGAAGTTCCAAACTCTCCATTCAGAGTAGCTGCCGTGCCAACCGGAAATTCAGAAAATGTGGTTGTTCCGGGTAAAAATCATTTCAGAATTTTTGGTTTTATATCTAAACAAGCTATTTGTAACTTAATTTTGTCAAGAATCATATACAAGTCAAAGCGATGTTGAAATTGTTTTTATTGCTAAATGACTAATGTATCAAAAGCTGAAAATATGTTGGCTTTGAAAGTTGAGTGTAGTGCACAATAATTTTGATAAGTATTATAATAATGAAAATCATATCTAAAACATTTTGGATGCTCTTCATTAGAAAGGTTTTGATATTCTCACTCTGTGTTTTTGCAAAAAGTATTAATAGTTCAATTTATTTTATTATTTTGGATTATGAGGACGATTTGTTGAATAACTGGTTGGGTAAAATTAATTGTATTAGCTGTAAATGAAAATAACAATTCTGAATAAATTAACAAGATGTACCTGCAATGGCTCCTGCTGGCCAAATGTTTCAGTTCAAAGTTCAGAAACCAGCCACAACAGGTCTCGGAAACGTCACCTGCAAGGTCAGATGATACAAATTTACATCGTTTAAGGGTTAACCTTATTTACATAATTTCCAATAATTCAATAACATTTTTGCGTAGGTTTCAAAAGCCGGCCAACCTGGTTTCCCAGCAATTGAAGTTCCTTCAGAAGTTGTTGACAACCACGATGGCACTGTCACAATATCTTACCAAGTTCCAGAAGATGGAGTCCTTATAACGGAAGTTAAATTTGGAGGAGTGCTTGTTCCCAAAGGAAGATTCACACAAAAAGTCCGTTTAAATTCAACTAGGAAATTTACATAAAATTTATAATTGAAATTATTGATTATAGGTTGGTAAACCGGGAGAGCAGGGCCCTGCTAAACCAACAATCACCAAAGTTACTACGGGATCGGCTCCTCAATCACCACCCGGCCCATTATCGCCAACTGCTTCTCCCTACAAAATGGTTGAAGTACCATTTATTCCTGTGGGGCCAAACCTGGATCAAGTTTCTGGTGAAATATTACAATGATTTAACAGAATAACATATTAACACATATTTGTTTTTTAAATTTTTTAAACTCTTTTTTGTCTATTAAGCTGTCGTTGTGAAACCTTCTGGTGAGAGTGTGCCAGTTGAAGTTGTTGAGAACGGCACAGGTAATGTTAAAGTAGTCTTCCACCCAACAGAACCCGGACCTCACATATTAAAAGTTTGTTTACATTTTTGTTTTACCTCAATCTGTCAATTGACAATATTTTACTGTAAAAAAAATTTTAAAACTCGGTAGACAATTTATATAAAGGCCTAATTTTGTTTTTCGAAGGTTTTGTACGCAGGGGTGCCAGTTCCAGGGGATCCGTTCAGTTTCTTCGTTCATGCTCCCAAGCCGGGACAGGTTACAGCATATGGACCAGGGTTGGTGGCAGGAGTGGTCAATCAACCCTGCGTCTTCACTGTTGTCACTAAGAATGCCGGTCCAGGTTGAAAAAACTATAATTTTTACATATCTACTTTCAAGCACACATCAAGATACATTTTAACTCAGACATGCTATTGCAATAATTTGAATGTAGAGCTCCTGTTTTTATTAAAGATCATTTTTATACTATTTTTGCGTTCACTGTTTAATATAAATTTTTAGGAGGTCTTGCATTGGCAATTGAGGGTCCATCTAAGGCTGAAATCAAATGCAAAGACAACAAAGATGGCAGTGCTACTATCACATACACACCAACATCGCCTGGAGAATATAAGATTCTTATCAAACATGCAGGACAACCAATTCTTGGCGCTCCATTCATAGCTAAGATAATTGGTCTGTTTTTAGGCTACAAATAAAATATTTCCATTAGAACAAATTGAATGAAATCAATAATCAGTTGTAAACAATGCAGGTGAGGACAGATCTATTTTTACCAGATCAGTTCTGACGAGCAGTGAACAGTCTGCCATCACAAGACAATCACATGTTACTGTTGGCAGCACCAGGCATTTGACTATTCAGGTTAATGATTGCCTTCTAACAAATGTGTATTTTAAAAATTGGCTATAATCTATCCAAGTGACGCGCCTGTATTGCAGTTTTAATAAAATATTTTTACAGGTGACTGAAAGTGACCTAAGTAACTTATCGGCAGTTATCAGGTCTCCATCTGGACATGACGAACCATGTGGACTCAAGAGACAGCCAAACGGACAACTGGGTATGTTTATTTCTAAGGTTTCTTGACCTGTCAGTATCCGAATTAAATAAATTGAATGAAAAGCCAGTATTTTTTGTTGTTCCAGGCATTTCCTTTACGCCGAAGGAGTCAGGTGAGCACCTTGTGACCGTATTCAGAAACGGACAACCAATCCCTGGATCCCCGTTCCGTATCGTCATTCAAGCGCAGGAAGTTGGGGATGCGGACAGAGTTAAGGTCCGTAAATATTTTTGCGTATTTTTCGTATGAAAAAACTAAATTGTCAATTTTTTTAATTTCATTGAAGGTTTATGGAAGCAACATATCAAATGGCAACGCAAATGAATTGAATGAATTCATTATTAATACGAAAGAAGCTGGAGTGGCTGGCCTGTCTATTTCGGTGCAAGGTGAATAACTTTAAGTTACTTTTTATATCATATTGCCTACCTGAGCCATATTATCTTCGCCTAATATTTTAAAATAATTTCCACTTAACATACAAATCTCATCATAAGAACTGAAAACATTTGCGAAAGTAAATGAAGAGAAACTGTTTGAATAGCTAATAATATTAATAATATTAATAATAACCGTAATAAACATTTTATAAAATTTGGAAACTCTAAATGAAAATCAACGTTTGTTAAAAATAATATACGTCTTAGGTCAAAGTTTTGTTAGAGAAAAAAAACAGCAGATAACTTGAAATGCTTTGAAACAAATTTAAAGTGTAATATTTGAGTTGGTTTTTACTATAAGGCTTTATAAGATGGTTACAAAGGACGGTGAGGCCAATTTCAAAAGTTTTCAGTGTTTTTTTATAATGTAATTTTTGCAGAAATGTAATTTCTTTTTGCTACCAAGGTCCGGGGAAAGTGGAAATAAAATGCACAGAAAACGACGATGGCACAACTAAGGTTTCGTACAAGCCGACTGAGCCAGGAATCTACCACGTGACTATCAAGTATGGAGACAAGCCTGTTCCTGGTTGGTTCCGTTATGTCGTCTTGTTTCTTTTCAAGTTCAAAATTGTTTGTTGCTAATAGTGGTAGTGCCTGAAATTCTGACAGACAGATTTTATTATTATTACTGGCAACGCATATTTCAACATTAGTTGAATAAATGTTGGATAAATGTTCCAACCAGTGTATGTATACATCAAATTTAACATGCATATAATTTTGTAACGTTTAATAACTGTTATGTTAACTTTTTACATACTACCACAAACAGGAAGTCCTTTCAACATCCAGGTGGCGGGTATGCCATCAGGGCGGGTAAAGGAAAGGATTGTAAGGCAGCAACAAGCAGCTACCATCACCTCCGTTGGAACGACATGCGAACTCAACATCACAATGCCAGGTTAGGCAAAGGGAACTTATAAAAGTTAATTTGATTAAGGAATGTTCGTTTTTTCAAGTTGTTACACGAATTATTTGTTTTAAAACTTTTGTTTAAGCAACTATAATTTAACATTTTAAATACTTTTTGTGAAAACGTTTCTTAGGCTCATACAAATTTGTTTTCTCTCAAGTTTATTTAGCTTTGCTTCTTTTACCTATTTTTAAATAATGGAGTTTTTAACTGAACTTTAGTTCAACAACTAATAATATTTATTCTTCTTCATTTGGTCCTTTAATTTTATTTCTAGAAATGCAGCATACTTTGATTCTACTAAAAAAAAATTTGCTCAAACATCTTGCTGATATATTAAAAACTACCAAAGTTAATAATTATTTGTTGCAATTAAAATAAATGAAAAAGTTATTGAATTTTTTTTCGTTAATAAGCAAATTAACAATTTTTTCAAAATACAGGCATTAACGTCAATGAAATTGAAGGACAAGTAACAAGCCCATCAGGCCAAGTTGACAAATGCCAGGTCGTTGATTTGGGTAACAGCAAATTTAGAATAAGCTTTGCTCCTAAAGAATCTGGCGTACATTTTGTTAGTTTGAAGCACAAAGGAATGCATATCCCCGGTTAGATTATGTGTGTTGAAACAAGGATTCTGATGTTATTTGTTTTATAATCTGCAAAATTGATGTGACTTTATAGCGCTAGTTGAAAATTAAAAATTTCTCAAAATCTGCTTAACAACTATCCATTCGGCAAACACTCAAATTTTAATTAAAGCGTGTTGATATTTTCAGAACATAAACTGATCGATGAATTATTTTTATTTAAAATTAACATAAACTTTAAAGGAAGCCCCTTCCAGTTTACCGTTGGTCCCATTGTTGGAGGTGGACCCGAGAAGGTCAGGGCTGTAGGACCGGGACTTGAAAGAGGAGAGTCCAACAAACCTTGTACTGAATGCTTTTCGTTAATTAATTGTTTTCAACAAAATTAGCATTGAAGACTTTATTTTATTCTCATCAATGCAATTGTTGACTCTCAGGCCACTTCACAGTAATAACAAGAGAAGCAGGAGCTGGAAGTTTGTCGTTGGGAGTTGAAGGACCGAGCAAAGCCATCATTGATTTCCAGGATAGAAGAGATGGAACAAGCGACGTCAATTACGTCTGCTCAGAGCCTGGTATGCATTCAGGAATTTTTGTCATGTGTGGCTTTTTAATTCACTTTAAAAAAATAAACTTTTAGATGTTGCGTGAGTAAAAATGAAAAATTGATATTTTCAAGGCGAATACTTGGTCTCAGTTAAATTCAATGGTCAGCATATTACAGACTCCCCATTCAAAGTTTACATCTCGTCTACTGGTGACAGTCAAAAGTTACACGTTCAAAATCTTCAACAGCAAGGCCTCCCGGTTGGTCAAACCTGAAATTTAAACTTTCATAAAGTAATTAATTCACTTTTCAAACAATAAATTCTTCATTACACATTTCAACACTGAACGTTTTCATTTACATAACATTTTTTTTTCAAAATTTTATCCAGGTCAACACTCAAACAGAATTCCTCGTAGAATTCAATGGAGCACAAGGACAGCTGGATGCGAAGGTCGTCGCTCCATCTGGCATTGAATCCGTCGCACAAGTTCAGGAAGTTCAACCAGGTTTGTTAACTTTTTAGCCCTTTGTAGCACATGTGTATACTATCTGTTGCACGTGATCGAAATTAGTGATAACGCCAAACATAATTGTTAGATCATTTGATATTTTAAATTCAGATGAGGAAATCGAATCCATATTTTAAATATTCATACATTAGGTCGTTTCAGCGTGAACTTTGTGCCGAAAGAAGGAGGTGTACATTATATTCACCTGTTGTTGAATGGCAACCACGTTCCTGGATCCCCGTATCCTGTGCAAGTTGGAGTAATCAGTGCAGATCCCAGCAAAGTCAGAGCTTATGGAGATGGGCTTCACAGTGGACAATCTGGTAAATCTTTCTCACGACTTTAAATTTTTTATTCCTTCTAATGAAAATAATATGAATCTTGTAACGAGTGAATAAAAATATTTTTGCGATTTTAACGTTTACTTCATTAAATAATCATGCAGGCCAAGCTTGCAAATTTATTGTGAACACAACACAATCTGGCCCAGGAGCGTTGTCTGTTGGAATATCTGGTCCCTCTAAGGTTGAACTGCAAACAAAGGAAGTTGAAGAAGGTGTGAACAATTTTCTTTTCGAAACTTATTTTAAATTTGATTGTTATTTGAGAAATTCTATTTTTTCTCATCAGGTTATGAATTCACCTACACGCCACTTGCACCTGGTCCTTATTTAATTAACATAAAATATGCTGGCAACAACCATATTCCTGGCAGCCCTTTCAAGGCCCAAGTTGGAGGTTTGTTTTAATAGGCACCTTCTTCGTTAATTATCATTAATAATTTTATAATCATCTGTTATCATTAGTGTTTTATCTTAAATTGTAAAAAGAAGAATAAAAAATGTTAGTAATTCAACAGCCCGCAAATCTTGATTTTACACGCGCGCACACATACGCACAACATAGACACACTTACACACTGTGATATGAATAGACTGTGATATGTAAATGAATGTATCAGGTGTAGGCACACCAGCGGCATACACTGAGCAGTCACGAGTTGTCGTAGAAACGGTAACGAAGTCAACAACCTGCTCTATGACTCAACACCTCGGCGAATTTGTTAGTGACTACACAAAGGTCGTTGCGACAGGTAACGGACTGAACCAAGCATTCGTCAATCAAGAAGCTACTTTCTTAGTAGATGGGTCGCAAGCAGGTTTGCATTATAATCTAATTTTCAATTTTATACAATTCCAGATATAAGAATTTATTTTTATATTGAAAATGTTGTTGCGTTGGAAGCATTTTTTCATTAATTTTATAATTTGATATTGCTCCAGGTTACAACTTGTTTTGGGTTGGAATAGCTGGTCCTCACGTTCCTGCTGAAAAAATTCTGGTAACTCATCTTGGTGAGCTGCGTTATTCAGTTCGCTACCAAGTCAGTCAGCCAGGCACCTACAAAATCTACGTTAAGTGGGGAAATAAGTTAATTCAAGGATGCCCATACACCGTTGAAGTAAAATAAAAATATTATTTATTGATTATTTTGTTCTATAACTCGCTAAATTTTGGTTGTCCACTAAAAAAAGTATTATTTCACGTTATATATTATCATTTTGTCAAAATGACATTTGATTTGTGATGAAAGATGCAAACTTTTGAAAATAAGCATTGCTATTCATTAACTTTCATGCGTTTTATCTTTCTCTTCTTTATGTTTTATTTTCAAGTGTTTTGAGTTTTTTGGTTGCTATTCAAATGTTGTTTGTCTACAGCTTTATCAGTTTTAACTAATTTTCAATCTGCATTTACAAATTGTGTTTTGTGTATTTATTTATTAATTTATTATATAATTAATTTATTATTATTAATTTATTTAAAATTTTCATTTTGAATCTCATTCTTGCACTTCATATGATGATGTATCTACTTTTGATATGCATAAGAAAACAAATGTAAACATACATGGTACTATTGATGTGTCAATTTCTCTGACGGCGATCAATGTATTTTTTGTAATTCAAAAAATTCAATGCAATTCAAATGTAATTCAATGTAATGCAGTGGAGCTTGAATAATTTGGACGCAAGATATTATTATTATTATTGTCATTAATGATTAATGTTATATATTTCGGTCAGTCAGTCACTCGAATATTTCGAATTATAAATGATTTGAAATCGTTTTTATCGCTTCTCATATTAAATTTTTAAACGTATTTTTAAATGTTGTTTCTCGATCTTTTAGTAAAGTTGAAAAAGGCGGACATGAATGCAATGACTTCGACTGCAAGCCGAGATTGTAAGTCGAGTCAAGTGTATAAAATGTCAAACAAATTTTTCAATAATTTAATGTAATGTAGCAAATGAACATAATTACAAAAATTTTTTGTAGCATAAATTCTTAAAATTTTATGCGTAAAAATTTTTTTAGGTCATCAAATTACCAAAAAATTGTTTTACGTGGATATCCGTAAGAAGATATAAATTAAACAATAATGAAAATTATCAAGAAAAATATAAGTCGCCGTCTTTGCCAACGGTCTCCAAATCGACTTTATAAATTAGGAACAAGCAGACTATGTATTATTTATAATATGATTTAATTTACAAAAATTTTAGCGAGTGGATTTGCTTGTGTAAAAATTTATTCATGCAAATGTAAATCGTAACTTACAGATAAACCCCATAGATTTAATTAAAAATATTACCTGGGTAAGAAACATCGGTTTATGTTAAAAAATAGATTTTTTATCTGTTTTGCCTGAATGAATATTATTGAACGTGTTTCAAATCAGGAAGTAACTTAAACTGTACGACTTTGTTCATAGTTAAACTAGTACTATTAGCATTGTTATTCTAAGTGCTTCTAAAGATCGTTATTTAGAGGCACGCTAAAAGTATCCAACACTGTTCTATCGAGTACATACCACCGAATTTAGTATAGTCGAGACCTGTGGCACTTAAACTTGACATTAACGGGAAAACATTGACGTCATTACGCTACAACTCACAATCAATATATTCACCCTCCAATTGATGATTCCCTGCATAAAATTTAATGTATAGCGACAATGCTGCTCCAACATAATATAATTGCAACAATACGATACAAAAATTCCAGTCAGAATTAATAAATTTCTGCAATGAAGACTTAAGGACAACCGGATTAATATAAAAAGCGGAACGAATAGATCAACTTCTCGGCTGGATTATTAATTCTTGATCTCGGTCAAATTTTCTGAGCCAAAAAAATCTACTTTTATTTGTTTCACCCCTTTATTTACTTTCTTAATCAATCTTTTTTAAGGGGAACTTACCAAGTAGAAATAAGAATAGTTCTGAAAGTTAATCAATCAATAAGCTTCTTTAATCCCTAAAAAAACCATTGAAGCAAAGTACATACTTATCGATTTCCACAAGCTTTTCTATCTTTGGTCAATTTTATTAAATCCAAAGTCCCCGCGCCAGTCCATTCTGTTATGTCAATTACATCAAACTACTAGTCTACAAATCACTACGCACGGCACTTCGCCCACTCAAGTCCAACACTCTATTACAATTCTTCCTATTATTTTACCTGATTCTAAAACTCTTGATGTTCCTTGCTGTTTTAGACTTCGATTGCAAATATATTCCCGTCTAGACTATGTACTGCGTGTGTGTTATTGCCCCTGAAATATCAATCAATCAATCAATCAATCAATTAGCTTATAAAGCGCTATTTCCGCGATGTTCAACAGCGCTCTTCAATGAATTTTGAAAACAGATGGGTCTTGAGATCAGCTCTGAATTTCGCAAGTGATGGAGAAGTAGTCAGAGAAGTAGGTAGAAAGTTCCAGAGAAAAGGACCAGAAAAAGCAAAAGCAGATTTGGCAAAAGAGTGTTTAACACGAGTTAAGAAAAATCGAGAAGAAGAAGACGATCGTAAACCGGGGCGTTTAGGTTCAATTAATATATCTGATAAATACTTAGGAAATAATTTAGATTGAGACTTATACATGAACGTGCAAATTTTAAAAATTATTCTATATTTTATAGGTAGCCAGTGCAACAGAACAAGATATGGAGATATATGAGAAAAGAAAGGGGCACGAACAACTAGACGAGCAGCAGAGTTAAAAGCTTTACTTAAAGGATATAGTATAGATTCAGAAGACCATAGTAGAGCGAGTTACAATAATCAATCCTAGATAAGACTAACGAAGTAACAAAAAGGAGAAGAGTAGGATCATCAAGAAAAGGCAAAAGTTTTTTTATTCTACGTAGATGAAAGTAAGAGCTTCTAGCAACACTATTAATCTGAGAAGAGAGAGACATAGTAGAATCAAAGATAAAACCTAGACTACGAAACTTATGAGAGACATCAAGAGTTTTAGAATCAGGTAAGATAATAGGAGGAATAGTAATAGAGTGTTTAGATTTATTAAAACAAATTAATTCAAACTTAGAAGGATTAAGTTTAAGACACATAGAGTCAGACCAAGCGATAATTGAAGAAAGACATAGAGATAAATTATGAAGAACACTATTGAGATTAGATGGAGGAAAAGAAGTATAAATGTAAGAATCATCAGCATATAGTTGACTAGAGAAAGAAAAGTTATTAATAATACGAGGTAGTTCAGAAGTATAAAGTATAAATAGAAGAGGGCCAAGGGTAGAACCCTGAGGTACCCCGAAAGTAAAAGTAGAGGAGTTAGAAGTAGAATTATTGAGAACAACAGAAAAAAAACGATTACAGAGATAAGAAGAAAACCAAGATAGACAAGAATCAGTAATATTAAAAGAAAGATGCAGCAGTCTCAAGAGAATAGTATGGTCAACAGTATCAAAAGCTGAGGAAAAGTCAAGAGCAAGAAGAAGAGTAAGATTACTATTGTCACTAGAGAGAAGGATATCATTGTGTATTTTAAGTAAAGAAGTTTCAGTACTGTGAGCAGGTTTGAAACCAGATTGAGATACAGGTAGCAAAGAGTTAAAGTCTAAATAGGATGACAGTTGATTAAAAACAACTTTTTCTATTATTTTAGAGATGAAAGTAATACTAGTTACAGGTCTATAATTAGATAAAGAGGTAGGATCTAGGGATGAGTTTTTAAGAATAGGAATAACAATAGAATTCTTATAAGAAGTAGGAAATTTAGAGGTGGAAAGAGATAAATTAACTAATTTGAGAATGATTGGATAAAATATTGAAGAAAATTCTTTAAGTAAATTAGAAGGAAGTAGATCTAGAGAACAGGTTGTAGACGACATAGAATTAATAATTTTAGTTAGTTCTAAAAGATTTATTGGAGTAAATACAGAGAAAGATTCAGTAGTAAGTTTAGTAAAGTTATGAGAAGAAAAATTAGAATTAGATGTTCTTAAAGAAGTAATTTTATTTACAAAAAAGTCATGAAACTGTTGAGCAGAAAAAGATGAGTGAGAAGATTTCAAAAAATCTCTCCGAGTCGAAAAAAGTGTTAAAAAATTGTAAAAATTGAAAGAAATGAATTTGGTTGTTGGCGTTTCTCCTAAATAATATTTGTCATTCTGTTACGTTTTATTCTGGTTATTATTATGAAAACGAAATACCGCAAGGTAAATATCTAGCTGCGAACTTAATATTGCTATTTTTATTTTCGAGGTCTTATTTGATACTAACGTTTCATTTCATTTCATTTCGTTGGGTGAAGTAATGTGATGAAAAATTGTATACGTATGTAAATGATCGAATGTTTTAGTGTTAATAGCTTCGAATTTTCATTTAGTAAGCCTCGAATTTTCAGTTCTCATAGGATTAATCCAAATAATTTCATTGTTCTTTGGTTTATTATATTAAATCACAGTACAGATGTTTAACGTGCCACATCTAGGAGTATACGGGATGACCAGGTTATAGTTGTAGCTATTTACAAGCAAGCCTGGTAGCTAATTAGTCAGAAATCAGCAGCGAGTCCAAGCAGCTTACACAGCTGTTATAATTGTTTATATCAACAAATAAACATTGCATGTTTTGAATTTTATAGAGAGGTGTGTGTATGTGTAAGAGTGTATATGTGTGTGTGGGAGAGAGAGAGAGAGAGAGAGAGAGAGAAAGAGAATGTGTGTTTGTGTGTGTGTATGTGTATGTAAAAATATATAACATTTAATAAATACATGCCTTTTTATATATCTGACCATCAATAATAATAAGCAGTTCATACACATACATTCAATATATACGTACATGCATGGTCATCTTTGTTAACAAAAATGACCAAATTTTGTGTGTGCGTGTGTTTGTGTTTGTGTGCGTGTGTTTGTGTGAGCCTACGTTTACCTATTATATATTCATATATATATATATATACATATATATATATATATATATATATATATATATATATATATATATATATAGAGAGAGAGAGAGAGAGAGAGAGAGAGAGAGAGAAAAAGAAAGAAAGAGAGAGAGAGAGAGAGAGAGAGAGAGAGAGAGAGAGAGAGAGAGAGAGAGTAGACATTAATAAACAATGTGCGTAACAAAATATCGATAAACTTAACCATTAACTGATCAAAGGTGAAAAAGCGGTAATATTTTTTAATAAGACACATAATTATATATCATTCTAATATGGGAAATTTATGAAATATACATTAAATTTGAAGTTAGCAAACGCCGAACGTGCTACGATTTTCATCAATAAGTGCATTCCTGACAGTCTTAATGCAATGTATAATATATATGATGAAACGTATGAAATTGTATACAAATACATAAAGATACTTTTGACTTTTATGTATGTAATGTATAACCTGATGTATAATATAGACACATGTGTATAATATGTGAAAATGTATCTAGAAATATGTGTATCATATATGAAATGTATATTGATATATGTGTATCATATATGAAAATTTATATAGATAATGTGTGCCATATATGTTCATATGAGTTTAATATGCATATATAGTATAGAAATGTATACGATTCACATGATATCATTGTTCATAGTAGAACTTTTATTGTTGTTGTGGCTGTTGTTAAATGACCAGAACGTAGTAGACAAAGACGTAGTTGGTTTATAAGCCCTCCGATAGCACGAGTCTGCCCTTCTCTACTTGCAGGAAAAGTGAATGGCGTCGAGCGTGTTAAAGCTTTCCTAGAATGAGGTCAAAAAGGTATGAATTGAATGATTTGATTTAATAAATTAATTTTTGAGTAAATAAATTCTATATGAATGAATTAATAATTAAATGGATGTACGAATTAACGATTTAATCTTTAATGGGTTCTTTACGTTTGCATTTCGTTTGCTGTTGAAAATTAAATTTTCTAAATAATGAAACGAAATGAATGAATTAATGCATCAATATTTGAAGGAATGTTGATTGAATGAAAATGTATAAACGAATTACGAATTAATTAATGCATTCTTTACAAATCATTTAATTAATGTTAAAAATTAAATTTTTTTAGTAACTGAATGATTTTGTTGTTTAATTACAATGTTTGTCGCATGTTTCTTTCCGAATTGTTTCGTATATTCAATATTGTTGGTCGACTTGTTTGATGGTGTGTTTGACGTCTTATGATTTTTAGACTTTTGTTTCGCGTTTGTATTTTTATGAGACTGAACTTAGCCACAATGACTGACCTATATAATTTTATAAGCAATCTTCGATGCCAATTATACACATTTAAAAGAGATAAACGTAAAAGAGAGGGCACAGCAAGCCTGCATGCATATGCGATATATGTTATATTATGTTATATGATATGTGCTGTTTAAGTACCAGCTGACATGTAATGAATGTTATTATAAGCTTATATGCTATATTATGTTATGTTATATGCTGTTTAAGGTATGCATATATACATGTATATATAATTATATAGTTATATATTGATGCCATAAAAATATATAATACTGTAGTTGTGTGTATTTGATAATCCTATCAATTTCTATTATTTTTTAGTAAATTAACCCATTAATGCATGACATCTTTGATTTCACACCACATTGATGAACTTTGTTAACATTAGTAAATATGTTGTCAATTGAGGATGATGATGAGGAAGATGAAACTCTTGTTGGCAGATTAATTAACGGAGTAAAATTGTAACTTGAAAGAATATTTTGATACAGTAAATTGTTATTACTAGAATTGTTGTATAAGTCAACATTAAAATCACCAACAACATAAGAAAACAATTTACTGTTTTGAAAAATTGATTCTAGGCTGGAAAGAAAATCTTTAAAATTTGAATTTGGTGGTCTGTACACTAGGTATATGACTTCAGAACAACACATGCATGGCATACCATCAATTGATGACTTTTTATTGTAAAAACACAAAACCATATCAAAATTATTAAAAAGTTGAAAAATGTCACCCACTAAACATTTTAAAGTTTTAACCCATTAATGCATGACATCTTTGAGAGGCCGGTGTGTGATTATTGATTGGAGTTGGAGTACTATGTCATGTGTTTTCTGACTGCTTCAAATCACATTTAACCCACTGCCTTGGTGGTGGTGCAGTCCTTTTTTTCGACGATTGTTGTAGTGGGGTTGTTGCACATGCTGAGCTGTTGTGAGTGTTTGTGGCAGAATGTCTTCGCCGCTTTGATCTACTGACGTTAATTTCATCTTTATCAACTTTCCGTAGACTTCAACCATGGAATTCTCGATAGTACTACTGGAAACCAAGGTGATATTTGCGCGTTGACCTTATTAGGCCATTGGTTGAGGTGTTTGCAATGTAATAACAAGACGAAAATCGTGGTTATTTAATAGTTGTTTATTTATGCATAAAATACCATTAAAAATATATACATATACATATAAATTTATTCATTTATTTAAAAGATATCATTGAAATGTACATATAACATAATACTATCATGTTTATATAAAACTAGGAAACAAATGAACAAATAGAAAACTGTTAAAAACAAATTTCAATTTAATTTAGTTAACTTTCTTTTCTTACTAAGAGATGAACCGTTAATATTTTCATTTACACTTTTAACAAAGTTTTTTGTCAAGCAATTAAAAAACCGTTCAGCAATCATACGTTTACATCATGACTTTTAACACAGTAATTATTATCAATGATAATAGCATCCTCAATGACAAGCATATCAACAATTTTGCAAAAGACTCTTCTGGTTGGATGAAGTGAGAAAATTTTTCATGATGGCCTCAGACTGTTTCATTCCTGCAAATATCTTCCAACAGTCTATGCATGTCATGAATAGGTATTCCGATGGTTTTATTAGCGCTCCCCTGTTTACATCATTGAAAAATACTTGCTCTTTTAAATGGTGGACATCTACACAGATGGATTCATCATCAACTAATATTTCCTTGCAGTCATCACATCGTGTAGTATGAAGCACACTCAAATGCAGGTACCCGTCATTATTTAAGCCGCTATTTACTTTTACCTTCTTCGTTAATTTGTTCAATGTGTTTACTGATGGTAGGCACATAATATTCAATTCATACAACTTAACATAAACTGCATGACTAGCAGCATATAATAAATAGTTACTTTCACATGATCAGTTTGCAAATTTTTAAGTCTAGCCATCACATTCAATAGCTGATTCATGGTGTCAACTTTTTTGTTGATGATGCCTTCAACAAATGATTTTGAAACTTCTCGACCTTTGTTAAACAGGGATATATTTTTTTTGTTCATCTATGGTGATAGATGATTTGATATGAGGGCAACAGTTGTCAAAATGTATTTCATACAATACCAAACTGTTTTCGAAGATTTGACATTGGTATCCACTTGGAGCAGATGTTTCCTTTTTTAAACGATCTAGAATTTCTTCTAAACTCAAATTTATTATCTGATCACTTTTGTTGAATTCATTTTCAAGTTCATTCATTCTTTTTATTTCACCTTCTCGACGACACGCAGCAGATGAATTTGTTGCAGGTCTCGTTAGATGCTCGATTGTTGATGCGTATGATGGTACATTAAATATTGTTGGAATTGTTCCAGGCTTTAATTCTCGCTTGATTCTGGACTCACTATTGCTTGTTTTGTTTTTATATCTTGTTGAATTTGTATCAGAATATTTATCAACAAAATCCGAAGGTCGAAAATGCAAAGAGCACATCTTTGAATGTCTGCTTGGAATAAAATCCCTTCGTGGATTTGCCTTATTCCACTTTGCACAAAGTTCAGAATCATTGACTGGGTAGGAATGAAAAGACACTTTGTTTTCAGCATCTATCGCAGCATTTGATTTGTATCCTCTTTTGCAACCATAGGCAGCACACTTGTTCACCATTTTAGGTAGTAGTTTACTGTAATTGTAATGTTAGTTTAAAATCATATTTAATATAAATCTTGAATAAATGTAAAATTTAATATATTATATTCTCAAGTCGCCCTGGTTATGATGTTAAAACTAGAAATCCAAAAGAAAAAAGATTATATTCTCAAGTCGCCCTGGTTATGATGTTAAAACTAGAAATCCAAAAGAAAAAAGATAGCGGCAAGTCCACTACTGCATTTAAACTTAAACAGGTTTAGAGTATCATTTTCATTCATTCATAAAAATGCTCAACCTCATTTTTTTTTGTGATAATAAAATGGACGTCAAAGGAGAAATGACTAATGAAATATTCCTTAAATATACATATTAATTTTAGTAATTAAAAGTTTTAGGCAAAATTTACTTTACTTATCTTATTCTTAATACCTTAAAAATTAAAATGTTATTTATTTATGCAAAAAAACAAATCAAATAATAACCAATATTAGAAGTGCGGGTACAGATCAATAAATAAATTGTTGTTTAATAAATTCATTCATCTTCAACTTTTTAATCCAGAAATAGTTTTGTGTAAATTTAATTTAAGAAAATAAACCAATATATATAAAAATTAAATCTAAAATAAATGTTCTTTCTCTAAATAACTCCTAACTAACTAACCGACTGTGAAGAAATAATAATCTTCAACTTTTTAATCCAGAAATAGTTTTGTGTAAATTTAATTTAAGAAAATAAACCAATATATATAAAAATTAAATCTAAAATAAATGTTCTTTCTCTAAATAACTCCTAACTAACTAACCGACTGTGAAGAAATAATAATCGAAATTGCACTTTTAGCAAAAGTAAAAATTATATTGCTCCAAATTTAAAATGTTACGGAAATTTTTAAAATAATTAAAAAATGATTTAAGTTTGTTATAATACCTATTTTACACGATTTTATCACCAAAATAAAATTAAAACATTGGAAAATAGCAACAATCAACAAGAATATATAGGCATGCACGATCGGAACCAATAAAGAAAATTAAAGGAAGTAAAAAAAGATTAACAAAGAAATTTAACATGCTGCTAGTTATTAAACTACTGGAATTCATAGATGCAAGTAGACTATCAACCTATAAACTATATAATATGTATCTAATATTTATGTAATATATGTAAGATTGTTTCTAAATAAACCTGATTTATTAATCTGTAAAACAGTTTATTCAAACAAATTAAATGTCATATAATCAAATAATATAAAATAATACAGAGATATAAATTAAAGAAAACATACCTGTAAAACAGTAATCAATTACAGGCTTATTCATACGAAACTCATAAATCAAATAAATTATAAAATATGTCAATCACGTGGTGCAGCACATTTATCGAAGCACATTTATCGAAACCCAAACAAAGATCAAACATATATCAAAGATATTGAATATCATAGATATGAAATAAATACATAAATGTGGTTACATTTACATATATTATAAATGTAATAGCCTAATATGGTCAGAGTTGAAAAACGTTATGTATCTGCTTTTTTAAAATTTATTTGAGAGCAAAGTTCGTGAATCCATCTTTGACAAATTTGGCATTCAACCCATTCATCTGTTAATTGAGGAGTGCTAGCACACCAACAGTAAAGACATGTCTGTCTGTCTTGTCTGTCTAGTCATGTCTTCTGATGATTGCAACACCTCTTGTTGATAAGTGTAACGTAGATCAGCTGGATCAAATGTTTCAGTTAACTGCTGACCAGAATCTAGCATTCTTAACATACGAATTAAATATATGCCACAGTTCCATGTGTCTCTTTGTTCATATGATTTTGGTTGTGGTGTAAATATCCAATTAGCATTACAATTGACAAAGCTGTAGTAACATTTTAGAAATGAAAAAAACAGAGATTGCAATTTTTCATTACAAATATTTCCTGTAATAATCGGATTATAAACCGTACCCCTTTCAGCATCAGCAACAAAACAACAGTAGTGGTTATCGTTAAGCAAATAAGGCATGAAGGTGTATTTCTTAGAAAACAAGCATTGATATTAGGGTAGCATGGGGCAAAAAGCCACCTCTAACGTTTGGCGGTTGACCACACCCAACAACTCGAACATTTTTTAAAGTTTAATGTTGCCTTAGCTAGATTGGTATGTCCACTACCTAATTCTACAATTTAAATTATTCAAAAATACACTTTCTGTGTTTTATGAGGAAAACTATAGGGGTCTATCAAAAGGCCCAAATTAAGAAATTAACAAAACAAGCTGTGATTACAATGGTTATAGCTTTAATAGAAACAAAATGCATGAAAAAAAATGCTTTATTATTTTTAATGAAATGACAAAATAAAATTTATTAAAATTTTAATGTTTTGTTTGTAATTTTAATCATCACACTCAATACAAATAAAAATGTCATTATAATCCTCTTCTAATTTTTGGCATTTGATCCACTGACGCCCAGTTACATCTTTACAAAAAATTTGTGTGCAAGTCCCACATGGAGTTGTATCTTTGGTTCGTTTCACCGTTTTACTTTTTATATCTAATAAATCTTTAGAACGCTTTATCTTTTTACAATTTTGATCATCTTTTTCTTGTAGCAATTTTTTGTTTGGTGAGGACGTTAGCAAGGTAGCTCTTTCAGATTTTCTTTTTCTACCTCGTGGCGTTGATGATTTTATTGGTCCAACAATTGACTCCAAAAGGCTTTTTGAAGAAATTGATTGGTTTGGGTCATCTTCAACCACTGATTCAATGGTTTCAATCAATGAATTTGAATGTAAATTCAAATCTAAAGCAGATGATGGTAACGGTTCATCTGTCAAATTCGAAGGATGAAAATCTTCATCTGAAAATACGTTCATATTCGGTGGCCAAAGACCTGTAGAAGCAAAACCATTTACTGCTTTGTCAATGGTAACACTTTTGAAATAAGCTGTTGTCCACGTTCCCCGCTTGTAATTTTTCCTATTTGTCTGGAACCTTTGCTGCCAACAATTTTCACTGGTTTCTGAACAGTTGAGATTCCAGTTTCATCCACATTCCATATTTTCATAGCATTGTAATTTCCATTGTTGAGAGTTTCAAGATATATGTCGAAAAATATTTTTACCTGCTCTTTATTGAAGCCAACTAACCGTGATAAATTTATCGCTTCCGGCTTTCTAATAGATAGCGTTGGATGTCTTTTTAAAAAACCATACATCCAGTCTATCCCTGCCATTTTCATTTCAACCTTGAATGGATGGCTTAATTTCATTTTTTCGGCAAATTCAAAAGCCACTTTCCTGACGTCTGTTGTGGTCATTCCGAAGAGTGATTTTTCCATACTTTTAATAATTTCTACTAGTTCTAGTTCTTGGTCCTTTGTAAAAATTGAGTGAAAATGTCCCAGCCTAATTTTTCCAGGAAATTTGGTCATGGCCATCTGATGCCTTTTTAAAGTTCTTGCAGGGACCCCATATTTTTTGACAGCCGTTTTTAGTGGCATGCCATTCGTTACTGATTCAACAGCAATTTTCAATGATTCATCATTATAAGACGAACATCTGGTGGATTTTCTTATGTAATTTCTTACCATTTTCAATCTTCAAAAATTAAAATAATTTTAATTTAATTTTAAAAACTTATACAAAAACAAAAGTTTGAAAAAATTTTAAAAATATAATTTTAATTACAATTATTGGCTGCCTTAAGTGAAAATATCTAAAACTTGACAAATAGTTAAAACAATTAAAGTTAGCCTTCTTGCCCCAAAGTAAAAGAGGCGTTTTGCCCCAAAAGAGAGCGCGAAGAATAAATTAAATTTTAATTAACAAAAAATTGTTCTAACCAATTTGAAGTTGATTTTCTATATGTAAAAATGATTTCTCCTCACAACAAACTACTCCTAATCACAAAAAATTATGTTATTTTAACAAATTTTAAAAGAAATCGAAAAACAAAAATTATAACACGAGCGATATTTGACCTACAAATTCTTGAAACTTTTTTAATAAAATAACCAAAGCTCAATACCACGCGGTTTTTTATTATAAATAATGTGGGTGCGTTCTATTTTTCAAAAATTAATTTAAAAATTTTCGGACTTGAATTAATTCGGAGAAATTTGAAAAAGTGCTTTTTGCCCCACGTGGCGTTTTGCCCCACGCTACCCTATAGAACATTTATCATTAAAATCCTTGTTTAATACAGCGGTACTAATCGAAATTTTCATTTAGGTTTTTTCCAGTAGAATATTCTTTTTCATTGAGTGTTCGGAAATCTTCAAAATATATTAGATCACCAATTTTTGCCATAGCAGTTGCGTTGTCACCAAGATTGTGCATGTAAAATTGTGGATCAGAAACCAGTTTGTTTATTTCACTAATATTAGGAACCACGTCATTTCTCATAATTTGTTTAATTTTGGAAGGCAACAAGCATGTGTGTTGATTTTTTATAAAATTTTACGTCAGAGAGTTGTACTTCCGCTTCCCGAATGTAGTTATTTTTATCGAGGATTACGAAAACTGATCCTTTATCAGCTCTGCGGATGATAATGTTTTCATTGTTGATCAGAATTTTTAGATGTAGGTGTTGTTTTTTGCTGATGTGTTTTTTTGTGTTGTTGATTAATGTGTTGTTATTCGTGAAGTTTTTTGTGATGTATTTTTTTGTGATTTCCTCGATTTTGGTGATGCATCTGTGGGATAGTATGTTGTTGTGTGGTGTCCATGTGGATTTGATATGTTTGTTTAGTGTGTTGAGAAATACGTCGTGGTGGTTGTTGAGCTGGTGGGTGTTTGCAAAATTTCTTATCTTCAGGTCGCGAATGATCTTGTTGATGCTGTCTTCGATTCTGTGTTTGTGTATGATATTGTTGCTCGGAACGAAACCTAGTCCGTGGTTGAGGATGTTGGTTTGTTCTTCTGTGAGTGTTGCTCTGAAGAGGTTGATATTAGTGAGGATGTTGTTTAGTGTTCGTTTTTGTTGTTGTGCCTTGTTTAGTTGTTTTGGGAGTTGTAGTCGTGTATATGCTGTGTCATCGTTCGGTTGTTGAGTTTGTTGTCGTGATTGGTTTTGTGTCGGATGTGTTGATGCGTTCGTTGTTGTTGCTGTTGTGGATGGTGTTTGTTCTTTTGCTTTTCAACTCTGCGTGTATAACATTGTTAGTTTTTTTGGGGTTGGCGTAAAAGTTCCATGATGTGTTTTGTTAGTTTGCTGTTGGGTTGTAGTGATGATGATAGATTGTTTCCGTTTAAGTTGAATGTTTTGTTGATTTCCTTGCTGTACGGTGGGGTGTTGCTGATGATAGAGTTCATGTCAAATTCGTAGAGTAGATTATCATCGTCTTGATTTAAGAGGGAGCTGATGTTGGGGTTGACGTCGGTGGTTGATGGATCAGAGTGAGGTGTTATGTCGGTGTTGTTCGTTGTTGTAGGTGGTGTGTCTGGTTCCGTTTCGTCGATCGAGCGCTTGTATCTTCCGCTTGTTATGAACATAGGCTTTGCTACCAATGATTCGTAGATGTGTTATCTTAGGTTTTTTGTTAAACCACACTTCATACGGTGATTTTCCTTCTACAGAAGATGGTCCAGTTCGGTTGAGTATGTAAGCAGCAGTATTAATTAATTCAGACAAAGGGCCTGAGGCAGTTCTTCATGAGCCAGTCTCATGGCTCTTGCTGCTTCAACTAGCGTTCGATTATCACGCTCACTGCATCCATTCTGCTGAGGTGTATAAGGCATAGTTAGGCGTTGTCTAACTCCTTTTTGCAAAATTGATCTGACTTCTTTGATAAATTCACCTCCATTGTCACTTAATACTTCTGAGACTTTAAGACCAGCTGATCTTGACTCTGCAAGCATTTGTCTTAGTCTTTCTGGTACATCTGATTTTTGTTTAACAAAGTAAGCAAATCTGTAGCCTGTGAAATCATCTTTGAACAAAACAAAGTATCTGTAATTTTGAAATGAGAAGCAAAAAAGACCACATACATCTGTGTGAATTAATTCTCCTGGTCTCCGAGTTCCAAATTTCAATCGATGTAACTTTCCATAGACACATCCTTCACATAATTCACTGTCTACAGGTATATCGATGTTTAGTTCACGTTTCATGACCATTTTAACATGTTTCTTATTCTGATGTCCCATTCGTTCATAGTATAATTGCAATGCATCTTGATCGTTGACAAAGTTAACTTCGACTTCAGAATTTAGCGGTCTAACAATTTTTGCAACAAGTTTGAACAAACCCCCATTGTTGTTTCTTATTCCAACAACACTTATCATATTGTCAATAAGTAGATGACAACTTCTTGAGGTTGAAACAAAAGAGCTATTTCTGTTCTTATCTTGAGTTGCAAGTACTGAGAACAAATTTCTTTTTACTTTTGGCACATACAAGACATCTGTAAGTTTAACAGTTTGCCATTAATTTTTCGCTTTCTCTTGAAGATGAATAATTCCTTTTCCAAAAGCTTCTACAGTATCACCATTTGCAACATATAATTTACTCGGTTGAGATTTCAAAACTTTGAAATATGTCTCTTCGGAAAGTTAGATGACACGTTGCACCATTGTCAAAAAACCATTCACCAGTGTACGCTGACTCATCAATTGCAAAAATACTTGATTCCATAGCAACTAGTGATTTCTTATTATCTCTCAGTGTTTGATTACTGGCTGACGTGCACAAAACTACATTTGATGTTTCATCATATGCTTTTCTTGGTGTCGAGGAAACATTTTTGGAATTTTTAGAAGGTCTTCCATCACTGACCTACTTTCTACCAGTGATATTTAACTTGCAAAATTCATTCTACTTAAACTTTAGTTTTACTTACACAAAAATCATTTTACTCAAGTTTTACTTTTAGTTTTGGAATTCTTTTTACTTATACTTATACTTAATTTTAGAGTAATTCTTTCTACTTATACTTACATTTTACTTTTACTTAATTTGCAGTTACCAACTGGTTTTGTTTTTTTAGTGAAATCTCTTGATTTGTTGAAACTTGGCTTTTCAACATTTACAACTAATGCGTTCTGCCTTGATGATTTATCGATTGTGTCGAAAGTCTTTATCTCTCTTTCGAAAGCACAGAGATGAGTGATTAAATCATCTATCGACTGCTTTTCTTCACCTAGCATTAGCCAACTTATTTGAAGTATTGGAAACTATTTGGGAGAATCTGCATCGCTTTGCATACTAATAGCAGCTCTGGTAGTTTATTTTCTCCCGATGCCTGAAGCCCACTGTTTAATTTGTTCCATAAAGTCTTCAATCTTGCAATTTGGCCGGATACATCTACATCCGCTACCTAACTGAAATCGAAAAAATTGCTACAAACTTGGAACAGTTGGTCCTTAGTTGACGCTTCAAAATTTCTTTTTAATTCCTCCCAAACTTCAAACGCTGTGTTCTTGTCCATTATCTTTTGGTATGTATCTTCTGTGACTGCATTTGCAATTACTGATTTGGCATAACTGTTTGCCTTTCTAAACAGATCTGATTTATTTTTAAAATCTGTTGCCTGTTGCTGTTTGGTTTTCTAGTAATTCTGGTTTCGACAACTTCCCATCAATCACATCAATTGCGCCCTCATGGTAGTCCATGAAATCTCGAACACGACGTTTCCAAATGGGCCAATCGGCTGCGACAACTTCCCATCAATCACATCAAGTGCGCCCTCATGGTAGTCCATGAAATCTCGAACACGACGTTTCCAAATGGGCCAATCGGCTGCGCAACTTAACTGTTTTATTTGAAGCTTTGAATCCATTTCTTCCTTGTCTTTCAATTTGACCTTTTAATTGGAAGCAAAATATCGAATTTTAGAGAATGAAGAAGCACGTGTTTTTTCTTCACTTCATTTTTCACAAACACAAAGGAATCTTCTGATATTTTCTTCGTCAAATCAATTAATTAAGAAAAACGATATCTGGGCCTCATAACCTGTTAAATTTCTTGTTACGTAGATCGTTTAATTAATTGATATACTATTGAAAGACATTAAAAGAAGAGAAACAAACTAAGCAACGTTCTCGACTTGTTTATTATCAACCGGATCAACAGAAAAGGAAAAAGTGAAGTTACATACAAAGCAAAGAACATTTGGTCCAAAGAAAAATTAATTTATATTATAAATCATAATGTTTTAATATAAAACATAAAACTTAACACTCTTGAATGCCAACTGACTGCTTTGCAAAGCGGCATAGTTCACTAACTGCAGTTTCATATGATGCAGCCTCTGGCTCTTGCCGTCTAGTATCATTCCAAGCACACGTTAGGACAGTGTGCAAGCGATGACACATGCAGTCAACTCGAACCCCACACTTCAATGCAGCAACGATATTTGAGTCGTGATCAGTAGTGAATGGGACTTTATCAATTGGTATTTCATATTCACTAAGGATGTTGCTCATGACAGTGTATACATTTTGTGCAGTGTGTGAAGAGGTTCCGAAGTGACGAACGGCAAGTGCTGCATGGTGATTTGTAAAGTACCGATCAATCCAGGAGCAGTGCACATCTAGGTATGACTGTTTACGAAAGTTGTTTACGATGTTGCATCACGACTCACGGTTTTTCTTCCCACAACAACGTCAGAAACATCAAACTTTCCATATTTGGCACCTAACTCAACACAGCTCTGCATCAAATTGAGAAGCCCTTTATTTTCAACAGATTTGTATGAGTGGTAACCATCAACACAGAAAAAGATCTGCCTATGCTTCAACATCGTTAATTCTTGAGGGGACAGTTGAATTTTTCGTTTCAAGCATTGCTGGATTTTCAACTGTGACTTTAGCAAGACTACAGCACAATGTTTAATATGTTCTTGCTGATTTTTAGTGCCAAAGTTTTTACCTGATGAATCTTTAAACTGATATACCTTATTGCACTTAATACAAGCACAATAGTAATTCACAGGAATTTCGCTTTCATCATTTTCCTTTTTTTGAAAAACCATGCGAAATTTCTGCCAGATTTCTGATTTTAAATTTGTGGGTGCTTTTAATTTATACCACCCTGTTTTTTCTGGAAAGAATATATATTTAAATACTTAAGTATGTTCAATCAATCAATTAAATTTATCTAATGAATGTGATTTCTAAACTTCAACAGCGCCCAACTAAAATTTGAAAAATAAACCTTTTCTAGGTAGAAAAAAGAAAGAAAATGAAACATGAATATCAGGTAAATAAGTAAAATGAGCAATTGGGAAAAAATTCTGATATCTGTAAAGTGTAAATGTAAAGACTGAAGAGATTTGAAATTATGAAAAATAATTAAATCTTTAAAGGAATTAAAACATAAAAAATGTAAAAATGTTAATGTGAAATTTATTAGATTTTTTACTTTCGCAAACTTAGCAAATTTAAATCACACAAACCTCTCAAATGACGCTGAATTTTTTCGGATTCTGCCATACTTGTAAATAAAACTAATTTTCTCGATCGGAAAGAAGTTAACTTTTGCTCAACTCAATAATCACAAAAAGAAAGTGGAAACGATAGACCAAAGATACAATAATATTACAGCGATATAAAGTACACCGATTATTAACTAGTTAAAATGTTCGTTTAAGAATAAAAAAAATACAGAAATTATTTATAATAAAATTTGAAAATTTCAACCCAACCCATGTCCACCTCTGTTGTTTTTTGTATTGTTGTTGCTGTTGTCGTTGTTGTTAGAGATGACGGCTTTGATTATTTCGATTTCGTTTTTTATGATGTCATCTATATTGTTTCTGTGGTTATGAAAATTTTTTTCTTCTGGAGGAACCTGATGTGATCTTCGATTGGTTTTGTGTCGTCTATTAAGTCCATGTTTTTGTAGTGTATGGTGTTGTAGCTGGAAAGTTCGTTGTTGAGATGATTGATGATCGTGTTTTTGATGGTTTCATACGTGTTGTCGAGTATTTTTGTTATTGCTTGGTTGAATGTGTCGTTCTTGTTGAGTGGGTTGATGTTGTCTTTCAGGTTGTTGATTGTTGTTTTGAGGACCTTCGCCTTATCCTCTTTCCAGTTGTTGATGTGGTGGGTAATTTGTGTTTTTTTGTAAATGAGTTTAGCGGTTGTTGAAATTTGTTGTTGTCCATTCGATGATGATGATGTACGGTTTTGGTGTTGTTATTGTTGTTGTTGTTTGGGTTGCGTTTAGTGTTACTTTTCGTATTGTTGCTTTTTTTGCGGTTGTCGCCTGAGATGATGGGGTGTAGTGACCTGTATTTGAATTGAGTCCCTGGGTGATGGAGCTGTATTATTGGGTTGGTAGATTCGGCAGAAGTGGCATTCTTGTCGTTCCATGGCCCGACGGCAGAAGGGCGTTGTAGGGTGCGTTTTGATGTGTCGTGGAGAAGCCTCGAGGAAAAATAGTTGTTGTAGTTTGCCCGACGTGTTGTAGGTTAGGAGTAGATGTTGTTGGGGTGGTCTGGTATGGGAGGAATGCGTAGGTGCAGGTAAGTTTTTCATTAATGCATTTTTGTAGTTAAGCGGATTCGCGGGTCCATGTTGTATTGCGTTCTTCGTTGTTTCATGCCATTGGTCAACCTTGGCTTTAAATTCTTCAATTTGTTGAACCAGTTCGAACACAAACACATCCATTTTTTTGAGTTATGTTTTAATAAAAGCAAGACACAAGACAAGTAGATTTTTTAAATTTTTTCATATAATTTGTTTGTTTGAAAAAGTAGTAACAGTTTTGTTTAAGTTTAGTGGTAGAATCACATTGTCTTTTGAATTTAATTACATATTTTCAACAACCTTCACTTCACCAATATTAGGAACCACGTCATTGCTCATAATTTGTTTAATTTTGGAAGGTAACAAGCGTCCACTAAAAAAAAAATCTTTTTTTAGTTTTCTTTTACCCCACTTTTCTTCAAAAATGTTTTGCACTTTTAACTGTTTTTTTGCATATACTCGTTACTCTCTTTTTTCTAAATCAAAAAATCTACCAGCTTTAACGTTTGTTTTACCTTCAAGCAGGATAGTTTTGACGTACCTAAAATTGTTTTCAACAAGTGCATTAGATAATCTAGTTTGATCTGGATTCGAATAACTGCACCATAGTGGCAAGTAAGGGAGATATTCGCACAAAAAAGTCTCGCCGAACGATTTGCTAAAAACTGGGTTTACATCGTATTTATCTGAATCGTCCAAGTCATTTTTGAAATCGTCGTAATATTTTGCAAAATGTTTGTAAAAACAACTTTTTTGATACAGATTTTCGTAACGCCCGTCGTCATCAAAAAATAAATTTTCTTTTCTACTTCCTCATTGTCATCGACGCTTGTAATCGTATCGTCGCTTCAACTTTTGAAATATTTTCAATAACAATATTTGTTAATCTAAACATGTAATAGTGACTTTGTAGCAAATTGCAGTGATCCAAAAAATTTGAGTACTCTTACATTTAGTGTGTTTAAGCGTCTCTCTGTTTACCATTTTAACAAAATGACAACAACACAATTTCACTTGTACAATTTCAATAGGAAAGACGTCACTGGTTGCCCATTTCATTGCATATTGCAAATACGTCAAAATTTCCATCATGATAAACCTTTCAAAACAGCCTCAATAAGTGCCATAGAAAAATCGGTTACAACATTCGAATACAATGGCCATTCTTTCAATTTTCTGAGACGCAGTCGATCATTGGAATTATTCTATTATCTACTGAAATAACACCAGAGTAATAAAAAATTCTCGTCTGCTTTGAGCTGGTCCTTCTTATCACCGATCCTCTCGAATGTTAATACAAACCTGGCAATACTGGGGGTCTCGTGGCCGAGTGGTTAGCGTGTCCGTCTACCACTTCCACGACCCGGGTTCGAATTCTGCTGTTTCTACAGATTCATCCGGGTAGTCAATCCCCGGTCATCCCAGCCGTCCATTTTTTCGAGGTTGGTAAATGGGTAGACGACGTAAGTTTTCGCATGTTGGCCGGCGAGATGGCTCAGTGTTTCAAATGCGCGCTGAGTCAAACATCTCAATGGCTATCATATACTCAGCGTATATGATGCGGTGCTTGCGCGTGCACATAAATACATCGTGTGGAAAGGATGGCTGCTTCATATCACAAGGACTAAAAAAAATACGTTCTTTTTTTGTTTCGTTTAGCAACTTCAACCTGTTTGTATGAATATAAAACGATGCATAACGGATCACTAACATGTTGTATAAATCTATCACTATCTGAAACAAGTAGTTCTTTTCTTAGCTTACGTTGTATGTTATGGTGGTAGAACCATTTCGATTGGATATTTGATGCATTCGGTCAGCTATGGTCGCTAACCTTTGTAGCGTCTCGTCGGTTGAGACTGCTAGATGCATTTGTATTGCGGATGGTAGCTGGTCCAACCACAATTGTTTCAAAATGCTTTCGTCTCTATTGTTTGCCCTCCACAGGCTTTGCATGTGCCTCAATAGTTGTGATGGCGTTCTGTCTTCCATGGCCACGCCTCGGAGCAACGTGCGCAAATTTTCTTCGTCTGAAACCGAATATCTCTGCGTTAATACGCGCTTCAGTGAGGTGTAAGTTTGTGCCGACGCCAATTCCGTCTCCACATCTTTCAACCAACGTGGGGTACCCTTCATCTTCTTTTGAGAACCCTCGGCCCTTGAGCACATTTTCGAAAGATGTGAACCACGCTTTGGGGTTCGCCGTGCTGAATGTGTTTAGCTGGGGCTCTCGTCGCTGTTCTCTTTGTCGTGGTTTTGCAAGCCATTGCATTCGGGGTCACCAATTTGTTGCGAATTTCTTTAGATATAAGAAACAACAAGTAAGAATGTTTATAACGTATTTACGTAATGCAAAATAAATGAAAACGTGTTCGGCAATGCTATTAGACAAAGAGAAGTTCGATCGTAAAATGTCGCTAGAAGAAGGGCTGTTGTCTTTGTTTTGAAGCTATATATAGGAATTCGTCACATGCCTAGATTAGGAATGTGCGGTTCAACAATTATTACATTAAAAACGTCATCTTTATCCTCATCGTCAACACTCAATGACTCAGATCTAGCTTTAGCTAAAACGTCATTTGTTTGTTTTTAATATAATTGTTTATTAAAGAAACGTTAATTGAAATATTAGAAGACACGTTAGTCGACAAAAAGCGAAAAGCATACACGTGCAAGTTAGTCAAGTTAGCAATATACATATATTATTATTTCAATATTCAACACACATGGATTGCAAACAGGAAACAATAAATTTAACAGGAAATGGTTTCTAAAAACATTTGTTGAATTTATTAAAAAATCCCCATCACTTTTATGTAAAAGTTTACGTAATCAAAGATACAACATTCGTAACCTGATCTTTCTGATCTAGCAAACGGAAATATATTTGGGTCAAAAAGTATTAATGTTTGTTGCACTTCTTCAGTTTCCATCTTTAGCCTCTTGTTTATCACACTCATAGTTTATCACAACATTGTTTATCCATTGGTACTTCACTTCATCCGTAACATTGAATAACAACTTGTTGTCTTCACCTCGGTCAAAAAAACAAATGCTCGTACATTGTGAATTAATGTAGTACTTATCACCAAATGTTTTACACAACACCGCCACTCAGTCAGAAGTCATCGCAGAAAAATCATTCACCACACTCCTACGCTCGGTAACAGTTACTGTCGTAGAAGGTTCAGTTGTCTTATCAGGCAGCTTCAACTTCCACATCTTACTGATTTACGCACGCATCAATGAATGAATTTTTACTTGATTTGTTCAATTCAAGCAGTTGTTTCTAAGTTCTTTTTCCAAAAATCATAAAAATTACGACCACGATTGAGCGTATTTTCTTTTTTTAAAAAAAGGTAAGCCTGGCCATAGATCGAATGTTTTCAGTAGAGACCGACCGAAACTGTTTTTTTTCTTTCGGCCGAAACCGAAACAAAGCCGAAATTGAAATTTCAGTTTCGGCCGAAACCGAAATAAGGCCGAATCTAAAAAATAGGTTTCGGCCGAAACCGAAAAAAACCGAAACTAAAAAAATATTTTCGGCCGAAACCGAATATTGAAAATTTTAATAGAACATCATTTATATAACTTTTTACTTTAAAAATTTAGACAGTTACTTCAAAACATTTTTTTCAATGAAATCAAAAATAAATATAGCAAGTGTTATAAAAATAATAGCGGACACAAATGTTTATTCAATGCAAGAAAAAAAACAAAATACAATGAATCTGAAATATTGTTTGAAAGTGACTGTTTTGGTTTAATATTTAAATCCAAATATACGTATATTGTATGCAAGAAATAAAAGCTTCTCAACGTTTTCTCCAAGAAGATTGCTACGACGATCTGCGTAGATTTGTCCTGCAGAGCTGAATAGCTGTTCGCTTGCAACACTTGTTGGAGGTGCGGATAAGTACTTTCGAGCAGCAGGTTCAAGGCAAGGAAATTGGCTGCAATGCCAATAGGCAAAAATGTTAGCTGTTCTATTTATTCGAGGTTCTTTGAGATACGATTGCATTTGACGCTCATGATCAGGGATATCTGTATCAACATCAACGTCATTTTGTTTAGCTAGGCTCACTTTATCGTGGCTATCCCATAAAGATAATGAAGCTGAACTTTTAGAAACATTTTCATGAACCTTGATTATTTCTTTGGACTGGTTGCTACTTTCATTCAGTTCAACAAACTTTGGCTTTATAAATCTTAAAACTTCATTTTTGGCCTCTTCTTTTTCAAACTCGTCAAAATACATATCCTTAAAGCGTGGATCAAGCAAAGTTGCAGCAAGAATTTCAGGGGTTCTTTTAACAAATGCCAACCGTCTATCTATTGAATCTCGGAGAGCTGCCTTCATTTGAATTAATCCACGATCTTCCGAAGTTGTCTCCAATTTTGTTTTCAACATGAAAATAATTGGGATGACTATTGAAATGCAAGCATTATCGTGACATATTTCAATTGTTGCATCATAAAATGGTTTCAAAACAATACCCAAACGTTCTATAAGTTTCCATTCTTCTTTTGACAAAGATTCAATGTTTCCATATTCAACTGAATATAAGTTTATTGCTTTTTGTTGCTCATTCAACCTAGATAACATTAAATATGAGCTGTTCCATCGCGTTTCGACATCTTGAATCAGTGAATGTTGTGGAACATCAGTTGATTTTTGAATTTGAGAAAGATGTCGACAGGCTTGTTCGCTGTGCTTAAAATGGCAAACAATTTTTCTAGATTTTTTTAAAACAGTTTCAACGGAAGATTGGATAAAAATGGCATCTTTCACAACAAGTTGCAAATTATGAGAAAAGCATGCAAAATCTTTTATTCCGGCAATACACATTGATCTGACCATGTTGGATGCATTATCACGAACACCTAGATGTATCTTATCTTTAATATCCCAATTAGTGATTGCTTCATTTAATTTTGACGCCAGATAAGCTCCGGTATGATTTTCTTCTAAAACCATAGCATTTAATACAATTTTTTCTCGAGAACATTCACGTATCAAATGAGCAGTGAAACTAAGCAGTGAGCAAGTTTTTGTTGGATTTGTCCATCCATCTGTTGTAAAACTGATCCATTCTGCTTTTTTTAAAAGTTGTTTAACATGATCGTAAACTTTGTTGTATGTTGCAGGCATCAATGTGGTCCGAAAATATTTTTCAGTTTTTAAATGGTACCGGTGAAAGTCAGTTGGATCAGCAAAATTCAATCGTTTAAATGCCTCACCTTCTACAGTTGAATATGGTAGCATATCAACAATAATCAAATCCATAATACATTTATCGATTCTTTGAGTAGATTGATGATTGTCTGGCCAGATTCTGCGATTTTCTTGAAAATCCGAAATTGTTGGTTGAATTGAAACATCTGAATGTTTTGAATGAGATTCATCTAATTTCGGTTTTTTGGCTTCCCTCAAAAAACTATTTTTTTCTTCAATATTTAAAAGAAACTTTGAAAACAGACCTTTGTGATACTTTTCAAGATGATTTTTCAAACCACAAACAGTCTGGTTCTTCGGCAGTGTACTTCCTAAAGAGTATAACTTGTCACATTCATTGCAACGTGCTTTGCTTTTGTCAGACTGGATCTTTGTAAAATACTTCCATATTGGATTTAACGACATTTCAACGACTTTTGTTTAATTATTCAAATTATTGTTTACTCGATTTCAGAATTAATTTAACAAAGAAGTTTAAAATTTTTTTTATAGACAATGAAATGTTATTCTTATTATACTTGTGCGTATATATATATATATAATATATATAAATAAATAAATATATATATATGGTGAGAATTTATAAATTATATCTTGTGTGTATGTGTATATAAATAGCGCTGAACTATGAAAAATTGAGTCGAGCTTAAGTCCATCTCTGCATAAATTATGTTGATGTGTTTATCAGGCATGGTCAAATTTCAATAAAGATAAACTTTGTAAATTTTAGAGCCATATATATATATATACATATATATATAGACCACCCAATACAATAAGGATTATATATACATTTATATGCACTTATATATATGAGTGTGATGATTTATAATTGCGTTATGTTGTATGATGATATTGAAAGCTTTTCTTTGTCTATATGCAAATCTTTGCAATTTTAAGTAATATATATATATATATATATATATATATATATACATAGGTGGTAATATATAAATGATGTAGTTTTATATAGTTATTTAAGAATATCAAACATTTTCAGCAATAATCCACTTGTAGTTCAGTTTTCCTTAGAAGACATTTATCACTTTCATGTAATTTACTCAAGTATTTTTGAAAAAAAAATATTTTCGGTTTTTTTCGGCAAATATGATTTAGTTTCGGCCGAAACCGAAAAACGGCCGAAACATGAAATATAACTAGAAAAATTGGCAGTTTCGGCGCCGAAACCGAAACCGAATTTCGGTCGGTCTCTAGTTTTCAGCGGTAATTATTCTCAAACACTATTTTTAAATTATTTGGTAACAAAAATTTAAAAAATGCTTCACAAGATAACATGTTGGAATACATAATTATCTTCAACGTTTTTGCAAAAAGGCTTGGCAAATTTATTTATTTACAAACATACATACGTACGTACATACATACTCGCACGCGCACACACATATATAAAGATATATTGGTATGAATGGGAAAATTATAAACTGTAATCATTGGTTCAGGCTTAATGCATGGAGAACCAATAGCACCGCTTTCATCTAACCTAATGATGAACTACGTTGTGCGATTAGCTACAATAAAAAGTGCACACATACACTAGCGCACACCGCTTAAAATTCAATAGTAAAAAACCCATCGATGCTACTCAACTGAAAAAATAGCACAACCAAAAAATTCCTCTTGCTGATGCCCTAAGTTTTTAATACATTCTCTCAATTTATTCTCTCTAATTTTTGAATTAATAGGAAATTTTTTATTCCAATCTTTGTGTGATGTTGTAAAATGTCTTCTAACATTATACTCTTTAACCTTTGCTATGGCTGTGGAACATATCACACATACAATTATATTTACAAAAATGCAAAAATATTGTTCTGACCAATCGTCTTTGAACCTTCCACTTTATTCTTTCCAGAACACCTCGTTTCATTACTAATTTTAATAGAACTACTGTTTTCATTTGTATCTTCAGTTATTTGAAGTGATTCATTTATGAAAAGACTCACATAGTGATTTTTTTTCTCCAGAATTTATTTCTGTGTAACCTAAATTCATAGGTTTAGCATCAAAACTTTTTTTTACATTCACTGGTCGTTTAAAGTAGCTTGCTGCTGCTTCAATTATGATTCCATCACCCCAAGTATCATCTTTACTCATCATGGTCAAATAATTTTCTAAACTTCATTGTTGTGCTAACTACTTAAAAAATGTAGTTAACTACTATAGTTAACTACTTTGAAAAAATCTAGTTAGTAACTACTTTTCAACTACTTTGCACAACAGTAGTTAGTAACTACTCTTTAACTACCACCTAGTAGTTAACTAGTAGTTAACTACTTTCCAAACATTGCCATTTAAAAAGAAACTGGTGTTTACAACCTTTCGATACCAAATTATTAATTTTTGCAGTAGTTAACTGATAAATTTGAAGACAAACTAACTTTTATTTGAAAGGTTTTATTCATAAAAATTATATGTCAAATTAATAACTTTCTGAGATAATCTCTCGAAAAAATAATTTTGTCTAGGTGTTCATCAGACAACTTGCAGCATTTATTAGTAAAAATTTGTCCGGCAACACTGAATAGCCTTTCAACAGCAGCTGAGCTTGGTAATGTCGAATTTATTTTTAAAATGCTGCACACACTGCTGGATAGCAAAATAAATGTTCAACATTTTTTGCCTGACTAGATAAATAATTGTTGAGTTGTTCAGCTAATTTGCAAGAACTTTCACTGTTTTCCTCAATATAGTCATATAGATTATTGCATTCAGGAGTTGTGTCTTTGGAGGTCGCTAATATGGGATTTTGTGCTTGATCTGTATGGGATAGAAATGTAAAACAATTTTACAAAAAAATTCAATTTATAAAATAAACAAAATAAATGAAAACCAATATAGTAAAATAAAAATTATTATCACCTGGTTTTCCAATTTCTTTTTCGACATCTTTTATGTACGTCAATAATTTTTCCCTAATTAATAACTTCTTTTTATCATCATTTAAAAAATTCAGTTTGAATTGAGGAATTAATGCTGATGCTAATATGTATTCTTCGTCTTCTAAAACTTTACCAAAACGTTTTTTTATACCATCAGCAAGTGCCTGTGAGAGTGGTTTGACAAGTGTATCTGTAGATGACAGAAGTTTTTTATTGATACCAACTCCTTTTGGCATTGACAAACATTCATAAAACCTATGTCAACAACTCTTTCAATTGAATAAAATTCGGAGCACCATCTTGTAACATTTGATTTAATAAATGTTGAGCCAGTTATGTTCTGCACAATTTCAGCATTTTTAACACTCCGATGAACAGAATTTGATAATGACACAACTTTTGCTATAGCTCTATCATAGAGTCGCTTGTATTGTTGGTTGTCTCTTGCTGCCAAAGCATCAACACTTGCAACTAGATTTAACGTGTGATTATCACATCGTTTGTGAGGAGGTAAGAGAAACACCTCATCTGAGTCATCCATGTTTTCTTGCACATTCTGTATTATATCTGCTATGTTCTCTCCTAATAAATCGCTGTCACGATTAGGTGCATCTTCTGCATCATCCTCTTCACAGTCTTCATCTATAGATTTTTTATCAACAACTAATGAGAAGGCTTTCACAAAATTTGTTGCATTGTCCGCGACAACGTTTAACAATTTTTTTGTAATTTCAAATTCATCAAAAATTTCATTTAATTTCTTTGCAATGAGTTCTACAGTATGAGATCCTTTTAGTCTACGACAAGCTAAAACTGCAGATTCCATCTGCAACGTTTGTGAACATACGTAGTGTAATGTTATGCCAATGAATGATCTCTTGTAGGATGACCATATATCCGCTGTTGCTGACATCCATTTAACATTTTTTAAACTTTCGATGAGTTGCCTTTTACTATTATTATATATGTCATCTATGTTTTGATTTATACATCTGCGAGTTGGAACTTTATGTAATGGTAAAAACTTTGAACAAAATCTGTTGAAACCTTTTCTTTCTATCATAGCTACAGGTTCCATATCTTCGAGTATCATCTCTGCTATTCCTTGATTAAATTTTTCCTGTGAGACAGATTCTCACCCTATAAATACCCTCTAAATATGACCCTAACTCTTATCCACCCTGTTGTTGTTTGCATTGATAGTGACACTTAGTAACATAGACTCGTGCTTTTTTAAATTTAAGGCCCTGTGGCGCCACCTAGAGTGACAGCATAGCAATGATTGTGGGATGGGACGTTCAGTAGTTTGCCCAAAAAACAAAATTATTCATCTACAAAAATTATATAAAATGCTTTAAGAAGTTGGATGAATTAGAGACATTGCCTGAAATTCTTTTGTTGCATGTGAAAGTTTCTGTCATTATCTTTTTTTAACAGCACATCAACAAAACACGATTTAACAACTTGGGTGTTCATATCTTATTTGGAGTTCTAAAAATTGTTCAAAATGTCAACCACAAACACTCACTAACTTCAACACCAAAAAGAAACGGAAATTGAATTATGCTGCTAAGCTACACGCAAAAGATCATAAATGAATAAAGACTAGGATAATATTTTTATCCTTGTTATTATCGTATGCAACGCTCGCACACACATGGACATTCAACCAGCATTTGTTTATCAACAACCAATAGATATATGATACAATACAACCCATGGGATTAATATGATGAATTAATGATACATTAGGTCATGGACATCCATGATTAAGTTGTCTTAACCTTGTATCCCCGCAGACAACTACATAATGCAATAGGTGTATATAATATGTATGTATATTATGTAAAATGTCTATTATATGTGTTCATATACAATATGTTATATATATAAATATATATGATATATTGTATATATGTTTTGCTCATTGTTGTATACAACCATTTGTTATCCAGCATGTGATATGCAAATGCATATTAGATGACCATATCTGTTTTCAACAGTAACACAACAATGCATGCACACAAATAGAGGCGATCAAATATTAGCTTATTATTATAAGTAGTTATGTAAAATAGTTAACTACTGTAGTTATTAACTACTAAAAAAAAGTGTTAACTACTAGTTAATAACTACTTTGAAAAAAATAGTTATTAACTACAGCTTAACTACTAGAAAGTAGTTATTAACTAGTAGTTAACTATTTGTAGTTAATAACTACACACCACTGCCAAACTTCCATATTCAGAAAAAATTATTTTAATATTTTCTTCCGATTCAACCTTCATTTATAAAAATTTACTGTGAGACATCATAATTATTTCTTTTCAGCATCAACTTTTATTATACTATTCATTACATTGATTTAAAATATTAAAATCATACCAAAAAACTGACTTCGAATATGATCAACAAGATCTTTTCTTACAGCAGAAGCATTGGATATGGGAATACTAATCTGGTCTGCAATTGCAGAAAATAAACATTTCCCATCTTCTGGAGTATTATTTACTGTATAATCGTTGAACTCTTTTTGACAATTTGTCTAACCTATATTCACAGAATCGAATCATCAGCAAAATAAAATGTGATTAAATGTTGAATATAAATAGATAAATATATATATCAATAAAAAATATTACTCCTTAAAAAATAAAGTGAAATTAAAAACGGTTTTATACTTTTATATAACAATTTACAGTTGGTACTCCAGCTACAATGCTATATTTATGCATTTTCAAACCATTAAATGTCATCAAAGTTCGTCACTCTAATAACTAACTCTACTTTTTTAATCTTTTTTAACGTTCATTTTTCCACATAATAATGCAGGTTAGACGCTTCCCCAGAGCTCATCAACAGGTGTACATTGACTTTTCTACGGATTCCTTCAACATTATGGGCAGTATCAAAAGTGATCTAAAAGAAGTGAAAATGATCTGTACGTTCCTTTCCTAAATAGGAACCACCCTCAATACCGACAGTTTTAGGACTAATCCAGGTCCAGGCAGTTTTAGGACACATCTAGATCTACCTATCAACCAATCAATCATCTAATTCTAAATTTAAAACATTTAAAAATTTTAAAAAACCTCTCATTTTTTTTAAAAATTTTGCCTATTTTGTTTGCAGGCCGCTTCCTTTTAATTCTTTTTAGCGTAAAGCAGACAAAAAACAAAATTAAAAAAATTCACGAAAAAACGAAATTAAAGATGAGCTGGAAACTGCATATATATATATATATATATATATATATATATATAATAGAAAACAGCATAGAAAACAAACCATGGAAAGCTGTTTGTGCTAAATTTTTTTGTTTGATATTGAATGCAAATTTTAAAGATGTATAGGACCACCTGAGGGCCACTTACCATAGATTTTTTTGAAAGTGATAAGGGCCAAAAAAATAGCGCAAAGGGCCACTTTTGGCCCGCGGGCCACTGTTTTAGCACCACTGGTCAAACTGCTTTGCATCAGCAAGAAGAGACTTCACATGATCCAGCTGACTTGACAATGATTGCAAAAAAAAACTGGCTATTCCAACGAGTACCAAAAATTATAAAATTAATTTATATTTAACCATACATACATTTGGTCATTTGTAATATTTAGACCGTCGATAATGCAGGCACCAACCTCCATCATTGGTAGAACAATAATTTTCAGCCGAATGATTTTTGGGTAACATTAGAAAGGTTCGTTCGGTTCGATTCGTAATCGGCAATTTTAAAGTTCGGGTTTGGTTCGGTTCGGCCATGAGCAAAGTTCGGGATCGAATCGGTTCGGTTCAGTCATGCCCAGAGTTCGGGTTCGGTTTGGTTCGGTCACAAGTAGGGTTCGAGTTCGATTCGGGTTCGGTTCGATTCCCATCTCTATGTTCAATACATCATACAATCATTGTTCATACATACATACGTTACTTAAAGTTATAGAATACATACTTTGCATACATTTCAATGATCAGTTAAGGATTCATATAGCTATACAATTATTAGTAACACGTATGAACATCTGCTGTGCATTAAGCAGATGGTCCTCTCTTTTTTCGCGATCTCTCCGCGCACATAATATATAGGTCGGTCGTTGTGGCTGGTGGCTAAGTTCAGTCTCATTGTATTTTTTTATTTTGTATGTCTTTTGATTGTTTGTATATAGTTTGTCACATGTTATTCACATGCTTGTTTGTGTTTTGTCTAATCATTTATTTGCTGGTTGTATCTTAATCTGGGAGTGTTTCTTCAATGTTTAACTTTTGTTTGTTTCCTGATAAGTATGTTTGTCTGTGTTCCTTTGTTTGTCGGGAGTATGCTTGTTTGTTTGTATTCATTTGTTCGTACACGGCTGAAAATGTTTGTTGTATTTCGTCAGTCGTTCACATGTTGCTTGATTGTTAAATGTGAAATTCGTTGTTTTCTAGATACATTTGTTACATATTTGAAAGATTATTTCAACAAATATGAAAATATTTTCAGACCTCATTTTATTTATTCATTCAGCTTCCGGCTATATAAGGCGAACAAAACCGAAACGGCTGGCAACAGTGAAGCCACCACACGTACCGATTCGTTTCTCGATGACTACAATCGGTGTAGGATCCTACACATTCCCGGCTGACTGAATTCCATGAGTGCTACGTCTCTGAGCCAAAAGGGCAAGTTGCAGTCATAACGATGAAAAGTATGATGATGAAGTTGAGGAGAATGGATATGGAGTTGACGATTACTACGACGGTTACCATAATGATTATAATAATACAAATAAAGTCGGGCGTGAAAATGGTGATAATTACGATGGGGATGCCACGGTGGTGAGGTTAGGATAACTTAAGATAGGTTGGATAACTGCTTGCTAAAAGCAAAAGAGAACTCGTCATCTTCATCGTCATCAAAAACCAAATGGGAGACTACAAAGGTTTCATCTCTATTCAAAAGAGCGAAACACATCGAAAGTGTTCGAAAAGAATTCTTAAAAATTTCTTCATCAAAAGACGTCATCGACGACATCAGAAGATTGTATAAACACTCAGGATATGTTCGAAATGAATTCTTGAAAAATTTCTTCAGCAAAAGAATGCCTTCTTGCTACAACTGAATGAGAAAGCCAAGGAATCAGAGGCATGACAAGCATGCAACTATATATTTCACTAACAAAGCCAAATTCTTAAAAATCAACAAGCAAGTGACGTCATCGACGACATCAGAAGATCGTATAAACACTCAGGATATGTTCGAAATTTTCGAAACGAATTCTTGAAAAATTTCTTCAGCAAACTGTAAGAGGAATCTGAGGCATGACAAGCAGGTAACCATATATTTCACTAACAAAGCCAAATTCTTAAGCCAGAAGGGGAAAACAACGCCCAGTAAATAACCTTAACTTTTTGTTACATCAGAAGTACCAGTCACAGCAGAAATAAAAGTAACAACAGCAACAGAAGCAACCACAGAAGCCGTAATCGCAAGTTGCAGTCATAAAAGTATGATGATGAAGTTGAAGAGAATGCATATGGAGTTGACGATTGCTACCATGATGTTGGCCATTACTACGACGATTACGATAATGATTACGATAATGATTATGATGATTACGACGTATATGATTACGGAGAAGTTGAAGACTTTAATAATTTATCTGTGACAGTTAAACACAACGAAGACCAAAATGATGATGTCGGTGAAAACAAGAGTGATAATGTATTTAATAATAATTATAATAATAATAACGATGATAATGATGATGGCGAAACCAGCAAAAAAGCTAATGATAATGATGTTGGTGACGATGTTGGAAGTACCAAGGAACATAGTGACGTAATAGTTAATGTCAGTGACGTAATAGTTAATAACAGGCTAAAGAAGAAGATGATGAAATTGCCTAAAAACTGACAGCAAGTGCGGCCTGCAAAAATGACATCTACATATTCTTTCAATGAAGAAAGGTCTGGATGACGTCAAGTTGCCGATTACCTCATCCATCGATGAGACCAACAAACCGAAAGTAAGGACGTTCGAAGACGGAGAATTATATTCTAAATGTACTTCAACGGCGATACGTTTGACGTTACTTGCATAGAACACTTTCTGGAGTATGTTAACAAAGTACTGTTGGGCAGTCGACAGGGGACGATGCGATTAGTGAATCTGTCGCAGAATCAAGTAATTTATTCGTAATTTATTCGTACCGGTGAACGTGGTGGCAGTCGGCTTGAAGGACGGTCGGATCGTTCTACACGATCAGAAATTCGACGAAAGCCTCATGGTTTTTAAGCAATACTGGGGGTCAGTTACTAGTATTTCTTTCACAAGTGACGTCGACTACATCATGGCGGGTCAATCACATGCCTCCACTGTATCGAAACCACGCCCACCATGCTCAGGTCGTCCAATGATAATTCACTCAAGATGTGGATTTTTAATGAAACTGAGGGCGGAGCTAGGTTGCTCAGTCAGATAAGAGGCCATTCGAAGATGAAGATGAAGAAGTACCAGTCACAGCAGAAATTACAGCAGCAGCAGCAATTCTTGCAGATGTATTGAATGTTGGAGTTTTTAAACAAACAATCGCAAATAACGTTCTTGTTGATTCATATTGTGTCTTAAACAAGAAAGGACTATTACATCCCAAGACTAAAACTAAAAATCAAAATGAGTTATCTTCCATCCTTCAGAGCCAGAAGGGGAAAACAACGCCCAGAAAATCTTCTTGCCTACTAATAAAACACTTTGCTACATCAGAAGTACCAGTCACAGCAGAAATAATAGGAACAGCAGCAAAAGAAGCAGCCACAGAAGCCGTAATCGCAAGTTGCGGTCAGAACGATGAGAACGATGATGATGAAGTTGAGGAGAATGGATAAGGAGTTGACGATTGCTACGACGATGTTGGCCATTACTACGACGATGGCCATTACTACGACGATTACGATAATGATTATGACGTATAGGATAATGATACGTATGAAAACAGCAAAAAAGATAATGATAAGATAGTGATGATGAATTTATCATTAACAATAATAATAACGACGAGATAACGATAAAACCAGCAAAAAAGATAATGATAATGAACAATTTGTAATTATTGACAACAATAATAACAATGATGATGATGGTCAAACCATCAAAAAAGATAATGATAATGAATTCAAAAGATAATGATAACGAACAATTTGTAATTGACAACAATAATAACAATGATGATGATGGTCAAACCATCAAAAAAGATAATGATAATGAATTCAAAAGATAATGATAACGAACAATTTGTAATTATTGACAACAATAATAACAATGATGATGATGGTCAAACCATCAAAAAAGATAATGATAATGAATTCAGTGGTGATGACTTTGTTATCATTGACAATAATAACTAACGACGGTGATAACGATAAAACCAGCAAAAAAGATAGTTATAACGAAGACTTTGTAATTATTGACAATAATAATAATAAAACCGACGACGATGATGACGAACAAAATGATGGTGAAAAAGATGAAGAAGATTACGTAACGCTGAAGATGACGACGTCCTCTTTATAACTCCGACAAGTCATAACAATAAAACGGCGATTTATAATGACAGCACTAGTAGTTCTCAATGCCATGTAATGTAATGAATATGATAAAAAAAACCAGCAGTGTTGGCTTATCTTTGTATGTTAAATGGTTGCTAACGAGCTTGTCCAGCTGCCTTTATATTTTTGTATCTAAAAAATCAACCTGAGCAAGTATGTGGATGATAAGAAACCACCATCATCATCGAACGAATTACCCATATTGTCTGTTCAAGATGTTAGCGAAAATGCTGGTGTAACAAGTAAAAAACGAAAAAAAAACTAACATACAATGATGACATTGATGATGATTTAACGGTAAAAAGACAGAAAATACACCATACTTCCAGCACGTGTCTACAAATCATCGCTCCATTCATATCCAGCACCTTATGTTCACTCTACAATCACTGCTTGATTCACTCATTCATCACAATGGAAATCTAGCACAATTCATCCAATTCCTAAAACAAAACACCCATCATCACCAAAAGATTATCGCCCAATATCTATCACCCCCATTCTCTCACGTATTCTAGAAAAATTCATCGTTAGGTCATTCATCTATCCATGTTTCAACCATTCATCCATCAAACCACTATTACAAGACCAGTTCGCATTTCGACCAACAGGCTCATCTACATCCGCTATCATCTCTCTTACTTCCACAATAACATCTTTCCTTAAAAATAATCTTATTGCCCTCGATTTCTCTAAAGCTTTTGACACTTTCAATCACTTCTCACTTTCAAATAAGTTAGCCTCTCTTCCATTACCTGACAACATTTACAATATCATAATTAATTTCCTATCTAATAGGAGTCATTCTACTCTTTTTAGCTCTACTCTTTCATCTACTCTACCTATTAACTCTAGCGTAGTTCAAGGTTCTGTCCTTGGTCCATCTACCTTCATCATCAACGCTTCTACTCTCAAAACTTTCCATAGCTCAAATCAAATCATCAAATACGCTGACGACACCTACCTTATCATCCCATCATCTAACTCAAACACCATCCAATCAGAACTCGACTCATTAACCACATTGTCAAAACGATGCAATCTTTCACTTAATCTCAATAAATCATTTGAACTCATCATTCACAATAGCCGTAAAAAAAATAACATTATCTACTGAACACCCATCAATCACTCGCACAAATCAACTAAAAATATTGGGCATCACATTCACCTCCACACTCAATATAGCACCTCATATCAATTACATCATCACAAAAGGCTTTCAAACATTTCACGCACTCAAAACACTCCGTTCACATGGTCTCAGAGGCGTCAAATTATTCGACATCACCGAATCACTCATCATCTCACGCATCAAATATGCAGCTCCATCCTCGTCTGGTTTTGCCACGCAACAACAACTTCAGCAGCTACAATCTCTCATCAAAAAATTAATTCGCTTCAACTACCTACCTGCATCATATCCTACCATCACTCAGATATTCAACACACTCGATTCAAGGCTGTTCACACTCGATTCAAGAAAATAGAAAATAACAACAACCACGTCATCCATCCTCTACTACCACCAATCAAAACTACAACACACAACCTTCGTCAGCGCAAACATAACTATCAAGTCGTCGCCCAATCTACATACCAGGAAAAGACCTTCATCACAAGACACCTCAAACATATTAGCACTTAAGAAAACTTCATCGTTACTGAACTAGTTTTTACTTATTGATCCCTTCACTTTTATCGATCACCTCACTAAGTCATCATTTAGTCTATTAATAAGTCATCAAATATATTAATACTCATTAAACTTTTTCACACACAGGCCTAGCTTTTATTTATCGATCACCTCACTAACCCACTAAGTCATCATCTAGTCTATCAATTTGCCGTTACTTCATTTTATATTCCATCGTCAATTACCTTTCTCTTATTATTCATTTATCTTTATTTTTCATTTTATTTTTATTTTTTATTTTATTTATTTTATTTATTTTTTATTTTTTTTTTCATGTTTTATCATTTCTCTTCCTCACTTTTTGTATTTATTTTCTCACTTATTTGTTTAATTTTGTTTTGTTTTTTGCATGTTGTTACAGTTTCTGCGTCTGTCAGATCCTGATTTTTAAAGAATAATAAAAAAAAAATTATGAAACCTGCTGGTAATTTTAACAGGAGATTGATTGCATCCGCGATGATAATGCGAATGATGACGATGTTAATCTCGATGTTTACACGGGTAACAACACAAATAACCAAGCCAAGAAGGCTCTCCTCTCATTTGAAAACTGCAAATGGCATGATGGTGTGTGGGACTGCTTCATTGACAAGCACGTAGAAATATTAGAACATCAGGCTGTAATACTAAATGACAAAGATTACATTTTAGCAGCTGAACAGTCCTCAAAAATTATTTAACAAACAGCCTTTTAATCCTAACATTTGTAAGTTTTTTTATTATTTTTATAAAAAACATACAGATATTTGATGCTTTGAAAAAAGTTTGTGAATTAAAGCCATCAGATCTACTGTTGCTAAATTTAGTACTCTCAGATGTTGACAGAAAAGATTCCAGTTCATATAATGCAGAACTTCTTTTCAATTATCTTGATTTTACTACTTGCAAGGACGATGAAAAAGCATGGGTTCTCGCAGATTTGCTGGTCAAGAACCTCATCAATGACAAGTCAGAACTTAAAAAAGTTTCGTGAAAACCATCCAGACTTGTTGGTTGTAAAGGGTAGATTGGCAGTATCATATTGTACATTCAAATGATATTGTACGTAAACGTCGAACTCAATCTAACGAATAGGAGGTTTTAAAATGTTTTGTTCTACTATGTCTTTGTCTTGGCAAGACGAAAAAATAGCTATTATAAAAAAACTAAAAAATTGTTAAAACAAACACTTGATAAACCTCTTTTATATGATATGTTTATTAAAATTAAATCTGTAAATATTTGTATATCAGCATTAAATGTAGCTTTATAATTTAAAAAATTTTTGCATTTTTGAATTATGTAAGTATATTATACCTCTTTGCAAAGTTTTTATAATGTTTTATTTGAATTTTTGAAATTTTAAATATGGCCTTTCAAAAGTTCAACATGAATATTCACGTCACCAACAAAATAACATAATATGCTGAAAGCAATATTTGGTCAAATGTTATGAATTGAATGACGACTTTTAATTGATTGATTTAGATTGATTGATCTGTCATTAATTTTATTATTATTACTGTATATTTCGTGTATATATTTTGTTATTAACGTTTTAGTTAGATTTATGTTTTCTTAAGTTTCTCTATTGAATGTTTTTATTAAATAATTTAATAGATGTATAAAATCTAAGTTTGATTCATTGATTGGTTAATTGATGTGTTTGGTTGATTGATATGGCCAAATTAATAATTGAAAATAAATAAGTTTTAAGCTGACTTCGAAATTGTAAATATGGTCGATCAAAAGTTCAACATTAATATTCACGTCACCAATATAATATGCTAAAAGCAATATTTGGTCAAAGACAGATGATAACTCATCAAAAAACAATGGTGACAGAATGTAAGACCCAGGGCGATAAATTGCGAAAATGGCAATAGACACTGCTAAAATAAAATTTTACAACTATAGCTTCAAATGTCTTAAATAAAGGCAGTGAAGTACTAAAAAATTAAAAATGAATAAAAAAAAACAATTATTCAACCGTGGTGAGGATCGCCAGGACTTAAAAAATCTATAAACACAAAATCAGGTGGAAGAACCATGCCGGAATTCCGTAACAACAAAAATATCAAAATTATTAGAGAACAAATCACGAACTGTATTAATTTTATTCATAATTGACCTAATGTTTAACAAACCTAATTGTAATTTTAGTTCTGTGTCTTTTTCGGTAACTTCATGATTTCCGGGGTACCTCTGATCCAAAATAAAAAAGCTGGATCGGATACTTCGCTAGCTAGCGAAATGGTAACTCTGATCGTGAGTCAAATCATGGTTTATTTTATTTTGACCTTGTTGTTTTCACCATTTAGTAATTTAATTTTATACAGTGGACTAAGATGGAATTGTTTGGTGTTTAAGGAATCAAATTTAATGATTTAGGGCGAGGTGGTATAGCTGATTCTAACTTTGCCTTGTCAAAAAATCTTAATATTATTTTCATTATATTTGTCACCTAGTAATGCTTTATAAAAGAACAAACATTATTTTATCGTCATTAAAATTAGTTTGTTCTGGCAAGTTAAAGAGAACAACATTGTTTTCACGTTCTTTGATATTATTCGAAGTACTTCACCAGCTACTACGTCAAAGTTCTTTTTGACGGTATCCGTGTAGGACGATTTAAGCTCATGGAGTAAATCGTTGATAGTAGACTTAATGTTATATTTGGAGGAACTATCGCGGTTGAGATTCATTGACGACTTTAGTGTATCAAAAATTCGATAATTGCATTTCTGACAGTCTTAATCCAATATATATATATATATACATATATATATATATATATATATTCATACATACATATAAACAAATTTATAAAATATATACAAATGTTCTTGGAATATAATGATTAAACCATTGCGGTAGCATAATATAATTTAATATAATAATAAATATAATATATTTGTGTATGTGTGTTTTTGCGTGTGTGTGTACATTTACTGATAACAAAACATACGAAATCAACCATTACAAATAAATTATTCTCTACTTTTTTAAAACTTTATTTGATTTGGTATAATTAACCTAATGGTGTCGTTCATCAGGTCAATCAATCGTTAATCAACATTCATTCATTCAATTAATCACCAATCCATCAACAATATCCAACAAGCCAACTGTTCATCATAAAGCAATCACCAATGAACCAATCAATCAACGAACCAATCAATCAACGAGCCAATCATTATTCTTAAACTTATTAAAAACCTTCCAACGCACGCCCTGAACCTCAACGACCCTTCTTTTATTAATATTATAATTATAACTTAAAAGAACATTATAACTACAATTATTATTGATAAAATCATTAATATTATTACCACTACTCTCGATATTGTCCCCAGTATTACTATTCTTTCTACTGCTGCTGCTACTACGGCTACTGTCGCTACCACAGTGACTACCATAGTTACATATTAACGACGCCATCATGAACTGATTGATGTGTGATCCCAGCGCGCCAGATTGGGAGTAACTCCCGGGTGTGTAAAGTGATTGAGATCGTAAAAGGATCCGGATCCGGTATCGAATAGCGGTAATGCGATACCGAGTGTCCGCATACCGACTTCGAATAGCTGGCTTGGTGTAGTTAGTGTAAGTCTTCGTTTAGCTTCGGCAAAATCGGTCGATTTTTCGTTTGTCGGTTTCTAGGCTGTCGGTTTTGTCGAATACGGTTGGTGTTGCTGTTGTACATTTCGTTGCTGTTTCTGATTCGTTAGCAATGTTGTCGTTGTTTGTGGTCGGTGGAATGATTCTTGCGGAACGTAATTATTATTATGGTTATTATTATTGTTATTATTATTATTGTTGTTGTTATTACTTGATAGTAAGTGCTTCGACCTTTGGATTATGTCTGATTCTATCTTGTTTTTGTTATCATCGTTGTTGCTGTAACCAATGTTATTATTATTATTTTGGTTATTATTATTATCATTATTGCTACCCTCCTCATTGTCTTCATCACTGGAGATTAGTATCCTCAGCAACTCGACATCATCAATCACTTCAACACTCCCGCGACCGCCATCCTACCGGCCACCAGTGTCGCCAACCTTCACCTTGAACTTTCGACCTTTGAACCTCACCTCATTATAATTATAACCACCATCATCACTCAAAGCCTCACCGCCAAATCTTAAACACTCTAACGTAATGGCCAGATCGTAGAGACCGAACAAAGAGTTCATGAACCCATTCAGCACGAAGGTCGATGGCACAGTCGGGTATTTTTTATACCATGAAAGCTTCCCGAACATAAAAGCCAAAACGCCGCCGTCTTTCCCGGCCACTAGAAACGGCGTCGCTGTTCGAAATGCCGCTCTTAAATAGGTCAAGTCGCGGCTGGTTTCGAACGACCTAGATAGGAGAGACATCGTGACCTTGACCCATTGACGAGTACCAGCCCGGTTTCAGTTTCTTTTTTAGACCCGGGAATTCCCTCTCTACAGGTATCGGTCAGCCGCCATATTGGTTCTGACTGGTGGTACTGGCTGGTGGTAGTGATGATGATGATGTTAAAAGTGATGAGATCGATCGATTGATCAAATGAAGAATGAATGACTGAATGAAAGTACGACAGACAGATATAAATTTGAAAGAAATCTTAGCGATAAAAACAACAGGCTCACTTTTTAACCAGTCAATCAGAAACTTGGAATACAATCTGAGAATGAATGTCACTGGTCAGTTTCAAATTCAAGACCGGGCCACTGCCTCTCAACTCGAGGCCCGATAGGCTGAAATTGACGTGTCGCGAAAACGTAACTCTCACTCTTTGGAAAACTCTTACAAATTTTAATTACTATGAGTATAATTATAACATTACATTATGATTATACTATCAATATAATCGATAATTATAATTATCGATTATATTGATAATATTTATTGATATTATTTATATTGATTGATATTATTATAATCATATTTATAATTATAAAATTATGACGTAATTAAGGCGATCGAAATACCATTTTCATTTTTTTCAATCACCTAATTAATTATAGCGTGGTTCAAGCAAGTGTTGGACATTAAAACGTCGTCAGTAGTTTGCAAAATTCATTGAGGAGTGCTGCTGAACATAGCGAAAATAGCGCTTTACAAGCTAATTGATTAATTAATTGAGTAGTAAACTACCAGTACTATCAATATGTAAGGTGTAAGGTCAAAACGACACACAGCCATACTTAGTACTTACACGTCATTTGACATCCACACACACATACACTTTTAATAACGAATTTGAGGTTCATATTCCATAAGAAGCAGTAAACACTGGATCAAAGTAAAAATATGTTTATTCCATTCCATATATTACTTTTTAGTATATATTTATAGGGCATAAGTAAAAAGATAGTAATATATAATTATATATTATATTCATGAATATATATACATATCCATGATTATATTATAATATTATGATTTTAAAAGTAGATTGACATTTGATAAACAAAAAATGTTGCGTTGCTTTTATTTTTATTTTATTTTGGCTGTTTGGGATCGGGGAAATGATCAAGTTTGATTTTTCTTTCTTCAGATTGGGCTTTTGAAAACACTGCATGAACAGAAGATGGATGTTCGTAGACTTCCAAAAAGACATCCTTCAACGGAAAATCATCCTTTGATAGCAAAAGATGACGACGACGACGATGATTCCACTTTTCACTGTTTGTTCATCCTCCTTTTTTAAAATTAAAAAAAATTTAATTTAATCTTGTTTGTATTTTTTCCATGATTTTGTTTGATTGAACTCGTTTTTTAGTCTACTTTTTTAACTAATAAAAATAAATTTCATTGTGTTATTTATTAGTTAATTTTTAAAATAATGATAATATAATAAATAATAATAGTAATTATTATTAATTAACTATTAAATTAACTGATAACAAGAACAATTAATAATATAATAACAACCAACAAAATCAATGTCAGCAACAATCTGCAATCAATATAAGACTAGCTAGAGACTAACATAGACTAATATGGATAAGCATTACAACATATTTTTTTAATTATACATGAATTTGTCTTGTCCTGTTCTTATTTTATCTATAAATTTTATAGTTTATTAGTGTTTGCTTCTTTTTTTTATTAATTATGATAAATTGTTGATAGCTGATTCAATTTACTTTTTAAAAAATTGTTGTTGACTTTTTTATTCAGCTTGATATTTAAATTTTGCACAGGCCATACTGAAGTTTTTATTAAACCAGCTTCCCCTCAGAAACGTGTTTGCTCAAAAAATAACATCACAGCAGAGAATTCTTACAGTACAAATAATCTTCCATCCACAAACAAAAATAAAAAGGAATTAACATTAACATCTGCCAACCATAATGGGACAGGCCTCTATGAAACAATCATTGAACAGCTGGCCTGTCGACTTTCCATGAATACAATGCTCAAGAACATTGTACTGACTCCATTCAAAACATGCTCTCACCAGAGGCGGTCAAGAAGTTGGAACAGATTGAGAAATGAATCAAAGGAGAGGAGATTGTTTGGTGATGACAGTGATTGCTGCAACGAGGTCAACCATTACTCTAATAGAAGGAAAGATGAAATTGAATTAAATCAATTTACTGGGATTAAGGTAGTTTTTTTAATTTTTACTTTTAATGCACATCTTTTTTTGATAACATTTAATTTAGGCAATGGTCAGAAGTCATGGCCACAAGTTTGAGTATGTGATAATGAACAAGGCCACCTGGTGTGACAAATGTGGTAGGTTCATACTCAGATATTATCAGCACTGCTACCAATGCATGTGTACGTACTTGCATTCATTTGTTCTTTGGAACTGTTTTTAACAAAGATATTGTAACATCGTAAATATGTTATGCGAATATCAAAAGATAAGTTTTTTCATAATGTAGAATATATTTGTGTTTTTTATTTATTTCCAAAATTATATGGAAATATAAAAAATGGTTTTATCATTACAAAATCTATCTTATGCACCAGCATTGTCACCTGTACATCACTACAGCATTGGTTAGTCAGTTGGCTCAAATGGTAGAAGTGCCACGTCACATTCTTTATCATGTTATTATGGGATGACCCGGTTTGAATACTCTCCAAAACTCAATGTTTATCCATCGCACACTTTGCTTTTATTATGATCCTCGTTTTTATCATATTTAATTAAAAGTTGTTGCATCATTCTAGACATGCAGTATGTTTCAGTGTATCAATTTTTTATATTTTATTTTGACAATTAATTTAATGTTAGATTACTTTGATAAATTGGATGAATAATTTGTGCAGTCTGCTTGTACACTTGTCACATAACGTGCAAGAACATGGTGACGCTGAAGTGTCCCTCCCTACAAATCAACAACCTCATCATCAACGTCAGGAAGTGCAAGTTGGAAACTGCACTCAGTTTGCAGCCTAAATTGTCTGTTGTTAGTTCTGCTGGTTCATTCTAAATTATCCTCTGTGTTTTTGTTGTCAATTCATTTTAACAAATTTATGACAAATGAAATTTAATTGAAACTTTGGAACTAAATAGAATTTGCATGTGTTATGTAATCGTGAAAAAAAACTAAAAGACTGTAGAGCGTTTAGTGTCATAGAAAAATAAAAAATGTGTTTGATTGAAATTCAACTTTTAGATAATATTTATAATTTAAGCTGGGTTAAACAAAACACAAAACTATTTTTAGTTGTTGATTTAATTCTCATAACAAAAATATGCTGAAATAAGGTTTTGTTATTGACACTGAAATGTCTTTGCGCGCACACACACACACCACACACACACACACACACACACATATATATATATATATATATATATATATATATATATATATATATATATAAACACACACACATAAGTATATAAACATGTGTTTGATGTTAATTGTTATTGAAATTGTTTGTAATTGTTTTATATGATGCTGAACAAGTAATTAAAGTAATTAAGTAGTCCAGTCGTGTTTGAAAGTTTTTTAATTACTCACAAATATAATTGAAACAACTTTACTAATTTTCTTCTCATATTTCTTAATAGACTTCCTACGACGAAGAAGATAACAGCATCAACACGTCTAATGCCTGTGATTCTAAGAATGGAAGTAGCATTAAAATTACATACAACAAGATGTTAGATTTTGAAGAAAAAGTCAAAACATTCAATGAGAGCAACAAGTTTGGTCTCTTCTTCCGACTGGTAACAATCATTCAACTACATTTCATATTGCAAAAATTTTAATTCTGAACTTTATTAGTTGATCAAATGAATTATCTTCTGGGCTTATTAGTCATTAATATATGCTATTTTTTCTTAAGTGCTAACATCCATCATTATAATAATGATTTACTTTTGCCAGCAAGTTCTGCTTTAGTGCTACTCAGACTGGTTGATTGCAGTCAATTACGTTTCTTACAGAGATTAATCAAATGAACGGTTTTTGTACAAATTGTGCTTTCTGAATATCATCAGAGCTGTATTTACCAATAAGCTAAAAAGGCTGGAGTCCATGGCGGCAAATTTTAGTGGGCGGCAAATTTTGATGTTAAAAAATAAATAACTTGAAATCTTGTTTATGCAAGACGCCTAAAATTAATATACGGTCATTTATGAAATCCTAAATTTAGCCTACTATACTGTATAGAAGGCTTGCATTTTGTATTACCAACGTTCTATTGATTTTGTATTACTATATTTTACTATAAGCTATAAAATTTTTATGTCGGTTTCATTTCTTCTGACTGGATAGGTTGTACAGTACAGATGTTATTAAACCCGGAGCACTGCAAGAACGTGAAAAAGTTGAAACATAAAATATATAATTCGTCATTTAAGATTAAATAAATAAAAATAACTTTATTTTGCTAGTACATTTGTTAAATATTGTTTGTTAATAATAAGAAAAAAGTTAAGTAAATGAGGGGTGGCTAAATCTTTTAAGCCTAGAGCGCCAAATTCTTCAATCCGCCTCAGATTATCATTTTAATTAGATTTTACAAATAACGAATAATTTTTGTGCATTTGTCAACTGGGAGGATGAAAACACTTGTTTGAATGGTTTTTTGTTACCAACATTATATTGATCATCCGACCGTTGTAGATGCCAACATCGATGCAAGGTTCAATAAGAGTTCACATGAATCTTTGCCGACCGATCACGATGCTTGCATCAACTCCACCTCCTTCGTTATTGTGCGATGATCTGAGCCAGTCAAGAGCTTACAAGACATCATTTCACATGCCCAAAGATACATCAAAACTCATTTATATAAACGAGTTAGTTTTAAATGATATCCATACTTTATTTAAATTATTATTTTAATACTATGCACCTTCGAGTTCAATATTTTTTGTCTTCGTGTCCAGCGAGTTCGGGCATCATACAACCTTTTTGACGCACGAAAGTTTGATAGTATTTAAGCAATTAATAAACAAACACTCATATAAAAACTATGATGTAGACAGCTTTGTGTTATGTCAGAACTGTATCAAAAAGAAAACATTTTTTAATGAGCTTCACTGTTGTTTGGTTAGTTGTGTTTACAATTTAAATAAATTGTTTAACGCAAACTTCCAAAATATTTATTTATTTGCTGTGTCATTATAGATCATGTGTATTGTCAGCGCCATTTTGGAGTTAAATTTTGTACTTATATATTTTTGCTTCTCCGTATGCTCTACCGTCGTTTGTTGTTTAGTCGGGTCACCCAAATATCTATATATTTAAAACTAAAGTTTCAAATAATCCTCAATGGTTCAGCGTCAAAACAGAAAAATTAAAGGGAAATAACTTTAACTTTTCATTAATCAAAAAACTATTTTCACTAAAATTATTTCACCGCATCTGTAACCTTTAATATTTTAGTCACTAAACCGCTTAGAATCAACTTTATGGTTTCAACATTTCACCTAACAGTTAGTCTAATTACTATACAATAAGTTACAGGCTATTAAATTTAATTTTTTTAATTAGTAACACGACAGCAATGGAAGTAGTTGAACTGCTGTTGAAGAAATTTTGCATCGTCGAAAGTCCAAAGCAATTTTCTCTCTACCAGAAGACAATAATCCACGATGATGTTCATAGTGAGTTCTGGTGGTGATAGTTGTTGGAGTTGGAGTTCATGATCACTTATGATATGTAAATTGTAATAATGAAGTACATGCTAAAACATAATAATCATAATAATTATAATAATATTCATAATAGTGGGAACATTCTTTTATTGACCGAAAAGATAAAATCCAAATGAAATCAATCGAAAATTATTAATTATATATCAGAGTGTAAATAAACAAGATGTAAAATATAATGTACGATCCTCTCATGCTCTTTGATCAACAAGTGCTTGAGAGTAAAAGATATATTTAAAATCGGTTAAGTAGAGTTTCTGTCACAATATATACTATATGACGAGCTAATTACCGCGTTAATCAGTTTTTTCATCAATAGATTTCGGCCATAATATTTTAAACAAAGTTAGATTAAGATTGTTATAGAAACCCAAAGGTGATATTTCAAATGAATTAATAATTAACGTACAGTTATTATAGATTGAATTTAAGTTTAATTTCAAGATTTTATATTTCTGGCGTTTATATTCACGTGATGAAACTAGGTTGATTTCGTGGCAAATGGTAAGCTCTAAAATTTCGATTTTGTTTTTTTGGAGAGGAGAATGACAATATCCGGCCGCAACTTGTCGAACAACTGTGACATTGGACGTACATTTTCTGCATTAAGTTCGGCAAATATGCAACAGTTTGATGGTGCACAAATCCTTAACCAGTTGAAAATCAACGACATCAGTTTGTTAGCAATATAACTAGCAATCAATCAATCAATCTTCGTTTTGATGTCCAGAGCTTCTGCACCCCGGTAGAAACATTTCGAGCATTTTCATGTCGGTTCGTTGAAGTTGTTGTTCCAGTTTGGTTGTCATTGGCCATGTTTCTGCACCATATAACAACACCGGACGTATCACAGATTTATAAAGTCTTGATCGTAGTGGTAGTGGGATGTCACGCCGCATCAATATAGAGGCAAGGAGATGCCATTTATTCCAGGCTGCACGTATGCGTGCTCGAACGGCAGCTTCAGCTGTTCCAGTCCAATCCAGAACATCCCCTAGATATTGAAACAATGTGACTTTCTCTATTTTAATGGCTTCAAAAACAGTGCTATTTCGAATTTTTTCGAATAATAATAACTGAATATTTAAATATCTAAAAACGATTTAATAAATTGTGCGACTGAAAATTGCTAGCCATGAGAAAGTTGAATGAGAACGACCTACCGCTTGTCCTCTGTCTTCATTGGTTCTACCAGGGTGCAGAAGCTCTGGATTCCAATAAATTCATTCTTCAGGAAACTGATGCTGGAGATATTAAGGTTACTTGGAAAAGTCTTGAAACATTCGTTTAATTTTGTTTGTCAAAATATTTATATACTGATTTTGTCTGCCAAAATAGCCTTTTCTTAATCTTTTTATTTATTTGGATGTGTCTTGCATTAAGTATTTAATTATTTAATTTGTTGTGATACTCAGGATAATTTCTTAATAATTTAATTTATTTCTAAACAGTGGGATATCTTCAGTACTCCGGAACTGGAAAACTTCCTGTGCATGTTGCACAGGGAAGAGAAGGAGCACGAGGAAAGAATCAGAGGGAAGAATAAGATGATGAAGCTTCACATCCAAAGAAGACTCAAAGAGATCATAAAGGAGAACAACTTGAGGGCTAACAACAGCGGCAGTAGTGGTTTTATATCCAGTTTTAGCAGTTGTACCAGTATTGAAACGTCTGATGGATTCGATCCTAAGCTTAAAACTCATTCTTGTACTAATATGTTAAATTACTTGTGACGCAGGCATTAATTTTAAGCGTCATACCAACCATACCAACTTGTGTTAAATGTATGTATTAATTGTATATTCTCATAACCTACAAACTATTAAAGTTAACAGTTCACTTTGTCTGAGTGGTGTTGACTTAATAAGTGTTAAATATCGGGTTTTGTGGTGGTCGATTAGTCGTCAATGTCCTGAAAGAATAAGGCACCAAAAAAAAGAAGTTCACTTAACTTCATGTGTCACGCTATTCTTATAACCTGCATACTATTAAAATTAACAGTTCAGTTGGCCCTCGATAAATTATTTTTTATGATTGAAGGAAAATGCATGTAGGTACTTTCAAACTTTATAAAAAAAATCGGTAACTTTAGAACCACCCAAAAACAAGCCCTATACTCAACTTTGCCAAATTCTACCATTTTCCATCAGCTACCCAAGGGTGTACGTACATCTTTCAATCAACTATCTGTATCTTCGTTTGACAGAGGACTCAGTAATACAAAATCATGTCGGCTTACCAAAAAATTTAGCGGTTTCATATAAGTATCCGTTATCTTTTTTTTCTCTTTACATACATTATCAACTTTAAATGAAACATTTGGCACGCTTAGGAATATTTTGAGCATTTACTAAAGGCATAGGTTTGCCATCAAATAACGATTGGCCCGTCTTTATTTAAGTTCCTTGCTGTAAATATCTTTCGCTATATGGAGTTTTTCATATAGTTGTTTTTTCTGCTGTCGAACTTGGATGAATGACGTGAGTCGTTAAGAAGTAAGTAGCCAATGGATATAACAAAATGAAGATTAACAGCACACTAAACATTCTGGCGTAGATCGAGTCTTCTTATAGACCAGCCTGCACGCGTGCTCACGATAGTATGATAGGTCTGTTATGCAATATTGATTGATATTAAAGCAAAAGAAAATTATTTCATGTGCTATAACTATCATGTCTATCGTGTTATAGACTCTTTGCATTTTCGGTTACACACGGTTACAATGTACTAATGTATTTATGCCTGCGTTACAATTTCATTATTCTCCCACTGGTATTATTTGTTTATTGATTTCAGTTTCAACATCTCTACATTACATATTACTTGTTAGATTGAACGTTCCACGTCATGCATCCATCACTATTTATATATTTTGTATATAGTTAATTGTTTCACTTATCTACCAGACTGTCTCAGTTAAGTATTTTTGAAAACTTTATAAAATCAAATATATTTCAGGTATAACTATGTAAAGTAGTTTATGACGAGTTAATGTTGCTCTAAAAAACTCTTTTCGTGCGGTCATATTTTGCATGCACAATGTTATAAAACTTGTATACAACACATGGATTAAAAAAATGTTTTAATTAATACGTCAATTCAACAAACTCGTGCGCATTTTTGCATGTTCAAATGAACCGATTATCATGATTTCAAAGGTAGATCTCTAGTTGATTTGTTTATGAATTTGTTATCGATCATTTAGATTTTTTAAAACCAGTTAGTCGCTACTTCTATTCGTATATTGATATAAACACAAAACCAGAGATATTTGTTTGACACAATTATTTCGAAAAAATAGCATAAAAAACACGTACACACTCGGAATTTTTTGAAGGGCCGGAGTCGGACGGAAAGTGCTAAGAATTTGGAAATATTTTTTATTCTAAAAATTTTAATTTGATTTTTTTTAGAAGATATTAATACATTGATACATGCGTGTAGCGATATGCAATCATGTTTATGCAATCAAAATAAATGCTAATAATGTGAATAAAATAGCATAATTTACTGTCTGTATGTTTTAAAGCATAAATATAAAGTAATTTTCTAAAAAAGTTTTTTTTATAAACTTTTTTAGAAACTGATTTTTAAAAAAAACTTTTTTAGAAACTGATTTTAAGTTTTTTCCTAAACTTACGATGCAAAAGTTGAAATAATTTTCCGATAGTCGAAATCCGGGGTCGGAAGTTTCTACCCCGGAGTTGGATGTTTTTCATGTTGAACGGCTTAATTAAAATTGAATTAAATTCCGTTTCATGGTAACAAAACATTCTTACAATGAATTACAGAATTGTTTCATACGCAAACATTTCACTAAAATGTACCTAACTCACTAATTACTTATTCAATACATACCTTCACGCTAGCTAAAGCCATATAATTTATGTTCTGATCTATAAAATATCATTCCAATTTTAACGCGATTCGCCATTACTTTGAAATCAATCGGCTTGTTAGAACTGGTCCATAGATGATAAAGTCACGTTTATCAATCTAAATATATTTATTGCTAGAGGTCAACGGAAATAAAGCTATTAACGGGCAAAAACTTCCGCGGAAATATAATAACGTTCAAGCAAAATTACTGCGAAAATTAACGTCGTTAATCGCATAATTACGGTTACATTAATAACTCGAACATTACGAATAAGGCATCGCGATTGATAAAAAGTTAAACTTAATTATTATTACAATGATTGTAAAAAAAAATATATTAATTTAACAATCGAAAAAATTTCAAGTGCTGAATGAAAAACAAACTTGAATTAAACAGTAGGCGATTCATGTCTATCCAGCATGATAATATTCGAGATAACATTCAACCTCTTGTTCAAATTCAGTCGTCTCAACGGCCATGATGTTCAAAATAAATTTCCCGCTAATAATATTTAACAATTATTTTTCTAAAATCCCTAAAACGGTTGGGCATAACGGAAGTTACACTATTTGGCTAATCGGCCTTAAAATGGTCGAAAACGTATGTCAAATAAAGTAAACAAATCCGGACCCCAGAGAACTAATAGAAATAATAACCACAGCATGACATTAAAATAATGACTATCAAATGAAATCCTCTAATAAATAAGGTAAATTATATAACGCTGAAACGAGGACGTAGTTCATAAGCTTAACATCTTTAATGCTTTAGGACTTTGAATATATATCAAGATTTTCAATCAATCAATCAATCATCGTTTAGCGTCCAGAGACCCAGTTCTCCCGAGGTAGAACGTTGTTTTCTTTGCCATCAATTTTTTGCGCCAAATTAGGCGATCAGTTGTATCCATTTCATTTAAATTTAGAGCTTTCATGTCATGTCATGGGACGTGTACCAGGTACTTCAACATCTACAAGAGAAGTTATGGCACTTTCCACTTCGTTTGACATGGCCAAACCACCTCAGACGGTGTTGCCGGCATTCGTCCTTTATATCACCTAAACCAACACGACGCAGGATTTCGGTAGATTTTATGTGGTCCTTCAGACTAATTCGTTGCATCCATCGGAGCATTTTCATATCAGTTCGGTGAAGTTGTTGTTCCAGTTTGGTTGTCATTGGCCATGTTTCTGCACCATATAACAACACCGGACGTATCACAGATTTATAAAGTCTTGATCGTAGTGGTAGCGGGATGTCACGCCGCATCAATATAGGCAAGGAGATGCCATTTATTCCAGTCTGCACGTATGCGTGCTCGAACGGCAGCTTCAGCTGTTTCAGTACAATCCAGAACACTCCCTAGATATTGAAACGATGTGACTTTCTCTACCTTAATGGCTTCAAAAACATTGCTATTTCGAATTTGTTGTTGTGGATTGATGCAAGCAGGACAAATAAAATTGGACACTATAGATAAATTACCAATTATTTTTGAACAACATTTTGGATATATATATATATATATATATATATCGAGTATTTATTACACGCAAATAAATAAAAAATGTGGCTTTTTTCAGAATTTAGTTGAGAAAGAGGTGTAACTTTATTATTTACGTTGATTTATTCGAAAAAATAAATCAATATCACGTCATTTGAAAAGTAAAACGAGTGCCAGACGCCCTCCCTCGTATTAATGAAACAAATAACACTAACAGGGTAAAGATGATAAGTCACATCAAACATTAACATCAAAACAACTTGATGGATAACGTAACATGACAAAAAAATACAGTTTCACAATCTGTTAAATGGCGTGATGTCTAGCAAGTTGAATGCGTGGAGGTAAATGTTGCGTATGATGGTGATCAGCGATATGCGGGCGTGCATCACCGGCCACTGATGCTTCTCATTCACCTGTCGGCGGCATCATCATCGTCTTTATGAATGTCTCATCATAGCCGTCATTAGTTTATCATTAATTATCATTAATTCATCAATATCTCAATAGTCTTCGTAACATCACTACCTAATAGAAATTTTGATCTACCAATTTATAGTTAAATCAGGAGGTAAAATCATTTTGCTATACCGTTATTACATCCCTAAATAATTCAAACGTGATGGCTAACGCATGAAGCGTACGCGCGAGAAACATCGCGAAAGTGGGAATGAATTAATTAGATAAAATATAAACAAATAGATAATGATAGATAACTAATGTTTGAAAAATGGAAAGAATGCTTACGAGCAATATCTTGGTCTTGCTGTAATACTTACTGAAGCAGGCTGATAGACCGCACAGGAATTGACACAGCTGCATTGAAGTTCATTTGTTAATTTGTTTATACATTCCAGAATACATTTGTATACTTATTCATTTTCCAATTAAACAACACAAAATAAAATCATTCGTCCGTTCATTCATTTAATTCATTCACTCATTCATATTTTATTATCTCAAAGTGTTTGATAAGAATCTAGTTTGAATGAAGTTGTGAACACATGCATATATACACACGCACACATGCTTATGTACCTTATGCGTCTGAACACTCATCAGGCGGTTGTCATCAGCGTCATCAGTCATAAGACATCTTCTCAGCACAGATGGATATTCCACAATGTATTGAAACAGCAACGTCCATTCCATCTGTCAGCAACATCAGTACATTACTCGTTTGTTTCTTTATTTACTTATTTATTTGTTTGTTCGTTTATTGTTTATTACATTTTATATTTATTTATTTATTTATTACAATCCAATCATATTTTTTCTGATATTCATATACCATCTTTTCTTCAAACTCATTGAATTAATAATATAACGTTTATATTAATGGAATGATACTTTTTAAAATTTTTTTAACGAGCACAACAAATTAAAAATATTAAAAATGATATTTTAGAGGTAATTAACTCTTACAAGATTATAACGAAAAGTTGACAGAATAATAATTTATAATCAAATAGTTCAAATGAACTAAAATGTGTGGTGATGATATGAGGGGAAGCGGCAAGTAAAATAGAGATTATTAAAGTATAACATAGATGACGGTGCCAAACATTCAAGGCGTTCATGCATTCAACTCACATCGACTTTGAAGAGGGAAACATCGATCTGATCAGGTGCCGGCACATCCGTGCAATCAACTGAAAGCAACATCGTTACACATTATCAGCATTATAACAAGTTTTAAAGAAATAATGAAAAATTAAATATTATAGATTGAACAATGGTAAATACCAAGATCCTTAGTGGCTATTTTGCTCCAGTCACTTAATAGTTACTCAGTTACTAAATTTCATTCTATTTTTTGTATTTTTCGCAATTAAAATCATTAATTTTTAAACAATAGAAACATATTTCTAATAAATTGCCTTCATAAGCTCCAATGTTACTTGTATCTGCTGTACAAAAATTGCATCAACTGTCCCATGCTTTTTTGAAATAACATCAAAGCAGGCAGATCACTTTGCCTTGTACTTATTGTGTTCGTTTCAATTTGTTCTAATATATCTGTGCTTATGATCTCATCTTCTTTCTTTATACAGCCCACCACATTCTCGACCTCTACAATCGTCTCATGACAAAAAAATTTCTTCTTTTTTCTTTCACCCCAGTCCCTCAATAGATAATATAAGCACTATGCATCAGGTACTCTACCTCTGCCTCCACTATCTTATCTACACGTAATGTAACAACTGCCATGTCTACTTCTGTCTCAAACTTTCCAATTTATCAATCTTTCCGATTTCCCAAACGTTCCAAATTCCCAAACTTCTTTGAGGCTCATTAGGAATTTGAATTTCCGGATTTCTCTATTAAACTATTAAAGCAAAAACTTTTCTCGTCTACCAAACTTCAGGAACAAACATTTTCTCAACCAGCATTCATTCAGTAACTTAATCTTATTTTGACTAATTCACACTTCACAGTTTACAGCAGATGTTCTAACAATATCAAAAAAGAAAGAGAGAGCAACGACAACAATAGCAATAATGCGATAGCAACATATAAATTAGTTAAGTTGTACAAACATTCAAGAACATGATGTCTGAACTTGTCAAGAATTGTGGAGATCCTGGCATAATTGTAGAAGACAAACATACCGGAAGACTTGCTGCTGAATGATGAGCCTGTATATGCGTTTATCTGTCAGTGTTAATTATGTACTGTGTTGAAACATCCAGCATTGTATGAATCGGGCGACAATTTGAAATTTATAATTTAATGTTCAAACCACAAAACTTCATCACTAGGGCTGACAGACAAAAATAATGTAAGAAAAAAGTAGTTACCTGATATATATATATATATTATCTTAATTTTTATATAACACACTAACCACATATTAAAATAGACATTACACATAATAATTGTGTATCACCTCTCGTGTGCACCTGACGTCCAGCAGATCAAACTTCAACGTATCCAGGGCGAGGTTCAGTTGAGTTTCCCGTGGGAGCGCGCCTGAACGATGCAGCGTGTGCATTCCAGTTAATCGAAATATATATTTTCAGAAAATTCATTGAATGCTGTAGAATGTAATTAAAGGAACCCAAACGACGAATTACGCCGAGTGAATAGCGAGGAAATCAGACCTAAGTACAAATTCCAGCAATAGAAAATTAATTAAAAAGCGAATAAAGAAGACGTAGAATTATAAAGGTAAATAATGAAAACAATCAACATGTTGTGAACACAAAATTGCTTCTATAATCGATCTATTAAACACATTTAAGCGATGCAGTTTTCTGAGGTTATCTATCGCTACTCAACGAACCGGTATGTTGAAATTCACTTTACACAATGTCAGTCAGTGACTGAGATTAAACGACAATTGAAAATACAGTACATCAAACAAAATGACCAGACGTACTTAGCATAAGAAAAACTGTTAAAGCCTTAAAATTTTAATAAAAAATTTGGAAGTATATAAGTGAATAGATTTGGAATAAGATTTGTGCATAAATAAATATTCAGCAAATTACTTTACTTCCAAGACAATCAGCTAATGAGCTGACTGTTTACATGGAAGTGGTAAGAAGTTGATGGTATCAACCGGTTCAGGGTGGACCACAACATATTAATTTGAGAAAAAAATTAGAGATAAAAATAGGACTTGAATAAAATAATTGATGACAAATCGCCAACATTTAATTCAACAAACGATGACAAATTAATTCAAATTACTTTGTATTTATCTGATAAGAATGAATAAATGTATTTTGAGTATAACAGAAGCAGATGATGATGATGACGGTGGTATTAACGAAGCTGAGACATAAAGAAAAGGAGGAAGCTACATACTTGAACGGTTCAGATATTCTACATGTTGCTCTTTCAAACTAGGAATCAATCGTTAAATATTTTATTAACTTCATTGGTTACATAATCACATAAGTCAACAAAAAAAAATAATGAATAACATCAGGTGATATTATCAAGTAAAACATTTCATATTGATCCAGAATAAATGTACAAGTGAACCACGATGTATTAAAATAGGTTTATTGATTTAAATTCAGCAATTCATAACAAATCACCAATGATTATCTCAACAACAGATGATGGTTAAAGACGCTAGGTCCTGTTTTATACTGACAAAGTTCGAATGTTAAGAAATTCTCGCCTGCCGATCACATACAATGTGTCCAATGCATATTTACATATACCCTGTGTGTTTGTGTGTGTTGTCGTTGATACCTCCAAGAATGTTAAAAAGGAAATAATTGTAAGAAAAACATTTCAAAATTAAGCGTGTAATCAGAAACTGTTTACATGTTTGCAGTGCAATTGTTCGTAAATCCTTTCGCCATTATGTAGACCACTTCCACTCCAATAATATCCGGACCAAATAAATATTCATAAAGATGCTGAAAGGATGCACCCAAATAAGATTGTTTTGTCTTATTAGGTAACAAAAGGTTTGCCGACATTTAATGAACGTTTGCATAAATACAGGAAAAGTTGCAGACATATACACTTCCTAAGAGTATCAAGGAACAAATATTACTTAAATGTGACTTTCATGTACTGTACATAATATAAGATGCATGGCATTTTTAGATTGATTGGAAGAGTGATTTAGGATTAGGATTAGCTTAGGATTCAAGGAACGTTAAAAATTTTTTTTAACAAACAATTTTTTGAAAACACTACATATCGTGAGGTGATTTGAAAGTCATTCTTTCAATTCAACAATCCTATTTCATTAGAGAAAAATTAATATTTCACATGAACGAATTCAAACAAATAAACTTCTGAGCCCAATCTAACAAGAAAACAAAAAGTAAAATTAAGTATTAATTTTATATTTATAAATTTATTCTGAAAATTTTTTATATGTATACCAGCAGAGAAACATTTTAATAATTAAAACCAACAACTAATATGGACAGTGAAAGAATAAATTTTAATAAAGCTGACGGAATAATAAAACAGCTTGTCAACTCCGAATCAGGAAGAGCAGTGGACGGGAGAAGAAAAGAATAGTAATCGTTTGGATAGGCTGGACACGTGTTTCGTCCTTACCAGGGACTAATCAGCAGCTCGAACACCTATCAGAATGGTTATCGCAGTTTCTTATAAAGCCCGCACAAATCATTTCGTTAGCTCGTGGTGTTTTATTTATTATTGAAGATTGTTAGTCTTTTAGTCGTTAGGATTTCAATCGGACAACTCTCACCTCTCCTCAATTGAAGTTCCCATTCTATTGCGTACATTGCCATACAGGAGATGAACCTTGGGTATGATAAAAATTTCCAGACATTAAATGTTTCCACAAATGAAGAACAGTATACTGAAATTAAATAAATGCTTGCACCAATGAGAAACCAGACAAAGCAGTATCGAACCTGATGAATGTGTTTGCATGTTTCATCCACCATTGTCCACAAGACGTCATCCATCTGCTGTTGAAGGTAATGATCGGTGTCGACTATGTGAATGCACTGCAATGTCATGCGAGAGGGGCAGTCTTTTTCATTTGTTTCATCGTGGGACTTCTGGACACCTTTATGTGAATTTGTAATCAAACGTGGAATTTAAAAAAAAATATAACAGACTACCATCTATTTAAATTAGGACAAAGAAATTGTGTTGCCTGAACATAAAAAACCTTGAATATGAAAAAAATTTAGAAACAGCATAAAAAGAAGCCATAGAAAAATAGAGATAAATAAAACGATCTATAAATATAATAAGCAGAAGCACACAGGCACATAAAATTAATGCATACAAGTAACTTAGTCTAAACAGACCTTTCACTTTGTCAGACAGCAACTGAACTTGATGCAAACTTATGGAGGGTAGAGGAGGAACTGAATCAAATGAGTGACTACACTTATAACAAAAAACAAAACAGAAAATTGCACAAAACTTAACACCATTACACCGAAGTGAAAATTTTTCACATTACAGTATAAAAAAATTGCCTTTTTATTTATTTATTGATTTTTTAATTCATTTATTTATTTAACATCAGGAACTTGTTTAACTTTCATGGCAATATCATTGGCATTAAATTATATGACTAGAAGAGCAAAAATTAAATAAATGAAGTTGGAAAAATATTGAAGTTAATTGAAGGAATATTCATAATATTACTTGTTAAGCTTACAACATTGGAAGAATATCGATGTGACATATTTGAACTGTCAATATAATCCTTCAAATTTATTTTTAGGCATCCATCATCCAAAAGTTCTGAAAACTGGTTTCTTTTCAGAACATCCATAATATCGCCTGCATAGTCACAAATTCTTTCAGAATTGGAAACATCTATCTTCGAATCATTGGAGTCACAACCGGAAAAGGAATTTTTCAAGTTCCTCAAATGATCATTATTTGGGAAACTTCCAGTTGTGAAGACATCGAAGCTGTTGCATAAATATTATGTTCAACAACTTGGGCTTCAAAAAACCATTTAAAAAAACTGAAAAAATGTTGAGCAATTAAAAAATGTAAACTTGTAAGAAAACATTTTAACTCTGTCACTTGATTTAATTATGAAAAAAATTAATAAAAATAATAATTGTGAATTTATAAAATTGTTAAAATTATCCGAAAATTAATTAACCCATTATATTCTAATAATTTTACAATGAAATTTTTGACGACAAGGTGTCTTAGTGCCTTCAAATCAAAATGCTGACTGACGTGGAGGGAGGAGTTGACAATGACGGAGCAGTTTCTCTTTTGTTGCACCTCTAACTCATCATACTCTTCAACTGGAGGCGCTGAAAATAAAACTCTGAAAACTTCACCCTTTTTCAATGTTATGTGATATTTGTCGTTGATCCTCTTTACGGATTCAACAAAGTTGCTCTAGATTTGTAAAAACATGAACAAGGAAAAGATTAATCATTATTTCATGAAACAATCAATGAAAATTTGTTATACTTGGCTGCAAAAAGACCAAATCAATAAAGTTAAAAATATTTTATTATTGATCAGCAAAGAATGTTGTTAGAAGAGATTTTATTTCTAAAAAACTGATAAACAAATTTTTCAATTTCTATAAAAAATTTCGGTAGAATAAAAAATTTAACTTGGTTTTGTCAAAAATATGAATCTATCTAATGTATTTATAATTGGGAAATGACAAAACATTACACATTACTTGTGTTCCATCTGATCTCTACACCAATTTAAAAATTAGTTTTTAATAAAACCAAAATGTAGATATGTTTTTATAAAAAATAAGTTAATGTTACATTTGCATGAATATAAATAAGTCAGCAATTGTTTAAAATTTGAATTATCTATTACTATCGTTCACTTTTATTTCATTTTTTAAATGCTTAATTTTGTTCCAACAATTTATTTTAATCATTATATTTAATTTTTTCATATCTTTTTTTGACTATTCATATTTTTCTTGTTATTTTAATTAATACATTTAATCATTGGTTATTATTCTATTTCACTTTTTAAATTAACTTATAAATATTTTTAAAGCGTCATCAACTAATTCTAATTGTTATGCAAGCTTTTTTTACTTCGTTTTTCTCAATTTTCTGGTCATTTTTAATTGGCAATTGCCTGTTTTTTTGCATCTTTTCCAATAGTTTTCATCACTAGTGCTTTACGTGGAGTTTAAGGGGAAGGATTTATGATTTAAAGAATTTTTGTCTTTTTCAATTTCTTTTTATGCAACATATTTTGTATGTGAATAACAATAAATTGTTGTTTTTTTCTATAATGTTGACAATACAGTAGCCCTATCACTATCAGAAATTCAACAAAATACTCTAAATAATTAATTAATTAATTTAACAAACACAGAGTCATAAAAAAAATTTAAACGTATATAACAATAATTAATAATGACAATGATATATACTCCGACCCATAACAGATGGAGACTGTAAAATAAACGAGGATTGAATGATGACAATGATTTAGTGATAGCAATGAAATTGGTGATAATAAAAAATATAGGGATGCTAGTGAAGATCCTCTAAATAAAAATAAATCTAACTAAAAATATAAAGTAAATCTAAACTAAATATATATCATGTCAATTGACAACCGTGGCTCAGAAGTTTAATAAGTTTTTAATTTTTAAATGGGAAAAACATGTAAGCAGCTCCGCGCTGCATCATTTCAATGCTTTGTTAAAATTATAAAAAATAAAAAATGCATGGTGATGAAGAGTAGAAGGCAGTCACATTAGCTTTAGCATTACTTTTTTTTTAAATTTAAATTTAATTTTTTTCAAGTAATTAAAATTAAATTATGGAAAATTTAATTCACATACCTCAACATTGTTTACGATTTCACTATTGTAAGCTATGTAATCGGTGACAAATACTTCAGACGACGTGCATTTAACTAACTTTACGTTGCCGAGAAAACTTTTTTTTAAAGAAATCTCTATATAATCCTTTATCTCCCTTCTGTAATTTAATAGATCCATTGTTTATTCAAAGAACTATCAAATTCCACCGACATTATAATCTGTCAAATCCCATAATGCGAATCTGGTGTTATTAATTAGTTTCATCTAAATTTACAAGTTCCGTAATTTTGTAAGTTCAATAATAATTTTCACTTGTTTTTAAATTTTATCTAATTCTTATTTTTTAATTTTATGAATTTGCATACTTCAGCATCAAATTATCAAATTATAAAAAAAACTTCAAAACTTTTTGCCTGGTGTAATGTTATGTCGTAAAGGTGACCATAAGGTGACAGAGTAATCCTTTTATGTTTGAATTAATAAGTTTTACTACATTTATATTGTTTATTACTCTTCTATCATCTTACCTGATTCTAAAACTCTTGATGCTTCTCATAAGTTTCGTAGTCTTGGCTTTATCTTAGTTTCAAGCAGATTAATAGGGTCGCTAAAAGCCCTTACCTTCATCTGCGTAGAATAAAAAAAAACTTTTGCTTCATCTTGACGATCATACTCTTCTTCTATTTGTTTCTTCATTAGTTTTATCTAGGATTAATGGAAAACATTCTACTATGGTCTTCCTGATTCTACAATCAATCCTTTAAGTAAAACTTAAATCTAGATTTTTCATTGTTTTTGATTGTTTCCTTTTCAAAGATGGAACACATTTTGTAGTTCAGAAAGTAGGCTATATTTAAAAAACACGACTAAATGAGCTAACAATGAACCCACTTTTTTACACTTTACAAATATTTTTGTAAGATTTTGATCACAAGTATTATTTGAAAAATCATTGCATTTATGTGCTTTAAATATTCATTAATATTTACAAATTTAGTTAAATTTAAAATAAAGATTTATTAAAAACTGACAATTTTTTTAAATCAAAAATATTGTTTAAAAATTGCTACATTGGTTACGATTATTTTTATTTAGAGTTAGGATTGAAAATGTCACGATTTGAGGCACAAAAATAACAGTTTGGAAAAACATAAATTGAACAAGAACTTCAAACTATTTACTACTTTTGTTGCTTTCTGTTGCTTTTGATACCTAATAAATAATTATATAATTTAAATAATATGAATAAATTATGGCTAATTTTTAAAAACTAAAATAATCAGTTCGAAAATTCAGTAAATTTGTCCTATTGTTTTTATTTTTGAATAATGGATAAATTCGTTTAAAAACTTCCAAAAAAGGTTCTTGTAAATGTAAAAGAATCCTCTGCACTGTTTATGAAAAATGTGATATTATAATTGCAGCAAATATAACTTCTGCTGAAAAAAGATTAGGTGATAAAATTAAAAATGACATTCCCAAAAAATCAGCAAAGCAAACCGTTGGAAGACAACTTCAGAATTCATGACTAGAGTCTATGACTGACAATAACAACGCGACAACGTATCTTTTCTCATATATCTCCATATCTTGTTCTCTTGCACTGGCTACCTATAAAATATAGAATAATTTTTAAAATTTGCACGTTCATGTATAAGTCTCAATCTAAATTATTTCCTAAGTACTTATCAGATATATTAATTGAACCTAAACGCCCCGGTTTACGATCGTCTTCTTCTTCTCGCTTTTTCTTAACTCGTGTTAAACACTCTTTTGCCAAATCTGCTTTTGCTTTTTCTGGTCCTTTTCTCTGGAACTCTCTGCCTACTTCTCTAACTATTTCTCCATCGCTTGCGAAGTTCAGAGAGGATCTCAAGACCCATCTGTTTTCAAAATTCATTGAGGAGCGCTGTTGAACATCGCGGAAATAGCGCTTTATAAGCTAATTGATTGATTGATTGATTGATTGATTGACAAGATCTTTTGCAAAATATGCAAGGAATGTAAGCTAAATTTGTTTAAATTTAGTACAAAGCGTGACATGCTTTTTATAGATGGGGCTTTTCAAATTGGAAACACGCTTTAGAGAAATTCCAAACCCATGATAAATTTTGCAGCCAGCGCGAAGCAGTCATGAAAATGTCTCACCTCCGCTGTTCTTTATTCAAAATTTTGAAATATGTTTTACTAAGGTTCAATTTTGATATCAGAGATTGCCGAGGACAATGTTATGACTGAACATCTAACGTTTCTAGAACTCATTATGGGGTACAGGTCAAAGCCTTAGAAATAACTTTGTCTGAAATATTTGTCTATTGCAACCACCACAATATTAGTTTGGCATTTCAAGATGCAATTTTTATGATGGTAGAGTGCAGAGGTGCAATCCATAACGCTTTTTAAATAATCTCCTAAACGTTTAGCTTGTTTTTTTCTTTTTTAAACAAAGTAATGCTACAATTACATCATTGCGCCCATTATGTCCAACAAGGTGGACTATGATTATATGTAGCATCAAGAGCGCGTTAAACAACTGGACATTTTTGCTAAACTTTTTTGAAAATCAAAGTTTTGTCAGAAATAAATATGGCGCCAAATGTGCTGGTTTTCTCACAAAAATGACTTTCATAATTATTTTGTGTTGCGCTGTTTGGTTCTCATATATGAATTGGAAACTACGACGAAAGCTTTGCAATGTCCAACACTGTCTATGTCAAAAGTACGGAAACTGGTAGAAAGTCTAATGTTATCGCTTCAACTGAACCAATCCGATGATAACTTTTCGTTTTTTTGGTTAAATATCACTAATGATGCAAAAATATTAAATATTGAAGATCCAAGTTTGCCACGGCAGCGAAATCGTCCGAAGCGTTTTACTGAAAGTAACTCAAACGTTCATGTATTTGACACTTCGCAATTATTAAAAAAAATGATTTAGAGATTGAAGATGCAGCTATTTCTTCACTTGACGCTAGATTCAATTCTGATGGTTTCAAAAAACTTGCCAATTTGGAATTAAAAATTTTACATGCAGCAACATCTGACAGCATTCACTTAAATTATATTGCTGAATTATATCTAAAGGTGTCAAAAGATAGATTACATTTACATTTCAACATGTTTTGCGATATTTGTAAGCAACGAAATTTATCTATTACCCCAGTCACAGACATTGTCAACGTTTTAAAAGATAAAAACTGACACGGTTTGAATGAAATGCTAAAAAAAACTTTCTCGACTTATTAGAATATTTCTTACAATTCCTATGACAACATGCAGCTCAGAAGGATCGTTTCCCGTCCTTCCGGTACGTTCAACAATCAGTCAGCTAGGATTAAACCTTTTGTTCATACTACATTGCTATAAAGAACGCGCCCACAATCTTTCAATTGAGGACATAGAATTTACTTCTCGGAATGATTTGCGCAGAAAATTATTTGCGACATGACCATGGATATAGATGACCATGACCATGGATTATATATATCCATGAACATGACTGTATTTAAACTAGATTTTTATGAAGAATATTATTGAAAAATTTGTGATCGATGATATCAAACAGTTTTAAACTCTTCTCGCTGCGCTAGTTGGTGATGTTGATAGTGGTAATCAAAAAGATTGGGTTAAAAAGTTCAATAAACTACCCAGTAATGCACAGTACCACATCGTAAAAATGCTGCAAGATGAGTTCAAATCGAAGTTACGATCGGAATGTTCAGTAAGTTGCCAACCCTATGATAGCAGTTTTTGCAGCGGGGAGATCATAAACGAAGACACTTACCTGAAAACAATTGCAGAAAACCGCAGATATATACTCCTTATGCTCAAGGAAATGTTTCTAAATTCTGAATGTCTGATATGTTTGAAGTCGTTTATGGAAGAAAAATTTTCATGAACAAATATTCCTCAAATTTATCAAATTTTACATATTTGTAGTTTATTAACAAATATTTATTCATTTTTTAAACATTTTATTTATTTTGGCTTTTCAAGTTTAAGAATATTTTCATGCCTTAAGATTTAATAGTGAATCCATGAAAATATAATATTTATTTATTTTATTTATTTATTCTGCAAATAAGGCCATATTTTGATTCCGAATGAATCATCATCAGTGCTCCTTGCTGTATATATAGGGAAATATTGACTTTATATATATATATATATATATATATATATGTGTGTGTGTGTGTGTGTGTGTGTGTGTGTGTGTGTGTGTGTGTGTGTGTGTGTGTGTTGGTAATAGACCATAATTTTTACAATATTCTATAAATTCTACCAAATGTTTGGCGTTAATATGTTTGTAGTTCGTTTTTTCAATTTTTCTCACTAAAGTTTTTTGGTGAACGTTTGGTTTATTAAAATTCAAAATAAACTTATTTTCCGATTTCATGCTGCAAATAAGGCCATATTTCGATTCCGAATGAATCATCATCAGTGCTTTCTGCTGTTTATATAGGAAAATATTGACTTTGTCAAAATGGAGATTAACTTTGTCAAAATGAACTTAGATATATATATATATTTAAGTTATTAAATTTTTTTAGTTTTTTATAATCAACGCAGAGTTGCTTATTATGTTATTCGATATAAATAATCGTAATTAAACTTTCATGCTACAAAGGCTGTACTATCCATATCCCATGACACACAAACACATTATGATTATGTATATAATATATATATGTATACTCAAGCGTACATCATACGCATATAATGGTCTTTTGAAGTTTTAAAAAACAGTATCTGAACTATTCTTTTTCCAATAACCTGGCTCCGCCATACCCAGAAATACATTATCGCATTTTTTGTCCAGAAAAGAGAATAGTTCAATAATAAAAAATTGTTTCAACAACTATTTATTCAATAATGATGAAGAAAAAACAATCCATTTATTAGTTAATCGATAAAAATAAAAGTTAACAAAATGTTTCATGAAATGCATTATATTATATTTTTCTCATCAAAATCAATTACAAAATCCACACAAGCTTCTGTCACTATCTTCTCATCAACATATTCCAACTCATCATCCAGTAACAAATGTAGTGGCTGTCCTGGTCTTGTAGTATAAGTACTCCTGCATTACTGCACTCAGCGCTATGGCAGTGACTAAAGCCGTAATGCATTTCAAGTTTTTTTTCTGCATGTACAATGCAGAGATGAACACAGTTGGGTGCCTTTGCAGTTGCAACATATAATTTTCATAGGTTCAGTAGGTGCTGGCTTCTGTCGCATCTGGACAGGGATCAAGTGACCATTTTGAACATGTCAGCCCCAGTTAGTCAGTTTCAAGGCCTTTTGACCTAAAGTGCACCAGGTCACTGTCGGCAAATGTCTTTGAGCATGCTGCAAAACGCATATCTTTCAAGTTGTTTTCTTTTTTCACTCCATACGTCGCAACCACTAATGCTGTGCCTACCATGCATACATTCTTTTTTGTTGACTCAAGACTTTGCAGAGTTACAACATGTTTTGTCATCTGTTTGTTTGCGCAAATTTTCTCAAACAACTTGCCTTTGCGATGCATAATTATGGCAGATGTTGTGACACATCCGCCAAAAGCGTGCAAAGCCAAAATCTGCGTACAACTATTGACTAAATTAAAAAAAATTACATATGAACATTTCTTTTGCGCACTTCCTGTTTCAGTAAAACAGGAAGACTGGACAATTCTAGTTTAAAATTTCTACTGGCAACAATGGTTCAAGATGTGCAAGAGTGCGAGATCAATAAGGGTCAAGTTTAGATATGTTGGAAACTTCATATACACTTTAGACGCATGAGGTCTAATTTGCAATTTTATTAGGGCATTCTGCAAGTTGTTTATCGTTAGTTTTATTTTATCAAATTTAATAATTTGAAGGAATTAAGACCATGAAGCTACCAAAGTTACCGAGATATATTTGGGGCCTAAGTGCCGTGGGTACCGCGGTAGGCTTCTATGTACTCTTAAAGTGCGGACATCAAGTTTTTTTATTTTAAGATTTTAATTTAATTTAATATTATTTATTTATAACTTTATGTTTATTTAATTATATTTATAATAATTTATAATTACAACTGGTTTATCTTTATTAATATTTTAATTTAATAATTTTTATTTCAAATTCTTGTTACAAACAAATGAAATGGTTTCAATCATATTTCATAAAAATTCTTTACTCAAGGAAACTTTTGCTGTTTTGGTGTTCTCTGTTATTAATAAATGTTATTTAAGAAAAATATTAATTATTCTTTTTGTTACAAACAGATCAATTTTTCAAATTGTACTTGTTTTTATGTTATTAAGTAAAAAGTTGTCAAAACTGAGATTTTTTTATGAAGTTTTGTTGGCTTCCACTTTTTATTACAATAAAACCTTACACCATTTGACCAATCCACGTTATGTTAATAATGTATATATATATATATATATATATATATATATATATATATATATATATATAAGACGCTAACAATGTAAAAGTTGATTGAATGTTTCACTTCAATCAAATCATATCATGAAAAGTTTGTCTGAAAAAATATATATATATATATATATATATATATATATATATATGTATTTTATTAACATTTGAATAATATACAATTTTCCAATTCATTCTTGAATGTATAGAACCTATCTTGATTTTTCAATCATCTTCAGCACCTATTGCAGTTTATCTAGAGAATTTTGTATAACTCAGTACTGCTGCAGTTCATACAGAGAATTTATATAAATATATATAAATAGATATACTGTTATGACTTATTTAGCATTAAAGATTAAATGTTCTTTCCAATGGTATAAGACTTGTCTTATATTTATATTTTTAGAAAGTACTTATACAATGTCATATATTATAACTTATAAAATACAATACTTATTAGTCATTTTGGTTTTTATTTATTTGATTTTTTTCTGCCCTTTTGTGAATTCATTGTTATTTTCACTCACTTTCTTGAAATATTGCTCTTAAAATGTTTTAAAGTTGCCACCTTATAAATATAATTGATAGTAACAGTTAAACTTAGAGGTATTTCCATGATAGAACCACGTATGTATTAGACTTGAATAAAATTGTCATTGATCACTAACAAATAACCCAAGCATATGTTAATTGTTAAAAATAACTTGCAATTTAATATGTTTTCAAATCAAAAAGGTTTACTGATAAGTGATAAGTTGAACCAATTTTAGGGATACTTCAGGAGGCTACAAATATGAAGGGCATGAGAAGTTGGTTGGAAAAACGGTTGTAATAACAGGTGCAACTTCAGGAATTGGAAAATCTACAGCTGAGGACCTTGCAATTAGAGGTCGGATCAGTTTATTATTATGTATTTGATAAAGCTAATTAAAACATAAGTAGATATATAAGCAAGCTTTGTTTTTTTCTATCAATTGAATGGATTGTTCTAACACACGAACTGAGGTTTTAATATTTTTTTTTATGTAGGAGGGCGCATCATAATGGCTTGCAGAGATATGGAGAAATGTGCTAGAGTCAGTCAGGAATTAATTGCATCAACATCCAATGTTAACATTTACTGCAGAAAATTGGATTTGGCATCATTGCAGTCAATACGAGAATTTGTTCAAAGCTTTGAAAATTGTATGTAATAATTGTATTTTTCTTTTTTACTATCAACAATTTTCATAATTACTTATGCAGCAGAAAGCCGACTTGACATATTAATTAATAATGCTGGTGTTTTGTGTAAAGATAGGAGTGTCACTTCTGATGGTTTTGAATTGACACTTGGGGTCAATTTTTTAGGTAATTGAATTTAGTTTTAAACAAACTTTTTGTTTATTAAAACTGATGATAAATTGTTCAAACAAAATTTCACAGGACGATTTCTGTTGACTAATTTGCTTTTGAACAAAATGATAAATAATCCAGAACCCAGTCGGATAGTTAATTTGCTTTGCTTTGGTTACAAAGATGCCAGAATTGATTTTGATGACTTTAATTCTGAATTAAATTTTTCTGCAAAGAATGCTAGTAAAATAGCAACATATGCAAATGTACTTTTTACAGATTCTTTAGCCAAAAAACTAAAAGGTTACTAAAAATTGTTTTGATGATGTGAAATTTTTTAAAAGATATTTATTGAACCAATCTTTTGAATTGTTTTATCTTTAATAATTTTTAACTTAATATTATAAATACACCAGTCGAATTTGAATGCATTCCATGCTGTTTATATCTAGCTGAAATATATATTTTCTAGTGATGTTTATCTGGTAAACTCTGTTGAATCTCCCTTTCTCCTTGTTCCACACCCTCTGTTCCCAGCTTGGTGGCAAGGGGTATACTTTAATGAAAAGTAGCATAATTCTCATTATTATATTGCACCAATACAAAAGTTGACTTGCATTTATGTTGATCAGTTTTTTAATTCATTCTTATTTATAGGAAGTTCTGTTAATGTGTTTGCTGTAAATCCGGGACTTGCGGAAACAAGCTTAAGGCGGGAGTTTGGAAGTCACAAGTCTTATATATCGGGGTTCCTGTTAAAACCATTATTTGTTACGTTATTCAAAAGTGCCAGACAAGCAACCCAGACTGTAATATATTGTTCCCTTGACTCGTCATTAGGTGCACAGTCTTCCGGAAAGCTCTTCTGGTAAGTTTTCACAATTATTTTTAACACTGTTACCTCAATTTATATTGAATTTTTGGTTTCATTTATTAACTTTAAATGGCTTATAATTTCATTTAGTGATTGCGAAGAGGAATTTATAGGTTCTAAACGTTATAACGAAAAAATTTCAAATCGACTTTGGGCTACTGCCGAAGTTTGGACTCAATTGAAGAGTATAAACATGTTTAACACAAACAGTGACACAAATTTAAATAAAACATAACAGCTTTCAAAGTAGTGCTTTGTGTTTAAATTAAAAAAAAATATTAAAATCCAACTTATTATTAATTTGTTTTTACGTCTCTGTGTTGGATTTATTTTGATGGACTCAGGACTATAATAAAGTAATGAAACCGATGATACTCGTATGCACTGTAATATTAAGTAAATATTGAATTAAAAAACATTTCTGTAAAAGTGCAATTTATAAACCAAAAAATGCCAATTGTTACACGTTTATAATGAGTGCTTTGGCAAACAAAGACGACAACAAAGTTGGACTTGACTTAACAAACACTTTTTTAATTCCTGCCAAAGATTTTTATGCTGCCTCTGGTTTTGATTTATTGATCCTTTCTGTTTTTTGAAGCGGCATGCTGGCCTAGATTTTAAGATCACCTGGTCTTGTTCCGCAATATATGCATTGACCAAGTTCGAATATGACAAAAAGATGCCCGCCTGTCACTAGTGGCGGATCTAGACAAATTTGACAGAGGGGCCTAGATTTCAAAAATTATTTGACGATCGGTGGCGGAATTTTTGAAAAAGTTGACGACTGTTCAATTTCATACAATAAAAGTTTATGACCGTGGGGGTGATTTTCGATAATTTTTCAGTGTTCACGGGGAGGCCAACTTTTTGGCCAACTCAATGTCAATTTTTTTTTCACTTCAAAAAATTACTTTTCACGTTAAAACAACGCTAACCATAACATTCACAACAGGGGGCCGGTGTTCCCCCGGGCCCCATCCCATGATTATCCAAGCTTACCCGTGCCAATGTTTTTTTTATTTCCATTCATTGCATTGCTTTAGTAAAGTACTATGCATTGTACTGCATTAATCGTTCGCACCTCTGAGAGCTTTTCAAACAAACTAATAATTATAATAATACATGGTACTATTAACAACTAAAAAAAATGTCATATAGAAATTAGGTCTTAAAAGGGAGGGGTCTTAAATGGGAGAAAGCATATTTACAACCAAATAAAAAAAAGGTGCTCAAGATGTATACATTATTTTTTATTAGTAAGTGTACACTGCATTGTATTATATTCATACAATATATAAATTTAGAAAAACTATGTTGTATTGATAAACTCAAAAATTTAATTTATTTTGTGAGGAAATGAAGTGGAGATTGAACAACTGATGACTTTTTTCTAACATGTTTTGTTTGAATTTGACCATGAAAATTTTCCAAAAGTTCTGGAATGCCTTGAAATTCACGAGACAGTGCAAAATGAATCAATTGTTGAGTAGTTTTTGCAGCAGCAGTATAAGAAATCACTGGTTCAATTATTTCATCATTTCCATCTTTTTGTGGGTAATGGCCTAGTGGTTAAGGTCGCCTGCCGCTGTTTCGCAGTAACCGGGTTCGTATATGACAAAAAGATTCTCGCCTATCACATGCTTCCTGTGTGATGCATCGTTTAGCATGTATTTATATACGATGTTTGTGGCGTGTTGTTGAATCCTCTGAACTTTGGAAGAGTGTAATTGACCTTTAACCTTTTGTGGATCTTTTTTCAGGCTGAATATCCAAGTTATCTTCCTCTGTTTCAGCACAGGTTGGGACTTTGTCATCTACTGCAGCAAACTCTTCTAATGTCATGCCATTGAGGAGCTTGACTTCATTTGCGGCGTCTCTTTTTCTACTTCAATTTGTGCTACATCATCCGAAAATTATTGTTTACATATTCAATATTTTTTGCTTAGGAAGTTGAAATGGGGTTTAAAGAAAAATAAACGTTTCCCAATTACATTTGAAAACAAAAACTAAAAAAATTAAAACAAACATAAAACCAGAAAATGATTACCTTCGATGACATCAGTTGTCGATATCCTGAATCCACATTTCAAAAAACACTTGGAAAATTTTGCAAAAACCGTAAGTTTTACGTTTTAATGATAATTTTTGTGTTTTTTAAGGTCGTTGGTTGGGATTTGGAGGAGGTCGTAGATCGGGAGTGACGCTTAATTTGAAAACAATCCGTCAGAAACGGAACGGTCGGGAATGATAAAGAGTCGTAAATGAGGAGGTCGTTCGGGAGGAGTATTACTGTAATAATAACCACCACTGCCTATCTTACGCTTCGTGTGTGACTCACATACGCTGTTTGTGTGTTGTTGATTCCTCTGAGCCAAGGAAGAGTGTAGTAGATCTTGTATCCGTTTGAAACTTAAAATGATTAACGATGTACCGTTAGAAAAATCGAAAAACCATCTAACACTGAACATGTGATTTTATCAATAATATAAAAGTATATATATATATATATATATATATATATATATATATATATATATATATATATGGGTTCAGACTGTCGTATGTACAGTTATTAAAAAATATCACCGCATTTTCCGCATTGTTGCGCAATACGGAAAATAAAAATATATATACCTACATATATTGGATTAAGACTGTCAGAAAGGCAGTTATTGATAATAATCACAGCATATTCGGCGTTAGTTAACTTCCAATTTAACTTTTCGATTTTTCAAGCTTTTTTTCGGTATTCCTATACCATCTTCGGTGTTCAAATTGATATGTTGTGTTTGTGTCCAGATGCATGGTGAGTCTTCTTGATAACTTGGTCGTCATCATACCAATCTATTCAAAATTATGGTGCCCACATTCACCAATATTACATTTGAACAAATATATCAGATGGATATGATCCATTATCGATTCTTGTTTACTAGTGCAGTTGTTTTTCACCGAAAGAGATGACGTTCTTTGGTTTGGGTAGTATATTCGTAGTTTAATACTATCGCTTTTGTTGGTTGCTTGGACGTTATCTTTTATGATTCTTTTCATGATTTTTTCCTCCTGTTCGAAAGCAGTGGCGGATTAACCTTTTTGCCGCCTAGAGGCACACGTGGTTTGCCGCCCCAATTTTAAATTTTATAATGAATTTAGAAATTAAATTCATATAAACGCAATATTTTTAAAACATTTTTATTAAGTACATTCTTTAATAATATTCATGTAACGTAATATTATCAATTTTAAAAAATAAATTTTCTTTCATTGCAGTTTATAATAGTTATTTCAAAACTTTACGACGTGCCTTCCTGCGCGCTAATTCATCAATAACGAAATTAATGTCTAAATCTTGCAAAATTGTTTTTTCGATGCATTGAATTGCAAGATAATTTAACCTTTCTTCGGACATTGTCGAACGCAAATAGTTTTTAACGCGCTTTAAACAAGAAAAAGATCGCTCGGCCGAGCAGTTTGTAGCAGGAGTACAAGTGTACATCCGAAGTGCAATGTCTACATTTGAATATACACATTGCAAGTCGTTCAATCTTATCCATTTACACAAATCAATTGGAGTGTGTGGAACTGCACTTCGGTCTAAGGTAGCCAAATGAGACTTTAAATGCAACAGTTCAATATTTAAGGTGTCGTCTAGATCGTTTGGAAATAAAGATCTTAATCCATCCGCTGCAATCTCTAACTCACCCATTGACAATGTTTTGAACTGTACTATTGCTTTGAAGTTTTCATTAATTTCTACATAAGCGTTTCGTCTCTTGTTCATTTCAGAATTTAAGTTATCCACAATTACCAAAAATATGTTTACACGAAAATTTTCTCGAGTGGTAAATTCTGTTTTATTGTCAACTGATTCGTCGTAATGCCGTTTCCGTTTTCTTAATGGCGGTACCTTGTAGTCATCAACTAAAGACAGGACTTTTCCTTTTTTTCATAATCCTCAAATCTTTCTCTGAGTGATTCGAACAACGTTAAAAGTGAGTCGTAATTTTCGATTACAGTCGATAGATCAATGTCTACTTTTTGAAGTTTGACGTTAGACTTGTTCAGACATTCTAAAACAAAACCCCCACAATTCTACCATAATTCCGGTTTCAAGAAAACTCAAATTAGAAATAATTCCTCTAGCCTCAGCACGAGTTTCTGGTTTGAATCTTTTTCTAAAAATTGTAGTGATTCAATAACCTGATTTCATCCATATTTCAATGCTCTAACTGCGTCGTCGCGAGCAGACCACCGGGTAGTGGACTTATCAAATTAAGTAAAACTGTGTGTGGTTTTGGACAACTTCCCACCTGGCAGTAGAAGCACTGAAAAAGTTGTAAACATGTTGGATCAACCAAAAAAAATTGCAAGCTTCTGCACAGGATTCAGCTGCATTTGTGCCAACAAGGTTAAGTGAGTGAGCTGAGCATGGTATAAATGCAACTTGATGATTGACTTCCTTGATTTGCGCCTGAAGTCCTGAATACTTGCCAGCTATGTTTGAAGTGTTGTCGTAAGATTGTCCGCGACAGTTTTGAAAATCCAGGTTGTGTGATTGTAAAAAACAAATTACAGCGTTAAATATTTCTTGCGATTTGTGGTCAGTGTTTGGTAGAAACGCTGAAAACGCTTCGTAAGGCGTTCCGCTTTTTTGAACATATCTGATTACAACGGAAAGTTGATTAACTTTTGCTATGTCAGGCGTTGAATCAACAATTATTAAAAAATATTTGCTAATTTTGATTTGGTAGACGAGTTCGTCTTGTACAGCATTTGTTAATATTGCTACGAACTCTTCTACAGTTGTTGATGACAGATAAGATGTATTACCTTTGCCACGTTTGCCAAATCTTTCTATATGATGCGCCATAAAAGAATCAAATTTAGCAATAAGTTCAAGCAGCATCATGTAGTTCCCACTTTCAGAATTTCCAAATTTTTCAACGTGTCCACGCAAAGGTAGTCCTCTTGAAACCAATGTCTTTACAATTTCTACCACGCGAACAAGAGTCGATTTCCATTAATTTATCTCAGTTTCCAATTGATCATTTAACTGCGAGTTTATTTGACCTATAGCACGACCTCTCGTTTTGCAGGCATGTACGCAGTCTCTATGAGATAATGAATTTTCATGTTCCTTCAGCGCATTATAAGCATTCTTCCAATCATTAAAACCTTCTGATGTTAATTTTGTTTGTACATTCGATTTCTTTAAAAACAAAACACAAATTTCACAAAATACAGCTCCAGTGCTTTCTGAATAAACAAGCCATTCTCGCGACATTTTTTCTCCGTTAATAAGAGTATAGTCAAACATACTTTGTGTGAGGCTGCGTATTTTGTCATCACTGTACTTCTTTTTGGATTTACTAAAGTCCATATTTTCATTTCGCTTGAAGCCATATTTGGCCACAAAATCGCGCATCTCATTATTTACTTGCCATAAAGCAGGGTCATCAAATAAACGGAAACATTGCTCCACATTTTCTGAGAGACATTCATCAGACAATTTTGTTAATATCTCCATGGAGGCCCTGTACAAGAAAGATATTTATTTAGGTGAAGTAATTTAACCAAAATGTTTCATTAATTCTTATTTAGATTTTTAAAAAAGACAAACAAACCCATCATCATCTGAGACATTTGATTTATCATTTGTCTCTGTCTTAGATTCTTCAACCGCGAATGATCTCTCTTTGTTACATGCTAAACTGGTCCTATAGATAGACAGCAATATTATTTGTATGCGAAATTTTAGCCAAATCAATTTTTAAAAACAATATTTTCAAAGAAATGTCTTGCACTAATGAAAAACACATCGACTAACTTATCTTCAGTATCATTTCGTTCTTCCAATTGATCTCCACTTCCACTGACCGCCGACTGAAAAAACTTGTTGATTTTCTTCGTTCTATCCAAGTCCGTATTGTTTTTCAATTCTTTGTCTTTTCGCAATTTTGCATATTGACTCCCACTTAATCTTTTTTTACCATCGCTCATTTTAGCTCTTTTTATGAAACTACAAATATGGCCTTAACACGACAAGACAAGAAGGCGAATTTAAAAAAGGGTCTATCTAATTCAATGATCGAACCACATAATTAAAATTACATATATTGGAAAGAAAATATTATCGCCCACATATACTACGTACCTTTACTTTACTTATAAGTTGTACCTTTATCTTTAGATTAATAATTAACGTTTAGTAATCAAATAAATCATAATACAAGCTCATCAAACTCATTAACAAAAACTTTTGTAAAATAGTAAAGTAACTTTTTTTGATCGCTAGAAATTATTTAGTTTTACGTTTTTCATTGTTGCCGTTATGTTTGAGTTTGTTGGGTCATTATTAGTGAATAGTTAACATAATTAACTGCGTTCAAATTTTTGTAGCTGTGTACACAGTTATTGTGAAAAACGTGACCATGGAAAAAAAAGGTAATTGTACATATTGTTACAATTTAGCGCCACTTGTAGTCATCTCGGCTATATGTTCTGATACATGTATTTTAAATATATTATTAGAACGAACGGCAACTGTTAATCGATTTTTTAAAGTTTTAAATTATATAAACTTGAACACCATAATTTTTGAGTAAAGTATCAATTTCAATAATTATTTTTATTCAACTTGAACATTTTTAAATAGCTAGTTTTCAAAATTTGCCGCCCCCCAAAATTTGCCGCCCCAGGCCGGTGCCTGTTGTGCCACTGTTCGAAAGCGGTTGACATGTTTTTCTTATAATATATTACTATGTTATTTTTGTTACTATTGTTGGCTGCATTGTTGTTGTTGCTGATTTTTTGTTTTTTGCTTTCTATTATTTTCTGGACCGTGGAATTTTTATATCCATTATTAATGAGTAGTTTAGTGATTCTATCTAGTTCTGTTCTCCTGCTTTCTATATCAGAAGAGTGAGTGTTGGCTCGGTTTACAAAGGCAAAAATCTCTGGACATGTTTGACAATGATCATTATTGCTATTGCCTTTGTTTGTTGCTTTGGTGTATACTGAGGTTTTAAATTCATTTTGCACATTTTGTATTAGTACGTCTAGGAATGGTAGTTTATTGTCTATTGATTTTTCCATTGTAAACTTTCATTTTGACGAGTTTAGTCGTTGTAGAAGTTTTGCTATTTGATCATCATCTTCATATGTAACAAATATATCGTCAACATATCGGCAATATATATTAGGTTTTAGATCTGGTTCTTCTTTAAACAACAATTCTTCGATATATCCAACACAGAAGTTTGCTACACCGTCTATTTGCTGATATCGTGTGTTACTCGGGCCAACAACAGCTAAACAATTAAAGAGCTAATAAAAATGCTTATTACGGTGTGCGATCTCGTTACCATTTTTTAAAAGAAAAAAATTCCAAAACACAACGTGTTAATTTTTCTTATAGAGTTACCAAATATTTCAAATATAAGTTAATCAAATAATTTCAGTTTTTAACCCTTGTATATTGAATTTCAAAGTAAAATTGCATAGTTTTGTTAAACTTTTAAAAAAACTTTTAAAATACATTAAAAATGGAATGTTTAACATTGGAATGTTTTCCAAAGTTGTAAACCATAACTTTTTGTGTTGTTTAGGCCTTTGGAATAACATAATCCCAAAAAGGTTTTCTTATTTTTGGTCTCAGGGTAAAGGAATATTTCTTCGTTGTTATTTTGTATGGAAAATAATATTTTCTTGTTGTGGTTTTGACAGGAAAGAATGGTCTTTTTGTAGTTTTGTAGGGAAAAAATGGTCTTCTTGTTGTTGTTTTGACCGGGAAGATTGGTCTTCTCGAATTTATATTAGGGAAACAAGGTCGTTTCGTAGTTTTGTAGGTGAAAACAGGCCTCCGTGTAGTCCATTTTGTAAGAACAGGTTTTTTGGTCGTGATTTTGCGTGTAAAAAAAGGTTTTTTTGTTGTGGTGGTTTTTGGTATCAAAATAGTTATTTTTTGAGTCTCCATTAAAAAGGTTGTTTTCTCTGGTTCGTCTGTATGATTGTGATTTCTATTTCAATTTTAGTTGTTACTTTAGGTGCACCGATAGATGTCTTTTCCACTTCTGATGTTGGCATTTGGGTTGTGGTGGTAGGCCTTCTTGTATCTCTCACACAGGTGATAATTGCTGGTTGCCAAATTGTTCCATTAGGACAATTTTTTTCAAAGCAGTTTTGAAACTGGTCTTATTGTACAAACTTTTCTTCGTCATCATGGGCAAAATAATACTTACCCTGCTGTGCGTTCTCTACAGTGCATGGAATTTTGTTTACGCAGTTATATCTCGGGTAATTTTGCGAATTTTCTAAACCATTGCCTGGAAAATATATATTTTTTTAAATTTCTTTATAGTTATTATCTAGTGCATAAAAAATAAGTAAATAATGAACTGACTTGCTTGTATTATTCCAAACTTGAAAAATATCAGGATCACATATAAGATTTCGAGTCTGTGGGCTGACCTAGAAAAAATTTGCCATATTTCTCTTTAAATAAGTGGATGATAAAACAAAGTTAATAAAATTTCGTTGTAAGTTTGTTAGTTTGATAATATCATGGAATCAATGATAAGTAGGTTTTAGAAGACATTAAATTGTAGGTATTTGAAAAACGGTATCTGAATAAACATTGCCAGTGATAGCTTGAAGAAAATTTACTAAACATTAGTGACAATCAACCTGCATCATTTTCCTACAGTCAAGTCTTTAGAATCTAGTAATTTTAACTGTGATGGCATAAGCTTCTTTATATAGGCTTTCTTAATATCCTTCAATCATCAAAATTCAATTCTTGTAGACTCAAGTACCTACCTACAGTTTTCAACCCTATCTTGAAATATAAGATGAATAACGTTAATTAAAATGATTCACAAGTGGATGTTCGTAGAACGGTGAATACATTTTATTACATACAATAAATATTTATAAAAGAAATTATTTAGAATGCGACCAATTATAAAAAAAATTCTTTAGCAATTTAAAATTAAAAAAATTATTTTGAAAGGTTCTTCTATTCTAAAAAACTTAAAAACTAGTCAAGTCAATTAAAAATTTATCAACTGCCATAAATTATTCGCAATATATTAGTTTTTTATTTCCACAGTAAAGAACATATTGATTTTATTTTATTTGCATATGAAATAAATCAGACAATTTGTTACAATTTTTAAACTTAAACATTTTATTTCAAAGTTTAACAATGTTTTAAAATTTGATCGAAAAATAGTATAAAATAATAATGTAATATTTATTAATAATATTTATTTTGCGTTGGTATACATTAAAAAAAATTTAATTTAAAAAAATGTCAATTACGAAATGAATAGACGCGTCCAATTACACTTAAAATCAAGTTCATTGTACCGTTCGAATTTTCGACTTCAATAAAATTACTACTTGAAATTATTTATTAAAAATTTGCGTTGGCAATAAAAATTGTCCCCCACTTTAAGCCAACAAGTGGATGGATTTAATCATCACTCTGAGCGTTATTTATTGCTTAATTTGTGGGAAGCTCGTTTATCATAGATACTCGTCACAATTGACGCAAGCAAATCAACATTTAACAATTCCTAAATAATTAATGTGTGTTGAAAAGTTAAATTGCAACGACGCTGAAATATTGTTTAGTATTTATGTTTTAAAAAATATAATTATGTATATGATAACCAACTTGTGCTATTATAATGACGGTTTAATATTTTTAAAAATGCTTGAGAATTTCGATAAATTTTATTTTAGACAGAAGAACAGAGTCCTCATTTATTTCATACTTTGATATACTAAGGTTGAGCAAAATTTTTTCCGGGTAAGAACTGCTCAAAATTTGTCAAAAGTTTCAAATGCTCATGCATGTTTTGATCCTTGACTTGTACTATCGATATCACACGACATACGCAGTTTTAAACCGACAGCATTCGAACCAGGCCATCGCGTAATAACAAAGTGAGACATGGAGCTTCTACCGGGAAAACTGATACATAAGATTTATATCACATCGAAATTAACGGAAAAAATTAACTTTTACTCAATAAAAATTTAATTGATACCTTTTTATCGATTTAAAAGTAATTAATGTAATCATATCAATCAGGTGGTCCAAGCGATGCAATCGAAATTCTTCTCGCTTTTTATTTTGCATGTATACAGCGCAATACATTAGATTCAATGCATTTTTAATGATTTATATCTAATGTGTCTATTAATCAATACATTCTCGCAAATAAATGTGTATAAGCGTGTATACTATGTGTATAAGCGAAAATACATGCATAGGTACAAATATACGCACAAAAAATATATATCCAAACTTAAGTTACAAATTTGAAAAAAATCCAAAATCCGGCCCAATTTTTGTCCAAACTCGGATTTGAAAAATAGCCGGATTTGATGAAATAACTGAATTTCCGCCAAAGCCGAATTTTTGCACAGTCCAGTTTGGATCTTGTTCGATTTATAGCACTTTTTGGATTATTTGTTTTTGAATTTAACCCCTAATTTTTTAGTGCAATTTATGATTTTTCTTTGTTCAGCTTTTTTAACCAGCTTTTTTTAAACTGTTTCTCCTGTTTCTTTTATGTGGGTTTAATTATTTTACTGGAGTTTTTTTGAGCATTTTAAACAATGCATACATTAAATACTAAATTTTCATTGATTGATTAATGGAAAATAAAATTCTTGACTCAACTGTTGTTAAAATAAATAGAAAAACTTGAAAAATATGAATTGAGAAACAGGCGGAATCGTTAACGTATGGCAATTTGTTATTAGTAGAGTTAATTAATAGTAGGTTAGAGTAGGGTGATTTTTAATTTTGCAGCATGTGTATAAAATGCCCTGCTGTCAAAAACAACGATAATTTTTATATTTCTAAAAAGCATGTGCCCAGGCTTTCACTTTAGTAAACAGTTGATTGATTGTTGGTTAATTTTATTTAGTTTAGAAAATAAATTAGAGTTTTTTATTTTTGGACTAAAGGATTTCTTGTTTGGTACATTATCTCATTATTTTATTCACTTCACTAGTTTAGGGTGCTTGTTATTTAAATGTTTTCAATAGTTTTATTCTTTGAATATTTATGTATATTTTTCTTTCTTTATTTATTTTTTCATTTTCTTTCAATTTCTTTATTTTTTGTGCTTCTTCGTGGGTGTTTTGCAGTTTTAGATTGAACCCAGTTAATTTTTTTTAAATTGGGCTGTATAAACCTAATTGATTGATTGATTGATTGATTGATTGATTGATTGATTGATTGATTGGTTGGTTGGTTGGTTGGTTGGTTGGTTGGTTGGTTGGTTGGTTGGTTGGTTGGTTGGTTGGTTGGTTGGTGTTGGTTGGTTGGTTGGTTGGCTGGCTGACTGACTGGCTGACTGACTGATTGATAGTGTACACTGGCTTTAATTGCTGACATTTGAAATATTTAAAATTATCATGGTCAACTTAACTTACCGCCACAAAATTTACTTTTAAAAATTTGTCGTGTATTATGCAGATGCTATTTAGTTTTGTGATAGTTTAAATTATGTTTTTAAGCAATAATTTTTCATTTCTCTTAATTTACATTACAACACATTTGAGACATGAACAAGTTTTATTAACTAAACTTAAACGTTTATTCAGGTATTCAAATAAACAATAAATTAAAAGTTATCCTAAATTAAAATTCAACAAGGTATTGATCAAAAAGTTAAAAAATATCATATTGAATGAATAAGGTGAAACGCGCTGAAATTGTTAATATACTTTTTCTTGTATAAGAAATAAATTGATAAAACAAATCCGACACAATCAAACGCATAAATCTAAGTTTATATATTAATATATTAATACATAAATTAAAATAAATATATATATATATATTTATATAATATACGCGATAGATAAAACAATGTCTGAATGATAATTTAAAATAAGTAATGTTTTCAAAAATAGACATCATCAGAATTTTTTTAAATGTGCAACTGCGCATTACAAATTCATTTCCATGCCAATGTTCTTTATTCAGTTGGCAGATCTTTGGCATCTGCTACATTTTCATTTTCTTCTTTATCATTTTCACCAATTTTTAACTTATCTTCTGTTTTGGTCTCCATGTTGTCAAGCTGCTTATTGCTCAGTTCCTCAACTTCAACGACATCAACTTTGTCACTATCAGCTTTGGCTTCAACTTTGACATCAAGAACTATGGCATCATCAACTTTGGTTTTGTTATTTTCTGTTTCATCATCTTTTTTTTCATCAACTTCGGTTTTGTCAACAATTGCCTCATCAGATTCTGATCCTTCAGTTTTTACCACATCAGATTCTGGTCCTTCAACTTTTTCCACATCAGTTTCTGGTTCTTCAACATTTTTCTCATCAGTTTTTGGTCCATCAACTTTTTCCTCATTAGTTTCTGGTTTTTCAGCTTCTTTTTCATCACTTTTTGTTTCTTCAATTTTTGGTTTTACGATGTTTTGTTCTTCAAATTCTGTTCTTTCAGTTTTTGTTTCATCAACTCTTATCTCAACATTTTTGTTTTTTTCATTTTCGTAGCCTTCTTTTTCTTCGGCTTTTGAAGTTTCAATGACTTGTTCTGCACTTTTTGTTTCATTTATTTCTTTGTCATCTCTTTCTTGGTCCTGATCCAATAGTTTTGTTTCTTCATCTTCGGCTTCATCAACTGTCTTATCATCATCACTTTTTTTATCATCATCATCACCATTTTTATCATCATCATCTTTTTTATCGCCATCCTCTTTTTTATCATCATCATCTTTTTTATCATCATCCCCTTTTTTATCATCATCTTTTTCACCATCAGTTTTTACGACTTGGTCATCATTTGACCCACTTTTCATTGATTCAGAATCGTCAACTTTTTCTTTTTTTTCATCTGCTGGATTTTTTTCTTTTGATTCATCGTTTTCTGTCGTTTTTTCAGCTGGTTCTGACACCCCCTGTTTGCCGCACGATGAACTTGTATCATCAGTTTGTAAATTTTTTGGTGCGGCAGTTTCAGTTTCATTTTTCAGCTGCATTTCCAATGTTGTTTTTGTCATGTTTTCAGATTTTGTAATCTGTTCACTAGAAGGTTTTACGGTTGAAAACTCTGTTAAAGAAACTGGCATAAATTGGGTTGTTGTATCGCTTGCCTGTTGATCACTGTCGCAACTTCCAGTTTGTGGTTCTGCTTTTTCTTTTGCATGATCACTAGATTCAACTTTTGCGCTTTTGTCATTTTTTATTTCTAATACACTTGTATTTTTTTCACTTTCCATTTCATTTTTTGGTTCAACGGTGTTTTCTGAGTCTTCAATGATTGTTTCTTTTGTATTTTTCTCCAATTCACTTCCATTCTCAGCAAAGATTGGTTCCGATGATTCAATATTTTTTGTTGAGGCTTTGGTCTCCGAAACTTCATTCTTTAGATTTTCATCATTTGTCGTTGTTATTTCGATGGTTGAGTCACATAAAGGTTTCATGTTAATATCGGTTGAAGTTCTTTCATCGCTAGGAATTAAAAACGTTCTGTCATCAAGCATTTCTTTACCGATCTCTGGCGTGGTATGTTGTGGTTTGCTCACAACTTCATCATGTTGAGGTTTACTCACATCTTTATCATGTTGGGGTTCACCCACATCTTCACCATGTTGAGGTTCACTCACAACTTCATCATGTTGAGGTTCACTCACAACTTCATCATGCTGTGGTTCACTCACAACTTCATCATGTTGTGGTTCACTTACAACTTCATCATGTTGGGGTTTGCTCACATCTTCATCATGTTGAGGTTTGCTCACATCTTCACCATGTTGAGGTTCACTCACAACTTCACCATGTTGACCCTCACTCACAACTTCAACTACAGTTTCCGGAATAGGAGAACCTTGGGATACATTGAATATTCATAACGAAAATTTTATCAGATTTGAAAATTATAAACGCAATAAAACAAACCATTTGATGAGAACGCCTTTATCAGGAAACAAACCAGCAAACCAAACGCAAAATTAAACTTCATTGCTTGAAATAACTTTTCTAAAAAAAAATAAATAATTAATATTTATTATTATTGAGCGATCAGTTTTAAAGATTGTTCAAAACTATATAACTATCGCAGCGTATGATGGTTTGTATTTATAGGGAGAGACTGCAGCACAAACAACACGCTCACATGGAATACATTTTTAGTTAATGAGAAAATAACCAGAAAAAGAGCAAAGGTTTTAGTTAGTTATTCTATTTAATCAAACCATAAATAAAAATTGAATTGAAGAAAACGATAAATAAAATTAACTGAGAGTGGCAATAGTTAAATAGAAATAAAATGATTTGACGTTTGAACGTAAATTAACATCTTCACTAACGACCAAGACGAACGAAAAGTAGAGTTGGTGCTCATTGAGATTCAGAGCAACATTTATACACTCGCATAATACACGATTCCAATGCAATAATGTATATATGAAATCAATTCAGTGAGAAAGTTGCTATGATATGCAGAATATAAATCATACAATTTTCAATGTAATTGAATTTGAAATTAAGTCAAAATTACAAATGTATTTTTGATAAGAACGAATTGTTTGCATATGTTGAACAGAGTTTGTTTTCAATTAAATTTATCTTCAGGTTGTAATTGTTTCGATAAGGATTTTCGTTTGACTGCGAGGTCGTTAATGATTCAATTTAAAAAAAATTTACTTTAAGTGACTTCAGAGCGTGTTAGTGCAAATGTTCATTGCATTTGAGGTCATTCGTTAAAAATTTAATAAAGACGCATGTCTGCATCTATCTCTGAAAGTTGAATAAAAAAAACTTTATTCGATTAAAAACAAATTATGCTGAAATGTGTCGGTTACAATTTTCCTCATGTATTCTTTCTTTCTTTCTTTCATTCATTTTTTTATTATTCATTTATTTATTCCATTCATTTACTTGTTGGCTTAAAAGTTTGTTTTGTTTGTGATTATGTTCACAATATTTTTCATTATTATTATTACGATCCTCTTTTCAATATTGTTGTTATAATGTTGATTGTTGTTGTGATGTTGATTGTTTGTTGGGATGTTGATTGTTGTTTTGATGTTGATTGTTTGTTGGGATGCTGATTGTTGTTGTGATGTTGATTATTTGTTGGGATGTTAATTGTTGTTGTGATGTTGATTGTTTGTTGGGATGTTAATTGTTTGTGGGATGTGATGTGTTGTTTAACTAGCAACACATAGCGTTTTTTATTAAATTAATTAAGATATTTAAAATAAACAAGGTGATTAATCAGATTCACTACAACAACACAGAGGTCTGATAAACTCGGTGAGGACTTTGATGAATTAGTGTTAACTGGAAAGTAAGAGAGTAGATAAGAGATGTGATTGATAATTTATTAGCAAGACATCGCTCGCTCGATTGCAAAGTTATTTATTATAACTCGATGAAGGACAAACATGCTGGTATGATATCGCGCATCATCAGTGGCTGATCTAGACAACTTTGACGAGGGGGGTGGGGGTGGGGTGAAAAATTTAAAAAATGTTTAAACTTTTACGGGGGGGCAAAATTTTCACGAGGGGGCAAAGGGTTTTTGCTTCTCACGTCCAATTTTGGCCGATTTTCTACTTGAAACTGTCTTTTTTCGGTCTTTTATTAAAAAACTGCTCACAATTTTATAAGATTTGATGTGATATTTTAATTATAGTATATGTAGTGTTTTTATAAGTTGATTCATGTATATTCATTACATTATATTACGCTGTTGGCTCTAATTTTATTTAAATTGATGTAAATCAAGTAAACTTCACTATAGCATTTGCAATAAAAATTAATAGTGATGAAGATGATAATGATGATGATGATTGTGGTGGTGGTAGCGATGATGGTGATCAATAAAACGACAGTCATGATGACGATGAAACAAAATGATGTCAACTCTAACCACATCATCACTCTCATCTTCTCTCTGAATAAATAATGATTTCAATGCAACCGACCCAACTCCGCATTAAAGCCTGTACAGACTTGTTCCAATCAATCCAATCACTTTAACTAGGTTCCATTTTTTTTATTACTGAACGTTAAACCGATATTTTTTTCGTTTAAAAATTTTAACTATTCTAACCAGTCTAATGATTACAAATATTTTTTAACATTTGATTGTATTTTTGACTCAAGCCAGACATTTTGTGTTCGTTTTTTAAATAAAATGTAACTATAAATCGATAATTAAGAATATTAATCAAATTAATATTTATATCTTCAATCTGGGATTTCATATTTTATTCGTATTTTGACTTTTTTTTAGATCAAATCTGTATAATAATAATAATTATAATTATTATTGGTGTGTTTGTAAGCGCCCTTGTAAAGATCTCAGAGGCGCTAACGGTTATTGCAGTACATTGCGTATCACTTTATTAAGGCAACGCAAAGAATGGAGAAAAAAAACATTAGTGCGGGAAAGCTTGGACAAAAAGCTGGTGTTTCAAACTTTTAAGAAATTGTATAACAGACAACGAACTCGAGATCACGATGGTCCCTAGGCAAACCATTCCAGATAGCAGGACTCATAACGGACCGATTATAGTTTAGCCAAACAGGTCGTCTATTTTTAAGTATAAGATCAGTTGGGAGACATATCTTGGTTCAGGCTTGAATGTTTGATTACTTGCCGTATGTTTGTATGCATGTGTGCATGTGTATGTATGTCTGCATGTCTATAAGTGTGTATGTTTGTGTTCAAGTATTTTTCTAAATAGAAAGGTTTTTTTATAAGTACGTTTATGTAATATAAAAATAAATATATAAATAATATGCCAGCGTTTTTCTGCGTGCTTTAATGTATAAATATTTGGTATATGTGCGTGCTTTGGATGTTTTTTTTTACGTCGGGATTTTTATGAATTTTTGCTTCATAAATAAATTAAATTCATCGGAATTGATTTTGGAGCGAGTTGTTTAATTTATTGCAATCAAATTCTATCTTTTTGTTAAAAGTCATTCAATTTGGCAATCGACATTTTTTAAAAAGTGTCTGATAACATGAATTTCAATAAATCTGCTTATCGTTTTGATGCCCGGTATTACTTATCGATGTCATTTTAATTTGGTCCTATGGGTGTGTCCTATATTTCTCTCTGTGTGTATGTATGTATGTGTGTGTATATCTGTGTGTGTATGTATGTATGTATGTATGTATATATATGTTATGTGTGTGTGTGTATGTATGTGTGTTTGTATATGTACGTGTGTGTGAGTGTAAATATTTATTGCTTGATAAAGATCAGTTCTGATGTTCATTTCTTGTTTTTTTAGGTTCATCACACACTTAACTACAAATACGTAAGTATCTTAATAAGTTATAATTTGTTTAAATTCATATATATTCAGATATCTAGAATTGCTTCTTGCATCCTACCTACCTGCCAACAAACTAACCCACTGATTAGCTAACTAACCAACCAACTTATTGATCAACCAAACAATTGATTAAATAATTTCTTTTTAAATTTTTGTAGTAAAAATTATTCATTCGTTCAATGGCATAAGTATCATTTATTTCTCAGTAGAAGTAGAGATATTTGGTAAGTGGGATAAAATGACATCAAAAAATAAATACAAAATTTTTTTATTCACATGCAACTTTAACGCTGTACGAATGATAGTGATGATTTAATTATTTAATTATTTATTTATTTATTGGTGTATGCAGTTTAAATATTTTTCAAACGCTTTCCTTGAAAAACTGGCAGAAAATTGTCATCTTAGATAAGTTTGTGTTATTGTTTGTAAAATAGTGTGTGCTGTACGATGCGGTACTTGCGCGTGCACATACAATGTGTATGCAAGTACGTCGTGTGGTGTGGATAGTGCAGCATTTGTGGCACGAAAGTTTAAGTATAAGTAAAGAATATATTTGTGAACGATATCTTTTCTGTATCCGATAGATGCACTGTTGTTGTTGTTGCCCCATTCTGGGGGACCCCTAGGGTCCCAATCAAGGCCGGAGCCAAACCGCCACTGCAATTGGGTTTCTCCAGAGGTCTATTGGTTGTAGTTTTGTGGTGTTTTGTGGTCAGCTAAACAGATGCGGTACATCATCTGTATGATTGTTGCAGAAAGGACAGATGTTGAGGTGCCCACTGTCGATTCTGTTTTTGTAGCTGTTTAGAAGAATACTATGGCCAGAACGGAGTTGGGCTAGGGTCCGTCTGATTGCCCTGGAAAGTGATTCTTCTGTTGGATCTATTTTTGGTGTAGGTGGAGGCCATCCGTCAAGCAACAACAACGGCGACTGATACGTCTCTGTGGCGGCTTTGATGGTGTTATTGTGAAATGTTTATAAAGCGGACTTCAAAGAATCGCTATTTATGGTTGTTGGTAGAACCGCATGGGTTGTTGAAGCCCATTTGGAGAGGAGGGTGGTCTTTATGTTGCGGTGCGGGTGTTGTTGCGTGATGATATGATGGCACGGGTGGCTAGGGTTATGGCATAGGAGTAGGAATTGTGATGCTATTAGCTCCGAATGCTGCCTTACCGTTAACATCTGACATTCTGAATGAAGGTGTCGTTCTTAAGCGATCACATGGCAACCTGTAATCATTCTGGGAGCGTTGAAGACGTGAGAAGCTTGAGTCTGATGTCAGTGATGCCCAGGCAGGACAGGCATACTCGATTGTTGAACGACCGATGGTTTTGTAGGTCTGTAAAAGAGTTTCCTTGTCCTGGCCATAAGTTGTACCACTTAGTGCCTTTAAAATATTATTCCTTATTGAGGCCTTGGATGCTGTTTCTTTATGGTGTTGTGAAAAGAACAGCATCGTATCTAACGTGAGGCCTAATATTTTTGGATTATGTTCGAGTGGTAGTAAATTGTTATTTATTTTTATTGCTGGATGATAGTAATACTGTGAAGTGTGTGTGGTGAAAAGGGTGACTGTGGACTTGGAGGTGGAAATCTCCAAGTTTCTGCTATTGAAGAAGTCGTAAAGCTTCGGAAGGTAGCAATTGAGCCGAAGTGTCAAA